ACAGGGCCGGCATCTCCAAAGTTCCCTCAAAAAGGCAATTGTTCTGAACTGGGTTTGATTGTTTTAACTATAAAAATTGTTTTATCTTTTTAAACTTCCATTGGTTAATCTATTTCCCAGTTATCACTTGGCTCATGTAAATAATTATGTAGTTGTCCCTTTAAACATCCTAAGGTCAACATCCCCATAGTGTTCACATTTCTCTCATGTAAACGTTGTAGCTACATAAAAAGATTAAACAATTTATTTGGGAAATATCCAGTCTTTGCAGTTTTCTTCATTACCATGCTGATGATTTCAAGTTGTATTGGATTTATCTGTTAAGACATTTGAATACATGTTGTTTAGTATATAGTTTTTTTTCTCTGAAGTAAATTCATTTAAAGTTGTGATTTGGTTTATGTAGATACGAAAAACCTGATTAAATTTGCATATTCATACTGAGTTTGCAGCAAACAGAATGTTCGCCACAAGTTTCCCATAATTGTTTGCCAGACGTTCACAAGTTGCCGCAAATTTACCGCAACAGTTGGCCACAAAACTAATTTGCATGTGAAAATATGAGCTCGCTGCAAATTTGCAGCCGGTTTGCCAGAAGCCTGTTTTTTCGGTAAGGGCTCACGGTTCCCCACTGGGAGTAGATGTTAAGTGCGTCTCCAGCCTGTGGATAGTATGCAATGAGGTTATTAGCAATATACATTCAGGAGGGGTGTAAGAGACTGTCAGGAATTAGATATCCACATCCATTAACCTTCTATTTAAATGACCTGTTTTAGCCATTTCGTATCATACTCCATTAACTATGACAATCAGAAAATAAATGGGGACAAAATTAACAAATGTTGAGGTAAAATACACATTGACTATCTAAATGTGATTTAGACACCAATTACTTTCAGCAGCAGCTCCTGAAGACCATTACTGGCCCATTTAACCTAGCCAGCCAGTGGCCCATATAGTCTGAATGGCCAGTGGCTCATCCTCCGCAGTAAGCTGTCCAGACTACGGAGAGGGGGAGGCAGCTGGTAGGAGCCTGTCTGGGTAATTCTGACAGTCACTGAAGTGCCCCAGAGCAATGTCTTTTCTCTCTTTCCTTCATGGTCTGGCTTGCTTTGTTCGTTTACAACTGATCGATTGGCCGCTCTTTCTTTTCTTATTCAGGCAACAGGAGCAAAGTTGTCCTTTTCATATTTGTAAAAATACTGGACTATATCACATTACTCTTATGAAAAGCAAATGTTCTATTAGCAGTACATTTCCCTAATAAAAGTCAGGAGCAAACATTCTCTTTATGTAATATTGAATGCAAACTTTATGCAAGAACACAATTTCTATAGATGCATATCATTCAATAAACCTTACCTCATAAAGGCAGAAGAAAAGTAATAGTATACTGTAACAATCTGATGACTCCATGCTCAATAGATGACAAGCGCAAAATCGTAAAAGTAACCATGGATTTTTTTTCTTTTGTTAAATATCTCCAGGTACGTTTAATTCCATGCTCTACATTCAAAGCACATCCGACTGGTCGTCTTCACCCAGATTGACAGACGCAGGGGAAGTGTTGTCTCTCTCATTCCAGATGTACAAACACAGGAAGGGCAGGAGCGACGAGTGTAGGCTCACATGACAGTTCATTCCCAGTTAAATATCCCTCCCTCCCCTCTCTCCTGCTCTTTCGTGCGTTCTCTCTCGTTCCCTCTCTCGTTCTGTCCTCTGGCGACATATTCCAGCACAAAGCTAATCTGAAGCTGTGAAAATGCCAGCTCTCAGTCTCCCTCTTCATTTCCCCCTCTTTATCTGTCTCCTCCCGCTGTCCTCACTCTCTCTCTCCGTTTGGCTGTGCGCCTACCCTTTTGACTTCATAACACACATACAGTGCCTTCAGAAAGTGTCCACACCCCTTAACTTATTCCACATTTTGTTGTGTTACAAAGTGGGATTAAAATGGATTTAATTGTCATTTTTTGTCAATGATCTACACAAAATACTCATGTCAAACTGGAAGAAAAATTCTAACATTTGTAAAAAATTAGAACAAATAAAACACTATCTTTAGATAAGTATTCAGCCACCTTAGTCAATACATGTCAGTCTCACCTTTGGCAGCGATTACAGCTGTGAGTCTTTCTGGGTAAGTCTCTAAGAGCTTTGCACACATGGATTGTACAATATTTGCACATTCTTTAAAAAAATCTTCAAGCTCTGTCAAGTTGGTTGTTGAACATTGCTACACAGCAATTTTCTGCCATAGATTTTCAAGACATTCAATGTCATCTTGGTAAGCAACTCCAGTATACATTTGGCCTTGTGTTTTAGGTTATTGTCCTGACAGGTGAATGTCTCCCAGTGTCTGTTAGAAAGCAGACAACCAGGTTTTCCTCTAGGATTTTGCCTGCGCTTAGCTCTATTCCATTTGTTTTTATCCTAGAAAACTCCCTAGTCCTTGCTGATGACAACTATACCCATAACGATGCAGCCACCACCATGCTTGAAATTATGAATAGTGGACTCAGTGATGTGTTGTGTTGGATTTGTCCCAAACATAACGCTTTGTATTCAGGACATAAAGTTAATTTCTTTAGCACAGTTTTTGCAGAAAAGGTTGCATGTTTTAGAATATTTGTATTCTGTACAAGCCTCCTCCTTTTCTCTGTCATTTAGGTTAGTATTGTGGAGTAACTACAATGTTGTTGATCCAGCCTCAGTTTTCTCTTATCACAGCCATTAAACTCTGTTTTAAAGTCACCATTGGCCTCATGGTGAAATCCCTGAGCGGTTTCCTTCCTCTCCGTCAACTGAGTTAGGAAGGACGTCTATCTCTTTGCACACAGTCCATGCAACTTATGTGACTTGATAAGCACATTTTTACTCCTGAACTTATTTAGGCTTGCCATAACAAAAAGGGGTTGAATACTTAGATTCAAGATATTTCATTTTTAATTAATTTGTAAACATTTCTAAAAACATAATTCCACTTTGACATTATGGGGTAGTGTGTAGGCCAGTGACACAATCTAAATGTAATCAAATTATTCAGGCTGTAACAAAATGTGAAGGCACTGTACATGACACACACACACACACACACAGCCCTTACGAAGCTAATATCCATTCCCGAATGTGTGAAAATGTGTTAAGATGCTTTGTAGCACCCAATTATATTTGTTTTACCTGTCCTTTCTGACACCTTTGACTGATTTAATGACTAATTGTAATTTATTAGTCTTGTCAGGATGCAGGCTTGTCTTAAGTGCCTCCCGACGTCCCATAATAAATAACACTTACTGTATATGGCTTTCACCTTGCTCTACATCTCTCCTGTTGCCTTCCATCAGCAGGTGTTTACATGGCCATCTCTCTACTGGCCCTATAGCAATTAGCATAATGGAACCAGGCTGCATGGCTTAATTAATGGAATGCACTTCAAGACGCTGCACAACAACTAACCTGTTCATTACGACCAGCACTGGTCTCTAACCGCGGATCAATTGGTGGAGTTTGATTGATTAATCGAGTGAATACTTAGACAACTACAGCTGAAACCAGTCCTCATACTGTATATGAACTGTCTCCGACCAACAGACTGGCTTCAATATGACGATATCTGACCATAATCTTTCAATATAAAACCTCAAGGCAGCTCCAACCCAGCTACCTACATCACAGAGAATCAGGATAAATTGAGGTTGACAGAGGTCATTCCATTTTTGATGTATTCAATTTCCTTGAGCGACAGTTTGGAGATACTGGATTGGCCGCCCTCTCATTCAAATGAGTCCTAAGCACCAAGTCTACTATGTGAAATCAACACGGTTTCTGACAGTATTTCTCTGGCAACATCTCAGCCCATCCAATTCCCTTGTACCTTTTTACATCTAACTGGGTGTGCCAGTTATTATTTCCGTATGTGCAACACTTCCCCACTATCCTTTCACTCCCCAAGTTAGCATCTTCATCACAGGATAAAGCATGGCCTACATTTGCTCTGCAAAATACGCAAAAGAAAAATGGGATAAACAACATTGAAGCTGTACTTTATTCCCCTCACACTCGTTCCCTATAACTCTTTCTCTCATTCAGTTGTTCAGGCTCTCCCCTAGGCTCAATTCACCACTCCATTAGCTCAGTTGCTGCAGAGGGATAGATACATAGACAGGGAAGATGACAACGGGGATCATGGAACAAAATAAATAAGTAGACAACTGTTTTTCAGTAGATATTTTGTACATCAACATGCTTACTTATGAAATACACATAATTTGGTTCTAGCTTGGGTTGTATTATGGAAAACACTAATCTGATATAGCACAAGAAGACGAGAGGCTACATTTGAGAGGTCCTTTGTTGTGTGAGAGAGCGATTCATTCCTGAGTTAGCAATCCATTAATGATAATTATCCACCTCTGAAGCGCAGGGCCACCAGGTCACGTGTAACTTCACAAAGAGAAGCCAAGCCTACCTCTCACAATTACATGGTGTCAGGATGAGAGGTGAAATTAACTAGAGGGGGCTGAAGAGAGAGAGCGAGGGGGTTGGAGAGGCAGAGAGTGCAGGAAATGGAAGGTTGTACATTTCCCAGAGTAAACTGTATACTGTACTGAAATACCAAGCAGAGTAACACATTATTCTGGTTGTTCGAGAAATTGATATGCAACAACATAACTCCCAGTAGACCTTAGAGTGATGATCTAGCTGCATGTAAAACATGAAAACCCCTCTGGTACCTCACTGAGGGAACACCCAGATAGCACCAACAGTCAACACAGCCATTGATATTTTCACTCAACCAGTAAATAAGTAAATCCATCTGAATAGATACTTTGATTAAGCAATATAGTTTGCCAAGTTCAAACTACCATAGAGGTGAAACTCAACCATGCAGATGGGGACACAAAACAAATAGGTAGCAGGATAATAAAATGGTGGTTGCAAATGTGTAGTGGGTAAAAGATAAGAGGAAAGGACCGACAAGTTACATTGAGATAACTTCCTACCTCCTGCAGCTGTACCCTCACTTTGTTAATGGCCTTCAACCAGCGTATTCTGGATGGAGAGAAGGGCAAAGGAGGCCCATCGTCGTGGAAACTGGTGTGTGGGGTGAAAGAGAGAATGACCACTCACTAATACTGTACTTGTAATATTTACTGCTTGAAAATGTGGATGCTTATCTAAGTGTTTGAAATGTATGACACTTGCTGGAACCCAAAGACTCACCTTTGCAGCATTTTATTGGACCTTTTCTCGACTGGGTGGTCCAATTTCTTCATAGAGCCATTTAAGCTCTTCCCCACATCCAGGGAGGGTCTGTGCAATTCCTCCTGCCCCAAAACATAGTGTCCATTGCTGGGGAGGTGTCCGTTGGTGGGTTGCTGGCCATTGGTAGAGGGGCGGAAGCTAGTACTGTGGTAAGAGTGGAAGGACTCTTCCAGCCCTGAGCCTGCAGCACTCTCCTGGCCTGTCTCACTAAGCTGGGAGCTGGTCTGGCTCAGGTTTCCAGAGGACCCAAAGCGACTACTTTCCACCGGACTGGAGTGGTGAAAAAGGGGTAAGGGAAGAGACTTAATATTAGAATAATAATTGTTGTGATGAAGAACAACACTTTGAATAGTGCAACTGGTTGGGCTCATTAATTGGATATAGGGGTTATTACAACTAGTCTATAGTTTCTACTGAATTGTACACCATTTTAAAAGACATCTCACCTTACAGAGAGAGAAAAAAAAAAGGTTTAGCAAATTAAAATGAATACACCAATTTCCTGAAATGAAATTGAATGTACCAAATTCTCTCAATTTGTCTGTATTTCTATTTCTGGGGGACAATGAGTTACTGAAATCTCTAATTTGATCAAACTGAATGGCAATAGGGAATTCTGTAAGGTTAGACTTTCTTTTGAATGCATTCATAGAATTATAATTGCAAATGTAATTAATCTTACGTTAGGAGTTCAAGAGTAAGAAATATTTAGCTTATTATCAGTATACCACGATAGGTGTAATACACTTCACAAATCAACCACCAACAACACAAGGCTACAGTAGCACAAATGCTAAAAACAAACACGGTTAAAGGAAAGACACAGAATTCAGTGGGGTGGATTGCGGAGCTGGACCCGGGTTACTCTCCCCAAAATATCAATGCATCATAAATGGTGTTGGGGAAGACCATTTATTATGCTTCTACTGGCCTTTTAGCACTCAATAGGTCCTTCTTGGACTGGTTGTCCAGCTGCACTTCAGAGGTGGGATCTGCAGAGGGGGGTGGTTCTACAAGGCTTTCCTTCTCCTTTTGGGACAGGGATGCTGAAGGATCTACCTCGGGTGTGGAGATGCAAATCTGGGGTTTGGCTAAGTCAGGGGGACCTACCGAACTTTGATCACTTGTGTCCTTAGTTGGCTTATCATTAGCTTTGGGCTGAGTGGTAATAACTGGACGAGCTTGTGGCTTGGGAGGTTCGACAGGGGCCCCCCAGAAACCTCCTAATTTAGCCCCAAATAGAGAGGCAGTGGATGGTTCTTGCTTCTCCTCCTGAAACAGGCCTGCAGACATCGTTTTGAATCCTGAGAACAGACCACCACCTGCTTCTGCTTGAGGCATTGTGGGAAGGGCTTTGGGAATTGTGGGTGGAGATGAAAACATGGATCCAAAAGACTTTCCAGCATCACTGGTTCCTGACATAAAACCCCCAAACAGGGACTTGGGTGCTGGCTCTTCAGTCTTAGTCAACTGGTCAGCTTGGGGAATCTTCTGTGTACTTTCCACTGGTGGGCCTGATTTGTCAGTTTCCTTACTCTCAGGCTTTCCTACAATTACCATGGGCTTCTCATGTATTACTTCTCCTTCCACAAATGCAGCCTTATCTTTTCCAGAACTGGACTGATCATTCGTTGGAGGTTGTTCTGATTTCGAGGGCTGTTCTGTTTTAGCAGGTTGCTCTGATGCTGTAGGGATTTCAGCTTCTTTTGATTGACAGTCCACAGCTGAAGCAGGACGTTTCTCAATCCCTTGACCCTGGGCTACTTCAACAGCCTTACCATCAGGTTTGAGGTCAACTGACACCTGAGGTTGAGTTTTGGTGTCAGATTGTCTTGGTGCCTCAGACAATTTTGAGTCTTTGTGCAAAGTAACTGTGCCCAGGTCTCCTGGCTCTTTTATTTTGTCAGTGCTATCCACTGGGGTGGTGTCAGGGGCAGCTGTTGATATTTTATTCTCAGGGGTTTTTGCTGGTGCTGTTTGAGGAGTAGTTGTAGCTGGCTGGGGAGTGGACCCTCCAAACAACCCCCCGAACATAGAAGCTGCAGTTTGAGGAGTAGCTGCGGGCTGGGGACTAGACCCGCCAAACATACCCCCGAACATAGAACCAGCGGTTTGCGGGGCAGCTGTAGCTGGTTGGGGACTAGACCCTCCAAACAACCCTCCCAACATAGAACCCGCAGTTTGAGAGGCAGCTGTAGCTGGCTGGGGACTGGACCCTCCAAACAGCCCTCCCAACATAGAACCCGCAGTTTGAGGGGCAGCTGTAGCTGGCTGTGGACTAGACCCTGCAAACAGCCCTCCCAACATAGAACCTGCAGTTTGAGGAGTAGCTGTGCCAGGCTGGGGAGTAGACCCTCCAAACATGGAGAGAAATCCTGTAGCTGGTGGCTCTTTAAGTGTTTCTGGCTCTTTAAGTGGGGCAGGTTCCTGAGGTGCACCCTTTGGGATGGATTCCTTTTGTGCAGTGGCACACCCAGGGGTAGGCACTGTGGTTGCAGAATCAAGAGCCTCAACCGCAGTGCCATCTTTAGGGGTGTCTCCCAGCTCTTTTATTTTGGCAGTGTCATCTGCTGGAGTGGTATCAGACACAGCTGTTGATATTTTGTTCTCTGGGGGTTTTGTTGGTTCTGTTTGAGGAGTAGCTGTAGCTGGCTGGGGACTAGATCCTCCAAACAACCCTCCTAACATAGAGCCTGCAGTTTGCGGGACAGCTGTAGCTGGCTGGGGACTAGATCCTCCAAACAACCCTCCCAACATAGAACCTGCTGTTTGAGGGGCAGCTGTAGCTGGCTGCGGACTAGATCCTCCAAACAACCCTCCCAACATAGAACCTGCCGTTTGCGGGGCAGCTGTAGCTGGCTGCGGACTAGATCCTCCAAACAACCCTCCCAACATAGAGCCTGCAGTTTGCGGGGCAGCTGTAGCTCGCTGGGGACTAGACCCTCCAAACAACCCTCCCAACATAGAACCTGCAGTTTGCGGGGCAGCTGTAGCTGGCTGGTTACTAGACCCTCCGAACAACCCTCCCAACATAGAACCTGCAGTTTGCGGGGCAGCTGTAGCTGGCTGGTTACTAGACCCTCCGAACAACCCTCCCAACATAGAACCTGCAGTTTGAGGAGTGTCTGTAGCTGATGGCTCTTTAGGGGCTTCTGACTCTTTAGGTGGGGCAGGTTCCTGAGGTGCACCTTCTGGGATGGATTCGTTTTGGGCAGTGACACACCCAGGGGTAGGTACTGTGCTTGCAGAATCAACAGCCTCAACTGCAGTACCATCTTTAGGTGTGTTTCCCTGCTCTTTTATTTTGGCAGTGCCATCTGCTTGAGTTGTGTGAGGTGCAGCTGTTGATATTTTGTTCTCAGTGGTTTTTGCTGTTTGAGTAGGTGCTGGGGGTGGACTGGATCCTCCAAACAATCCCCCAAACATAGAACCTGCAGTTTGTGGAGTAGTTGTAGCTGGCTGGGGACTAGGCCCTCCAAACAACCCTCCCAACATAGAACCGGCAGTTTGCGGAGCAGCTGTAGCTGGCTGGGGACTAGATCCTCCAAACAACCCTCCCAACATAGAACCCGCAGTTTGAGAGGCAGCTGTAGCTGGCTGGGGACTAGATCCTCCAAACAACCCTCCCAACATAGAACCCGCAGTTTGTGGGGTAGCTGTGGCTGGCTGGGGACTAGATCCTCCAAACAACCCTCCCAACATAGAACCCGCAGTTTGAGGGGCAGTTGTAGCTGGCTGCGGACTAGATCCTCCAAACAACCCTCCCAACATAGAACCCACAGTTTGAGGAGTGTCTGTAGCTGGTGGCTCTTTAGTAGCTGGTGGCTCTTTAGTGGCTGCTGGCTCTTTATGTGGGGCAGGTTCCTGAGGTGGAATACCTGAGATGGATTCCTTCTGGGCATTGGCACACTCAGAAGTAGGTACTGTGGTTACCGAATCAACGGAGCTTGCTTGTGGGGGTGACAGAGGGCCACTGAACATGGAAAACAAGCTTTTAGTGGGTGGTTCTTTAGGCGCTGTAGATTCTGGTTGTGGGGCACTGGGGCCACCAAACATGGAAAATAATCCTTTTGCTGGGCTTTCACTAGCAGATGAACCAGAAAAGAGTCCCCCAAGAATAGAGCTAGTCTCTGGTTGAGGTTGAGCTTGTGGTGGACTGGGCCCAGATTGAGGTGCCTGTGGTGTTGTTGCCTGTGATGGTCCCTGTGGTGGACTTGGTCCACCGAACATTGAGAATAAACTTTTAACATGTGGTTCTGGGGGAGGTGCTTGAGATGACTCAGTTTGGGTCGGTGCCTGCTGAGGACTAGACCCACCAAACATGGACAATAACCCCATACCAGGAGTTTCCTCTTTAGTAGTAGTCGTTGTTGTTGTTGTTGGTGGTGGTGGTGCTGGTGGCGTTCCAGAGATCATGTCTCCAATTTCTCCCATAAAGCCGAACAGTCCGCCTGATGGTTTGGGTGTTGGCTCCTGTTTGGTTTGTCCGGTTGGTGTCATAGTCTGTGATCGGCCTGGGGTGGGGCCAGTGCTTGTATTGGGAGGAAATACTTGTGACATGCTTTTACCTGGTGGCTGACCAGGAGCTGGATGTGGTACCCCACGTTGCCCTCCATCCATTGTTTGTTGTTTCCGTAGAGATGGTCTTGATTGAGAACCTTGTGTAACAACTCTGTTTGGCTCATTTCTAACAACAGGTTTTGGTTGCTGTGATGGAGGAGACTCTGCACTAAAGAAGCTGCCTATTGACCCAAAAAGACTAGAAGCTCCTGTGTCCTCCTGTTTATTTGGGGATGTGCTGCTTGGTAAGCTAGCAATGGAACCAGTTCTATCTTGTTGTTTTGACACTGGTTCTGGGGGTTTAGGGGGCTCTGGCGTTGGCTCCTCAATCAGTAGGGCAGACTTGAAAAAGCTCATAAATCCTCCCTGTGGTTGTTCAGCTGGTTTTTCCACTGGTTTTACAGATGATCTATCTGTGGTGCACTGTGATTGTGGTTGTAGGGGAGAGACAGATTTATTGAGTGAGTCCATAGAACTGGTTGGCACTGTGGGCTGTGTTGGTGGAGCAGCTTGCTGAGACATGGTGGCTTGTCGTGCAAGTCTAGGTTTCTGAGTAACAGTCTGTGGTTGTGCTGGGGGTTGCCCATATTGTCCAGATGTGGGAGGTGTGGGCAGAATTCTAGAAGTGGTGGATGCAGCTGGTCTCTGTTGAACTGCACTCTGAGCCGGAGTTGTTGTAGCAGGGAGATCTTCTTTGATAATCTTTGACTTGAGACTCTGGAAACCTGATGAAAGTATGCTCTTGGCCTGTTGGTCCACCGGGGTAGCCTCAGTCCCAGGTGGTTTATGTTGTTCTCCATTAACACGAGAGGCCAAGCCAGTTCTTCCTTTGTTCAAATCTGACTCAGCGGTTTTGCCAACCATTGAGGAAATGAATGAAGAGATCTTCTTGACTTGCCGATTAGGTATTTCCTCTCCTGGGGTCACTCTCTCTCTCCATTCCTCCTCTGGCGTGTCATCTACATGCCTTACTCTGACCCCAAAAGATGAACGCCTCCTTTGACGAGGCTGGTAACAGTTGTTCAAGCGTTGTTGAGAGGAATCTGTGGTGGGGGTAGCATTGTGTGAGACAGCAACCTTTTGAGAGAGAAGTTCCTTCATTTGCTGATTGTTCCAATAAGGGCCTGTCTGATCCCTGTTAGAACACGAAAGGTCTATGACCTCCATATATGGATTCTGATAGGCAAGGTTGGGTTGTCTTGGATCCATCCTGACTTTGTTCAGTCTATATAGTGAGAAATCTACAGCCTGTTCTTTTTGTGCAAGGAAGGAGCTCTCAAACATCTGAGAGAAGCGCTCCAGGTTCAAATTCATGATCTGATTTCCTTTTCTATAGGCAGCAGATAGGTCGAGGGGGGCATTGAGGAGTTGGGGATCACCCTGATCTTGTCCAGGGAGCCAGAGTAGCTCATCCTCATTATAGAGAGGGACTTTAAATCCACATACTGTGACCATTTCATTATGTAGCCAAGCACTTGGGAAGTTATCAGGCCCAGTTCCCAAGGACTCTCCCTCAGGAGTACAAGCATAGACCATCGTACCTGCTGCATCTGTTAGCAGGGCATATATGTATTCATGATCAGTGTAAACAAAGTACCCACAATCCCCATCATCAGCTGGCCACCACATTCCTTGCTCCAAAAGTGCAAGCCATTGCTGGTACCATTCTGTCTCTTCCAAGTACATACAGTCTTCCATCTCTCCATTGGGAGGTTTAAGGTAACTGTGATCAAATGACCTAGTCAAACTCAACTGGCTTTGATTAACCATGCCATGGTCACTATATTGCCAATTAGCTGAATAAGATAGATTAGGTGGATTCTCCTCATAATAGCCCTCATGATATGAAATGCCATTCAGACTATAACAGCTACCATTATCAAAGGAGTTCCATTTACCAAACTTAGCATTACTCCTTTTGATGCTCAAGTTCAATGCACCCTCTTCTTCAGTCCAGTACTCCTTCTGTTCCATCATTTGATTAGTATGCAGATTTCCCAAGTCATCATAGCTGTTCCATAGTTTTTTCTTGGCATATGGATTGCTGTCAACAGTTTTGGGCACCTCTTGTTGGTGGTGCCTAATCGGTTCTTGGTTATAGTCAATTTCATGCCATGGTTGAGGGGAACTATATTGATTATTTATATTTGTGGAGCTACAGTAGAGAGAGGAGTCTTGGAACACTGCTCCTTCTGGTGGCTGTACATAACCCACATCACTTGGGAGATAAGTCTGTGATTGATTTTGAAGCTGCTGCCACAGAATTGATTCTTGTATCCATTGGTTTTCACCATAACTAGAATTGATTCTATATGATGCCAAAAGATCTTGGTAACCATCCTGTCCAGTTACTGAATATAAGGAATTATTACTTTGATTAAGATATTGTTGGGATGACATCATTGCAGTATTTGGATGCCCTTGTAAAAGGGATAACATATTTTCTGCACTGTAAGAGGTGGCTAATGGGTGGTTTGACTGAAGAGAACCATGGTAGTGCAATAACTGAGGTAAATGGCCGGTGCTGCATGATGTGTAGGATGGTTGGCTCTGAAAAGACCTAGCATAAGTAGCTGAAGTCCTTAAATCTAAAGTCTCACCTTCCCATGAGCCAGGTGCAATTTCTGCAACATTTCTGTTTTGTCTTGGAATGGAGCGACCAAGGAGACCACTTTCTCTCCTCTCCATTTCAGGCTCAGAAGTATTGTTCGCTACAGTGTTGCTTGGCCCAGTTTTGAATATGCTTGAGAGCAAACCTGGGGAGCTTGCAGATTGTGTCTTTGGCTCTGGATTGTGCTTGAGAATTTCTGCTGATTTATGAGTGGAGACTTCATCTGTTGGATTCCTATTGAATAGTCCTGATAGAAAGCCTGGCTTTTTGTCAGCCTCCTCATGGGGTTCATGTGGGACCTGATGTGGTATATGTGTAGATGGCTGAGTTTGCTGTGTAGGCTGTCCAGATGGAGTGATTGTATGATGTTGTATTTGCACGGGTGGCGACTGACTGCGGGCCTCAACATTTCCAGAGGATTTTGTTAACTTGCTAAACAGTCCCGAGAGAACTCCAGGCTGGCTTGCAGTATCTTGCTGTGAAGGAGTCAGATTTTGCCTGGTATTTGACAAGATTACATGTTGCTGTCTTTCTTGGCTGATTGGTGGCGACTGCTGCTGCTGAGGCACATTTTCTGTGGAAGATTTTTTGAATAGCCCAGATAGCAGACCAGTGGATTGACTAGGCTGTTGAGTTGGTTGATTTTGGCTTTGTACCTGTTGACTAGGCTGTTGAGTTGGTCGATTTTGGCTTTGTACCTGTTGACTAGGCTGTTGAGTTGGTTGATTTTGGTTTTGCAACGGCACATTCTGCCTGTTTGGGTACTGCTGTCTAGGTTGATTGAGAGGAGCTTCAGAATGTGTCTGAGGTATTGGGGACTGATTAGTAGATACATTGTCTGCAGAAGCAAACTTAAAAAGTCCAGAAAGGAGACCACCTTGTTGTGCAGGTTTCGGAACTGTGTGTTGTCTAGAGAAGCCTGATTTGTTGTCTAGAAAAGCCTGGTCCCTCAGTGGACCACGGTTTGGCCCTTGTATATTCTGTTGGTTTACGTTCTGCTGATTACAAGGACCACCAGAAGGCAGTTGTTGCTGCTGGAGTGGAGTTGTTTGGGTGCTCAAAACATTATCAGAGGAACCCAATTTAAACAACCCAGAGAAAATACCTCCTTGTTGAGGAGGTGCTTGTTGAGAGGGTGGCTGTTGGGATGGGCTTGGTGCTTGTTTCTGACTGGGGTGATTGCTAGGGAAAGCCCCTTGCTGTTGGCCCTGGGGAGGTTGTACATTAGGTGAAAGGTTTTCTGCAGAGGAAAACCTCAGTAACCCTGTGAGAATACCCCCAGGCTGAGAAGGAGGTGGTGCACTTTGTTGTGGGGGAGGTTGAGGAGGGAACTGTTGAGGATTACTGGCACTAGGAGGTTGACTGTTTGGGGGAACTTGCTGTGGTGGTGGGTTCCCAGATAAGTCACCTCCAGAGCCAAATTTAAGAAGTCCTGACAACAGCCCTCCTTGCTGGGGCTGATTGGAGCCAACCTTAGATGTATCCTCAGTGGCCCCTTTAAAAAGACCTGTAAAAAAACCTTGAGGTTCAGGAGGAGCTTGCTGCGTCCCAAGAGACATTGGTGGTGGCCTTTGAGGTTGCTGCATATGCTGCTGATGTGGAACTGGGGGCAATTGGCGATTCCGGGCCTGTTGCTGACTGAGATTTTCTGGGGGTTTGGAAGCACTGACATCATTAAATTTCATGAACCCAGAGAACATTCCTCCTCCTGATGCTTTTGGAGGCTGTTGGGAAGAGTCAGAGGAGAGAAACTGAAGTTTTAGCTTACTGCCTAAAGATGGCTCCTCCACAGGCTTCTCTGATGTAATATCTGGTGCTGACCCAAATACAGGATACACTGCAACAGGTGGAGGGCCCTGCGGGGGAACAGGGTTAACTGGTGCAATCAATGAGCTGAACGATTTCTTGAAAGGGCTAAAGAACCCTGAACTTGCTGGTTCTGGTTGGCTAATGGACTTCCCACCCACTGAAGTAGGCACATTTTGCTGAGAGGCAGTCATAGAGTCAGGTCTCACATGCACAACTTTTCCTTGTGTATTAACAAATTGTTTATTTTGGGGTACATTTCTAGAATTATCAAGTCCTCTCCCTCCTCCCACAGCCATTGACTGTTCACCTTGCTGGATACGTTTCTCATCCCAGTTTGCAAGATTTTGAGAGCCCTCTCTTGAGCCACTTCTCCCTGGGAATTGTTTTCCCTCTGTGGAGTTCACTACCTCTTCACCAGATTGTTTTTTACCAAAACTAATTTTCTCAACAACTGAAGTGACTGCGGATGTTTGTGGCTTTGTTGCAGAGTCCTGAACTTTATCACTCGTACTATATATCTCTGTTCGCATGGCTGGCGTGTCTTGATTCTGGACTTGTGTCTTGGCATCAGACTGGGAAGGCAAATTGAAGGAAAATGTTCTGTTGGGGTGAGCTGTAGGAGATACAACAGCTACACGAGCAGGAGCAGGGCTGGTGGATTTTGGAATTAAAGAAAATAGCTTAGATATACCAGATTGAGAAGATGGTGCAGGTGGTACTTCTTTAGTTTCTGCAGAACCAGAGCTGGGCTGCTTGGGGGATGAACTAACCTTGTCTGTGAAGGAACTGAATAATGAACTCATAGCATGTTTCACTCCAGATATTCCTGGTTCAGGTGGATCCTCTGTCTGGGTCTCTTCCTTGACATCCCTAGGGGTCCTTGGGTCCTCTCCAGTAGATTCTGTTCTTACGCTGCCCTGGGAAGATAACCTTGACTTGGATGACTTGGGAAGGGACCCATACTTGCTTATTTCCTCCTCTTTTTCAGCCAGGTACTCTGATACTGTTTCCACTAGGCACTGGAGCTCATCCATGGGATCTACATACTCGTCACTTGGTTCCTCCACTGGAGACAGCATTGCTTCAGGAGCCCATCCTCCCATTTTCCCCTTTCCACTCTTCTTAACCAGATAACTCTGATACTTGTCTATGTGACCTCCATGGGATGAAGCATACCTGCCTTGGCCATGGCCCCTCCCATTCTCAGAGTGAATGGCCTCCGCTAAGGAGGCAATTTCCTCTAGCTCCTCCTCTGATCCCATGGAGTACTGCAGCTCCTCCTCTAAATCGTACGGCAAACCTTTCCTCATTCTTGCAGCTTCCTCCTCCTGATACGCCACATAGTTCTCCAAGGTGTCCCCCAGCTTGTTTTTGGCCCACATCCTAGTCTTGTAAAGAAGTCCATTCTTGTATGGCTTGAGGCATGGTGTCATCTGCTCCTCCTCTTCCTCGATCTCTGCCACCTGCCGCAGCACCAGCTCCCCTCTCTTCTGGCGGAGGAGTGCAAGGTCAGGGGGAAAAGGGTCGTCTGTGAGTTTCTCCGCCTCTGAGAAGGCCAGCCCTCCTGGATCCCGGATCTTTTTTCTCCGCCGCCGATCGATAGTATCATAGCCCACTGGGTAGGTGGCAGGTAGGATGCCACTGCGCTGTGTGCTTTGGCAAATTGAGCTGCCTGAGGGCTCAGTGAGAGCTCTCCCCATGCGGAGAATAACATCGTCCTCAGCCCAATGATTCTCTTCCTTGTCCAGGAACTCGCTCAGCTGATTTCTCCCCTGCACTTTGTATTTGCTTTCCCAATCCTCCACACCCATGCCAGAATCTACAGGGATGATCCTGACCCTCCCTTTATTGGTTATTGCTCTAGTTTAGGTTAATGGATTAAAGTAGAGGTAAAATCAGATGAGAGGGGGGACAAAAACAGGAAAGAAAAAAGTAAACAGAAAAATTATTGCAAATTATAAGAGGACAGAGAAAGTAATATAAAGACCATGTGACAGAGACAATAAGCATTAAATAAATACATATGATAAATAAATATGTTTGTAAAGTGTAAATAACTATTTGGTGAACGTGTGTTCATGAGTGTCATGACTACTGGCTGAGGATCAAAGGACTCAGATCAGCTTGGCAAATGGCTGACAAACAGACCCTCTCACCCAAACCTTAAAACTCTGTCATAAATTAGGGAGGAGGGTATTCTCCCTCCTGCTCTGCAGTATTACTAAAGGCTTTCTTTGTTCCAGAGACTTTTTGCCGCCAAAACCTTTTTGTCCAAAAAGTGAACATTGGGACATTATTTCTATAATACAAATGTTAAGAATGGTCAGTGGGGACCTAAAGAATAATCATGTCATATTGTTTATTATTTTGTGATGTCATTAAGGATGGTATCAAGAAATAACTAACTCGGAAAGTGTACACATTCTGTCAAGTTTACACCCAAATGTTGTATAAAATATATGATTAATGATTAGTATTTTTGTTAAGATAGGAATGTGATTTTTGTTTTCTAATGAGATAATTGTTTTTCATGTAAACTATGCACAGTGACTAGCCACGCCCCAAGTGAGCACAGACATTGCGTCGGCGTGATGGAACGCCCCCTTTTTACCAGAGTGCATAAAACGCCTTGGTAACAAATACCATCAGACCAGAAAGCGTGGAGCTGTGGCTACACGGCTTAAAATGGTAGACCAGAAAGCGTGGCGACGATATTCCACACATTTGAAATGGTTAGAACTTTGAATCTCAACACGAGGTGAAGAAGATACTCACTAGACCAGTCTGCAGCTGTGCTTGATCTAGAACTTTGACTAACCACACGAGTGGGAAGAAGAAAATCCCATCTCAGACAATCACAGAGTATCTGCTCTGAGTACACGCCACTACAAGCCAGAACAAAGAAGGAGGACATTGTGACCTCTGGTGGACAATCAGAGCCTTACAAGTGAACTGAGCGAAGACCCAGCCAAAACCTCCTTTCCAAGAGGGCTTGGGTCAACAGAGATAGACGAGCAGCAAACACGTAAATACATTAATTGATTTCAAAATGGGCTGTAGTTCGTGAGCAAAGTATGATGATTACTTTGAGGGTAGTTTCCAAATGTATCAATGATAAGTTTGACTCCGTCTTTGTCGCTCCCTTTACCCCTCCCTCTTTTGATAACCAAGCAGTCATGCTGTTGTTAGTCCGCTAGGGACTTTTTCTCATGTATTAAGTATGTATGTATTCTGTGTTATTATTTAGTTACCTAGTAAATACATAATTAAGCCAATTTGTGTAGTGCTGAATCATAAGTAAAGCTGGGGTTCTTGCAGATCCAAGAATTCTGAGACCATTCAGAATGTCGACTGATAAGAGGTAATGATTGATATGTTGACTGTTTTATACATTTTGATAGGTAAAGACCTTTTAGAGTTTAACTCGGGAGATGGTAACTCTATAAATCATGTAACTATTTGTTACATGATTAATTTAATCAAGTAACAATTAAACATAGTTGATTCGATAAATAAGTAATCATATTAATGAAAGTCAAGTCACGACATGAGTGTTATTAAGATTGTTTGATATACCTGTGTTATGTGAGTGATCGTCATTCTGGGAGATTATCAATAACAGCACAAACGCCCTGAAATCCAACCTGAAGTATCTCTGTCCAAAGTCATTTTACAGACTGCATAAAAATATGGTCAAGGAGGGCAGTATTTCACTCTTACTGAACCTTCCCTTCCAAAACCAGGGTCCCAAAGACCCATATGTGACAAGGGCAGGCTTAACTAAGCTCAGTTTCATTCAAACTGCCAAAGAAGTTTCATATAACAATACGTCAATTTTATTTATTTATTTTGAAATCAGCTTTTCCTGGCTGTAATCCCACTTTTCTTTTCAGATGTTATGGAATTATCCGGATCAGCTTTCTATCTGTCCACACAGACTGAGATTTACCACAATCTCAATGAACCACATGTTTTCCACAGCAAGTCACACGTGTAAGAGAGCAAAGACCCACTCTACACTGGGTACATGAATGCAGTTGGCAGATTATTTGTGCTCCATCTGGGAAAACATCTAAGCAGTTGGACAATTTTGACATTGTTTAAGACCAAATCTGTTCCTTCTTCAGAAGCTACAGTGCATTTTCACAACTAAATGAAATTGCATACAAATTCTATACTAGATCCAGATATACAAAACACCAAAGATTAAATAGCTATTGTGTTAACTTGCACTGTTGCGCACAACCTTACCAGATGGAAGTATCACTTCCTCTGGGGCACTGTTCATATATTCAAGCAGGTGACATTGTTTACCTCCTTCCTATGCGGTGTCAAACCATGTGCCAGTGACAAATGAACATAAACTGAAGAGCTTTAAAGCTGCTAACATTACTTCAGAAATATGCTTGTATTCAGGGTACAACAAAGGCAGCCAATTGATTCTGCCATTCTGTCCCAGGAGGGTGGATGTCCCTTAATCATCTGAAAGAGGGAAGCCCTCTAATAAACAAAGCAGCTAAGCCTCAGGCCATCAGCTAACTGGGTCTATTTGCAATATTATTTATTTACATAGAAAACTATGTTTAAAACAGGCCATCCGATACTGCACTACAATCTTTTTTTATTAATGTCCTAACTCTGGACCTCCTTCACTATCTGTCAATATGTATGACTGTAGAATATATGAACAGGTGTGCAATCTTTTATGGTTGTATTTGTGCATGTGTCTGTGAATTCTGTGTAGGGGCATGTATTGTATGTTTGCGGGTGTTATTCAGAAGCTCTACCTGCTACCACGGTGGTCTCTGTAGTCCATGTCAAAGCTGTGCATGGAGTCGGTGCAGGAGTCCAGATGGTTCTGGAGCCGGGAGCCCATGGGGTACTGGTGCATGGAGGAGTTGGGCTGGGTCGTGGTGTGGTAGCGCGGGGGCAAGCTGTTGCTGGTCTCACTGCGGTAGTCACTGTCCCGGTCGTCCACCGCACTGTCATGGTCATCCAGGGCTGTGGGGGGGGGGCAACAGGACAAGCTCCACAAGATAACTTCTAGAGACCTCGGCATTATAACAACTGCTAAAATGACCACAGAATCTCCATTATATCCTACCAATGCTCACAATTTCACACATACATATCTGAATTACACAATAAGAACAAGTGGTGATATACACTGGGGTCAGGACTGGTCAGGTAAGAGGGAGGTAAGGAGGGCAAGGGTCATGCACCTTTGAATGCAAGCCAACCAGGAAGTAAACCACAGTGGGAAGGGGAATGTGATGCGACTGAACGTATAGGTCATTAAATAGTCAAAAAGGGACACTCCAGTCAAAAAGGGACATTCTAAAATAATCAGTTAAGGAACTCAAATGCATTGTTGACATAGGGGAATTCTCTCTCCTCAGTGACCCAGACTCAACTTTGGCACTCAGACAGGTCCTTTGGATTGCAGAGTGCTGACCCTGAGCTGAGTGGCCTGCTTAAGGGGACAGTTGAGCTGGGCTTTATCACTCCAGACTGATAAGTGAGATCGATAGCTCAGGACACACACTGATGTTTTAGTATCTCAAAACAGGCTGGCAAACACTGCCCCCTGTCTGTGTGACGATGCTGTCGCATCTCATTGACATCTGTTCAGGAAGTCATCAACTGCCACTATGATTTATCAAGGTCACCCGCTGACTACAAAAATAGATCTAGACTTAACTGCTATTGGCCAGTTATGTTTACATGGAGGTAGAAATAATAACAATGTGTGTTTCCATGTCCCGTGGGGAAATTGATAAAGGTGATGAAACTCAAATATTGATGATGAAACTCTGACATGAGGTGTAGAGAGGAGAGTGTGTGGGGGGGAGGGGATGGGGGGCACTGTAGCGATTGTTGTTGGTGCTGGATAACATGCACAATGCATTGAGGATAGGCCAAGGTGAAGCTTTGAGAAGGGATAGAATTTATCACAAAAAGACTGTTTTACATACTCAGTGTGTCAGCCCATCCGAAATAGTTGCCTGGTGAGGGTGTTGGCAGAGAAGTAAAGTGAGAGGTAGTGGAGAGTATGCAAAAACTGTGCCTGACTTAGGAGGGGAAATTATGACCATAACATGCATGAAAGTGGCATCCCTGTGTGTTGACATTCTTCATAACTTTGCATGAGTAGTGACTGTTTTGGAAAATTAAATTTGGATAAAAGGCTTACTTGATGTTAAGTCTGGGTTAGGAGATTCACACATAACTCAGGAATAGGACAAGCAAATAAATAACTTCAATAACTTGAAAAGCCCAAACTAATGGTAAGCCAGAGAGAGACGGGGCTGATGAGAGAGCTCCATCTAGTGGGATATTATGGTGTGGAAGTCAGTCCCACTCACAGCATTGGGAGGCAGCAAGCGGCATGGGGCGTCTTTGGACCTCATCCTGCAGAGGGTACTGGAGAGAGAAAAAGAGAGAACAGGAACTGTGACCTCTGACCTTAATCATCCACAACAACAAAGCATCATCATCATTCTCAAACTCCTGCATTTGTATAATATTTGTATCACCACCATGACTTCAATGCCACTGCATGCAAAAGTTAGTTAGGCCTACTATCTACAATCTATGTTCTCACTTCAGAGCACAGCAAACCGTGATAAACACACATGTCAATACTGTACCTAACCAGTGATTTCTGTGATGGGCAAAAGCGTGGTGAGGAAAGAGTCATATGACCAGAGTTAGTCCCATCTTCTATTTCCATGTATTTTACTGTGTGCTAGTGAATGCAAAAGAGCTCAGTGTAATCCCGGGATAATGTGACAGAACATTCGACCGCAATGTACTTGGTATTTTACAATATGCAAACATAGAGACAGTATTTTCTTAAATATACTACCGGTGTAACTGCTTGAAATATAAATACGTAGATGTTGTTTCTACATCTTTGACATACATGTTCGTGGTGAAATAGCGCCCTAGCATGTTGGGCAGGCCTTACCTCATCATGGATCCTCATAGTGTTGATGCGATCCAGCTTGCCGGTCCAGTACTGCGCCTCATCATCTGGGATGTCTGGCAGAGAGGGGTGACTGGTGAGCTGCATCCAAACCTACACCATTCCATCCTAAACCATCCATGCTCCCACATGCACCATGCTGCCATTACATATTCATGGCCCTTTAAATATGTAATGAGCCACTTAGGAATAAGACATTACAAATAGTTGGCTAGGCCCTCAAACTGCACTGTTGGGGACCAGAGACCAGTACTACAGCTCCACTGTAGTTAAGTTTGTAATGACTGAGACGCAAATGAATTCCCAGAAGGAAATTACCTTAGTCCTGACTGTGACAGAACTTCACAGAGACATAAGAAGCACTGAGTACAGGACTTCTAGAGATTGCAAAACGGCACAAGCCTTTACTTGATGACATAACCAGCCCAACAACTGACAATAATGTACAGAGATGATAAAGTATACATTAATGCCTACTACCAAACCACTGGTCTATTAGAGCACAGCCCCCACTCTCTCCCTGTGCCCGGATGGCCCATGACCCTTTACAGAGACACTGGACATTAAAGAGAGCTGAACACAAAAGGCCAGGGCTTCAAAAGGCAGATGAAACCAAACCCCTTTCCTGGTGAATGAATGGGATCAGTTGTACAAAGAACCCAGACAAACACACAGCCTCACCTCCCCTACCGCTACCTTCAAAGGCCTGCCCTTAAACACCTGAAAGCTGCTCTAGCTCCTCCCACAGACACAGTTCTAACTTTGAAGCTACCGATCTTAAGTGTTTTAGGCACGCCGACACCAATACTGGCAACGTTAAAGGACAGCGATGTAGAAAGTGACGTGCAAATTACATAACTGTTCCCTCTCAGTGTAGAGAGACGAGAGCGGCTGCATTCAAGAGGCTCACTACTCAACCTGCTGGCATTTCAGCCAATCGATACCATGTGTGGTGACGTACGTTAAAGCACAGGTCATTGGAAAAGCTACTACTGTATAATCATTACTGTACGGTGCCTTATGTCTGTCACATCTTCCAATGCAACAACAAAAACAGACCTATAACATTTCAGCATCATACCTATAGCCACTGTACTGTAGAAGCAATTTGACCATGATGTACTGTATAGAAGCAACAAATACATTTTAAAGAGAGCCTATTATATAAAAGAGATATCCTATGATAGCTATGTGCCCAACAGAAAAATTGTGATCTATATGACATTTTACCGAAGGGCAGCTCAAAGCGCGTGTCCAGCAGAACCCGGTAGGGCGTTGGGTTCTTGGTGCCGTAAATCTCATCAGCCTTCATCAGAACCTCAGCATCCAGGAAGGTCCACTCCCCTGAGCCCTCCTGAAGGAAGAGGAAGACAAGGTCAGAGGTCATGTCATAGACAGACAGACCAGATTAAACCAACCAGGTGGTGAACCAGTGCCCAGACATATCTGTGTACATGGTTTGTTTAACATTTGAACTGGATGTCTGATGTAATTGTTTTAGCTAGTCCTGTTGAGAGTGTGTACGTTTGGATGTATATGTGCATTCTCTGTGTTCCTCACCTCTTCTGACTGGCGGATGCTCTTGAGGGGGATCCAGGCAGTCCCCAGCATGGTGTCCCAGATAAGGCCTTTGTTCCACACCTCCACGATGAGCCCCAGGTCCAGACGGTTGATCTCACTGGAGAGACAGAGAGGGAGGGAATGAAGTAGATGGGGTCATAATCAACTCTCATTCAATAAAGTTTGATAGACAGAAATCGGTATTAAGACAGAGACAAAGTGATTGAGCCCATAGGTAACATTTTATAGGACTAAACTGTAAATATAAAAAGGATGGTTGCATTCATTATGTAGTGAGTCACATCCATTCAAATGGAAACAGAAGTAACTATGACAACAGAAACCATGATAAGTACATCTGTCTGGCCTGCTGCTCACTGACTACTTTTGGTCTTTGTTTACGCATCATGTCAGACGTTGTGATGCATTCCATCCTTTATTTGCCATTCAAATGGATGCAAAGCTTGCTAACAATAAAAAGGCATCTCATTTCAAAGCGACCATTGCTCATGATGTCTCCATCTCATTTGCATACTGGCATCTACCGTGGTTGACAACTTAATGCGGCAAAAACAATAGGAAGATGAGAGAAGACTGGCCCTGTGTAGCTCAGTTGGTAGAGCATGGCGCTTGCAACGCCATGGTTGTGGGTTCGTTTCACACGGGGGGCCAGTATGAAAATGTATGCACTCACTAACTGTAAGTCGCTCTGGATAAGAGCGTCTGCTAAATGACTAAAATGTAAATGTAAATGTAGAAGATAATTATAAAAAGTGCATTGCCCTGAGTAACGGTGGTAGTAAGAGTGAGCCCAGGTGCAAACACAAAGATATTCTAAACCACTCACACTTAAAGAGATGCACCAAATAACGACAAAACTATTACCCTAATGAGAAGACCAACCACTGTCAATCTCTTAGGCTCTTAAGTGGCCACAGTGAATGCAAACATGATTAACCAAAAACAGGTACTTGTATAAGCTGCTTACGGTAATTGGTCATACCAATATACGTTTATAAAACAAATACAAACAATGAGTAGACAATTTTGAACATTTCAAAATATTTTTGATCATCAATCACACACTGACTTCACTGAGCTCTCTTGCTCTCTCTTTCTGCAGCATAGAAACAAAACTAGCCCACGGCAGGGACCCACTCTTCTGTGAAAGCAGCATTCAGAAATCCATTCATGTTTCATTTGAGCTTCCCATTGTCTGTGGAGTGAGATGGGAATGAACCACAGCCCCCCCCCAACAGGCTTTGGAAAACAATGCTGGAAAATAAGCACTAAACAGAACACACCATTCTACTGCACTTATAATTTTTCCCCATTACTTTCTCTAAACACTCAAAAAGCAGGGATAGGATGGAGTAATGATTAATTGATGGGTTGCCATAGAGACAGATGGTTCTTTGGAGGCCTCATTCAAGCACAGAAACATTAAGGCTCTCCTCTATGTCACTTCCTGGAGCACCCCGTCACGGAAACAGTGAGAGATCCTTCCATTACCTGAATCGTCAAAGACGACACCATCACAGTCAGTGTAAACATAAGCCACCAGTTCAAATGAGACAATTCCATGTAGGCTCTTAAATATCACATAGGCTAAGCTCTATCATACAGTGTTGTCTTTGTACACCTAAAGAACATTAAGAACAATATAAAGTATATAATGACTCTGAGCACCATAGCAGAGGTACTATGGAAAAAGCCTAGAGATAAGGCAAGTGTGGGATGTATGATGTACATATCGATCCACAGCTGTCACAACACGCCTGTTTCCTGTCAACTCTGGTGGCCTGAGCCTGTGTCTAGGTGGGGATGGCCATTATCTCACAAGGAAAGTGTGGTCTGATCTGGACTCTAGTCTCCAAGGCCCTCTGGCTAACATAGAAACAGAAGCCTGGCCTGACAAACCATAAGACCTTTTGGCAATCTGCTATGTCACTAAGAAGACCAAGGTGCATCCATCCACTAAAGTACTCAGAGTCAATTATATAGAATGTGATCGATATCAATTAGGGAATCTGTTACATAAAGGTTGAACCACATAACCAATAGGCTACAGCTTTCTGGCAAGAAAACACGTCACTGGAGAAGAAAGAAATCGAGCAGAGCCAGTTTCCAGATAACAGTAAACTTCTGTATTTTCCTACACACTAGATGTCAATGCCATGTCCTTCAATTGCTCACCTCAGCTGGACCATATACTGTCCTGTTCATTTGCATAGGACTTGTACACTGCTCAAAAAAATTAAGTGAACACTAAAATAACACATCCTAGATCTGAATGAATGAAATAATCTTATTAAATACTTTTTTCTTTACATAGTTGAATGTGCTGACAACAAAATCACACAAAAATTATCAATGGAAATCAAATGTATCAACCCATGGAGGTCTGGATTTGGAGTCACCCTCAAAATTAAAGTGGAAAACCACACTACAGGCTGATCCAACTTTGATGTAATGTCCTTAAAACAAGTCAAAATGAGGCTCAGTAGTGTGTGTGGCCTCCACGTGCCTGTATGACCTCCCTACAACGCCTGGGCATGCTCCTGATGAGGTGGCGGATGGTCTCCTGTGGGATCTCCTCCCAGACCTGGACTAAAGCATCCGCCAACTCCTGGACAGTCTGTGGTGCAACGTGGCGTTGGTGGATGGAGCAAGACATGATGTCCCAGATGTGCTCAATTGGATTCAGGTCTGGGGAACGGGCGGGCCAGTCCATAGCATCAATGCCTTCCTCTTGCAGGAACTGCTGACACACTCCAGCCACATGAAGTCTAGCATTGTCTTGCATTAGGAGGAACCCAGGGCCAACCGCACCAGTATATGGTCTCACAAGGGGTCTGAGGATCTCATCTCGGTACCTAATGGCAGTCAGGCTACCTCTGGCGAGCACATGGAGGGCTGTGCGTCCCCCAAAGAAATGCCACCCCACACCATGACTGACCCACCGCCAAACCGGTCATGCTGGAGGATGTTGCAGGCAGCAGAACGTTCTCCACGGCGTCTCCAGACTCTGTCACATGTGCTCAGTGTGAACCTGCTTTCATCTGTGAAGAGCACAGGGCGCCAGTGGCGAATTTGCCAATCTTGGTGTTCTCTGGCAAATGCCAAACGTCCTGCACGGTGTTGAGCTGTAAGCACAACCCCCACCTGTGGACTCGGGCCCTCATACCACCCTCATGGAGTCTGTTTCTGACCGTTTGAGCAGACACATGCACATTTGTGGCCTGCTGGAGGTCATTTTGCAGGGCTCTGGCAGTGCTCCTCCTGTTCCTCCTTGCACAAAGGCGGAGGTAGCAGTCCTGCTGCTGGATTGTTGCCCTCTTACGGCCTCCTCCACGTCTCCTGATGTACTGGCCTGTCTCCTGGTAGCGCTTCCATGCTCTGGACACTACGCTGACAGACGCAGCAAACCTTCTTGCCACAGCTCGCATTGATGTGCCATCCTGGATGAGCTGCACTACCTGAGCCACTTGTGTGGGTTATAGACTCCGTCTCATGCTACCACTAGAGTGAAAGCACCGCCAGCATTCAAAAGTGACCAAAACATCAGCCAGGAAGCATAGGAACTGAGAAGTGGTCTGTGGTCACCACCTGCATAACCAGTCCTTTATTGGGGGTGTCTTGCTAATTGCCTATAATTTCCACCTGTTGTCTATTCCATTTGCACAACAGCATGTGACATTTATTGTCAATCAGTGTTGCTTCCTAAGTGGACAGTTTGATTTCACAGAAGTGTGATTGACTTGGAGTTACATTGTGTTGTTTATTAGTTCCCCAAAAAAATTTGAGCAGTGTAGTTTGTGCTAAATTATCGAATTTGCTCAAAATGATTTACATACAGGAGTAACAGGTGGTGCTCTTGTCAAGGGAGCTGATTGTTTAATGGCAACACTGCTGAGTGATGTGCTAAGCTATCGTATTGTGTTCATGAACAGTACCAAGGTAGAGCATTTATACTCCGCAACATCCTTGTGACAGTTGTGGAAAAATAAATATCAGAACAATGAGCATATACAGGCGCACACACACACACACACACAGACAGAACACTAAAGGAAGTGAACAGCTGTGAGAACAGTTTAGCTACCTTTCCCGAAACAACCACCCACCTGGCAGGCAACAATGGGGACAAAACTGGAAATCCCTGACTCTGACCTACTGCCACGTATTACTATGTGAAAATCATGAACCTGAAGTGTAGCTACAGAGCATTACCACCAGCGGCAGGCTAGCTTCCCTGATCTCACCTGTCTGTAGGGAAGAGCACTCGGGTGATTGCGTCTGCTGCATAATTACAAAAGCCAAATCAGCATGTCAGCCTTAATCAAATAAAGGTGTTAGTGACGGAGCATGGAGGACATACTGTCACAATAAAGTCTGTTGAGCTCAGAGCCATAGACTCTCCCTTTATCTTCACTCTCTGATCCTCATCGACCAAAACAAACCTGATATTACATGATTCTATGTTGAATGAAAACAGTGACATTTGACACTTACAGAGCATTCAGATAGACTATTCTATACTCCACAGAAACAGCAGGTGTGTTGTGGCCTATGACAGAGTGTGAGTGCATAGGACAGGAATAGACGTCTAAGAAGTGTGTGGTCACTGGTCACTTACAACATGAAGTCCTGCTCCCAGCATGGCTGGTCCCCTCGCACGGTGATGGTGGTGCTCTTGACATTCTGTACCTTCAGCGTCACATATGAATTGAACTTATCTGTAATACAAAGAAAAGAGAAAGGAGGTCAAAAGCCTGCACATAATGACATGAGGTAATGGTGGGGACTCATATACACTGACGAAAAATATAAACGCAACATGTAAAGTGTTGATCCCATGTTTCATGAGCTGAAATAAATAACCCCCAAAATCTTCCATATGGACATAAATCTTATTTAATCTTAAATGTTGTGCACAAATTTGTTTACATCCTTGTTAGTGAGCATTTCTCCTTTGCCAAGATAATCCATCCACCTGACAGGTGTGGCATACCAAGAAGCTGATTAAACAGCATGATCATTACACAGGTGCACCTTGTGCTGGGGACAATAAAAGGCCACTCTAAAATGGCACGCAACACAAGTCGAGGGAGTGTACAATTGGCATGCTGATTGTAGGAATGTCCACCAGAGCTGTTGCCAGAGAATTGAATGTTCATTTCTCTACCATAAGCTGCCTCCAATGTCGTTTTAGAGCATTTGGCAGTATGTCCAACCGGCCTCACAACCGCAGACCATGTGTATGGCGTTGTGTGGGCAAGCGGTTTGCTGAGAGCCCCATGGTGGTGGTGGGGTTATTGTGTGGACAGGCATAAGCTACAGACAATGAACACAACTGCATTTTATCGATGGCAATTTGAATGCACAGAGATACCATGACGAGATCCTGAGGCCCATTGTCGTGCCATTTATCCGCCGCTATCACCTCATGTTTCAGTATGATAATGCACGGCCCCATGTCGAAAGGATCTGTACACAATTCCTGGAAGCTTAAAATGTCCCAGTTCTTCCATGGTCTGCATACTCACCAGACATGTCACCCATTGAGCATGTTTGGGATGCTCTGGATCGACATGTACGACAGCGTGTTCCAGTTCCCGCCAATATCCAGCAACTTCGCACAGCCATTGAAAAGGAGTGGGAGAACATTTCACAGGCCACAATCAACAGCCTGATCAACTCTATGCGAAGGAGATGTCTTGTGCTGCATGAGGAAAATGGTGGTCACCAGATACTGAATGGTTTTCTGATCCACGCCCCTACCTTTTTTTAAAGGTATGTGTGACCAACAAATGCATATCTGTATTCCTAGTCATGTGAAATCCATAGATTAGGGCCGAATGACTTAATGTCAATTGGGACTGATTTCCTTATAACTGCATGTTGCGTTTATATTTTTGTTCAGTATATAATACTGGTACAATACTGATAAACAGTACTTATCCCCACCACATAATTAGGATAGATTGTCATGTTGAAAGTACCTCAGTAATTGTGGGAGGGGACAAAAGAGAAAGAGTAGATTACTGTGTACATGTAGGAGACAAAGTCTCCATATTACTTTGTCTTTATATGACATTGGCAGTAATCTGCAGGACATCAAATGATTTGCCAGACAAGAATCGTAGCACTTCTGTATGCAGGTCAGAAAAACCATGGTGACAGACGTGGCCAAGATGGGATGCAACATGGATAGTAACATGATTGACCAGAGATCAGATTTAGGGCCTGTACAGCAGCAGTAAAGCTAGATTGGCCAGCAGCTTCACTTCGGCTTTGTGCGACTGTGACGGTTGGCGATGTTAGTGAGAGTCCAAGCAAGTCTGTTTCCCCTTCCCCCCTGCACCCAGCCCAATGCACTGACCCTGCTAATCTCACTACAGATGAGAGTCCCACACCACCAGGAAGGCAGCAGATATAGCCTAGCCATTCTTTCCCCAGGCAGATCTGATTCCCTCACTGCAGAGCAGCCTCCCTAACATAGCTCTGGGCATGATCACCACTTCACCTCTGATACTGAGACAGGCCAGTACATAAGGCCTACGTGATGCAGAGATAGTCGGTACTTGTGACCTGCTTCTACAGCAGAAAATGTCACTGTCATCACTCATACCATCAAGTTAAAGACCAAGGTTAAAATACCATTGATTCATAAACATATTGAAAAAGGTAGCACTGTGAAGCAGGTAGTTCCATTTAATAAAACAATGATTGGCAAACTATTTCATATTTATTGTAGGATATTATACACCGAGTGTAGAAAACATTAGGAACCTGTTAAATCCACCTCAGTGTAGATGAAGGGGAGGAGATAGGTTAAAGAAGGATTTTAAGCCTTGAGACAATTGAGACATGGATTGTGTATGTGTGCCATTCAGAGGGTGAATGGGCAACACAACATTTTAAAGTGCATTTGAACGGGGTATGGTAGTAGGTTCCCAGTGCACCGGTTTGAGTGTGTCAAGAATTGCAACGTTGCTGGATTTTTCACGCTCAACAGTTTCCTGTGTGTATCAAGAATGGTCCACCACACAAAGGACATCCAGCCAACTTGACACAACTGTGGGAAGTATTGGAGTCAACAAGGGCCAGCATCCCTATGCAACACTTGACACCTTGTAGTCCACTCAATATTAGGAAGGTGTTCCTAATGTTTTGTACACTCAGTGTATAGTACAGTATACTATGTTGTGTATAAAAATCGAAATAATAGGTACAGAAGATGATCTCCATCTTGATTGTTACTGAAACATATGAAGGCTACAATATGAAACTATTCCACTTTAGTGGTAAGAGGATATGTAACCATGTGACGCCGGTTGGCCCTTCAGCCTGATGTTGCAGTGGTAACTCCCTCTTTCCCTCCATGGAGAGAGGGATGAAAGAAGGAGGGTAGATATGGATGAGCCCATCCTAGTGGCCATGTGCTGTAGTGTACAGTAGGAGACAGCTTCCAGTGCTCACCCTCAACGACAGCATAACATAACGTTGTTGGTTGGTTTCTCCCAAAAAGGAGCCAGCAGCGTTTTGCAGCGGCGCCAGCCCGGGGGGGATTAGAGAGCCCGTGTGACATAACCACCACTTTTCATTTCCTGCGCCAGTGGCAAGAGCGGGCAGACACGTGCCTGCTGACGCACTCTGCCAGCCACTAGCCACCAGCCCCCTGCGCCACCACCCACCCCCGCCCTCCCATAGTGCTGCTGATTCTGCCTGACCCACAGCCTGGGGCAGAGGGAAGGGGAGGGGCCAGGATTAGAAACAGTCATCTAAACTATCAGATACGGCACCACTACCAGTGTAACACAGCTACACACAAACACGCCAGCACCAAAGAGCCCAAACTGTGGATTTGAATGTCGTCCAACAAACCAGTAGACAATTATACACAACACCTGTTTTCCAAGAAGAGCTGTGATCTCCGCCAGACACGCATTCGCCTGCATACGCGTACACCCACCTTTATACAAGGCAATGGGTCTATCGACCTGGGGAAATATACGTCACCAGCTGGTCAGTTTTAGACTGGTCACTTCACATCCCAATGCCTCTCCACCTGTTTTCACAGGTTTCCAAGGTGACAAAAATAAACATTAATTTTGCCATGGACACAAGCTCAACAAAACATCAGATCAATCAATAGAACGGGTACACAATGAGACTGTATAGGGCAACAATGTGATGCATGCAAGGACCACATTCTACAGAGAAGGAAACAATGCATTAACACTATGGAATAACACCTGTTAGCCCCAGAGGATTCATTAGATATAGAACCAGGCTAATAAAGACTAGCCAGCATTTAAATTAGCAGGGCTTGACATTCAGGTCAATTTGCCAGTGCTAACTGAAAGCTACTGTCCCGAATGAAAAGAATACTGGCCCAGGAAAGTGGATGATGCGCACATCATTTAAAAGGCATCTTTAATTAGCGGGCTGAGCAAGTAGCCTAAAGCCTCTAATGACCTACCCTCCATACACAAATAATTACATTTTAACTTGACAATATCATATTTACATTGATTGTTTGGAGGGAAGAAATACAACCGCATCTCAAAAAGGTTGTTAATTGTTAGCGATTTTTTACAGTCACTCTACAGGCCCTATGAAATCAGTTTTATCTTTTGGTAAATTCCTTTTTCCAGGTTTTATTTTTCCAGGTTACCGAGTTGTCCTAGGTTTATCAGGTTCACTCTCAAAAATCACACTTTTTTAAATAGAAAAACTAAACCAATTGAAAGTCCACAAAAATGCTTAAACCACAATCAGGAGACCACTTGAGGTCTGGGAACAATAATATAAAAAAATATATTTATATATACAGTGAGGGAAAAAAGTATTTGATCCCCTGCTGATTTTGTACGTTTGCCCACAGACAAAGACATGATCAGTCTATAATTTTAATGGTAGGTTTACTTGAACAGTGAGAGACAGAATAACAACAAAAAAATCCAGAAAAACGCATGTCAAAAATGTTATAAATTGATTTGCATTTTAATGAGGGAAATAAGTATTTGACCCCTCTGCAAAACATGACTTAGTACTTGGTGGCAAAACCCTTGTTGGCAATCACAGAGGTCAGACGTTTCTTGTAGTTGGCCACCAGGTTTGCACACATCTCAGGAGGGATTTTGTCCCACTCCTCTTTGCAGATCTTCTCCAAGTCATTAAGGTTTCGAGGCTGACGTTTGGCAACCCGAACCTTCAGCTCCCTCCACAGATTTTCTATGGGATTAAGGTCTGGAGACTGGCTAGGCCACTCCAGGACCTTAATGTGCTTCTTCTTGAGCCACTTCTTTGTTGCCTTGGCCGTGTGTTTTGGGTCATTGTCATGCTGGAATACCCATCCACGACCCATTTTCAATGCCCTGGCTGAGGGAAGGAGGTTCTCACCCAAGATTTGACAATACATGGCCCCGTCCATCGTCCCTTTGATGCGGTGAAGTTGTCCTGTCCCCTTAGCAGAAAAACACCTCCAAAGCATAAATGTTTCCACCTCCATGTTTGACGGTGGGGGTGGTGTTCTTGGGGTCATAGGCAGCATTCCTCCTCCTCCAAACACAGCGAGTTGAGTTGATGCCAAAGAGCTCCATTTTGGTCTCATCTGACCACAACACTTTCACCCAGTTGTCCTCTGAATCATTCAGATGTTCATTGGCAAACTTCAGACGGGCCTGTATATGTGCTTTCTTGAGCAGGGGGACCTTGCGGGCGCTGCAGGATTTCAGTCCTTCACGGCGTAGTGTGATACCAATTGTTTTCTTGGTGACTATGGTCCCAGCTGCCTTAAGATCATTGACAAGATCCTCCTGTGAAGTTCTGGGCTGATTCCTCACCGTTCTCATGATCATTGCAACTCCACGAGGTGAGATCTTGCATGGAGCCCCAGGCCGAGGGATATTGACAGTTCTTTTGTGTTTCTTCCATTTGCGAATAAATCGCACCCTGTTGTCACCTTCTCACCAAGCTGCTTGGCGAAGCCCATTCCAGCCTTGTGTAGGTCTACAATCTTGTCCCTGACATCCTTGGAGAACTCTTTGGTCTTGGCCATGGTGGAGAGTTTGGAAACTGATTGATTGATTGCTTCTGTGGACAGGTGTCTTTTATACAGCTAACAAGCTGAGATTAGGAGCACTCCCTTCAAGAGTGTGCTCCTAATCTCAGCTCGTTACCTGTATAAAAGACACCTGGGAGCTAGAAATCTTTCTGATTGAGAGGGGGTCAAATACTTATTCCCCTCATTAAATTGCAAATAAATGTATAACATTTTCGACATGTGTTTTTCTGGATTTTGATTTGTTGTTATTCTGTCTCTCACTGTTCAAATAAACCTACCATTAACATTATAGACTGATCATTTCTTTGTCAGTGGGTAAACGTACAAAATCAGCAGGGGATCAAATACTTTTTTCCCCTCACTATATATATATATATATATATATATATATATACACACATATATACACACACACACACACAGTTGAAGTCGGAAGTTTACATACACTTAGGGTGGAGTCATTAAAACTCGTTTTTCAACCACTCCACAAATTTATTTTTAAGAAACTATAGTTTTGGCAAGTCGGTTAGGACATCTACTTTGTGCATGACACAAGTAATTTTTCAAACAATTGTTTACAGACAGATTATTTCACTTATAATTCACTGTGTATCACAATTCCAGTGGGTCAGATGTTTACATACACTAAGTTGACGGTGCCTTTAAACAGCTTGGAAAATTCCAGAAAATGATGTCATGGCTTTAGAAGCTTTTGATAGGCTAATTGACATAATTTGAGTCAATTGGAGGTGTACCTGTGGATGTATTTCAAGGCCTACCTTCAAACTCAGTGCCTCTTTGCTTGATATCATGGGAAAATCAAAAGAAATTAACCAAGACCTCAGAAAAAAATGTGTAGACCTCCACAAGTCTGGTTCATCCTTGGGCGCAATTTCCAAATGCATGAAGGTACCACGTTCATCTGTACAAACAATAGTACGCAAGTATAAACACCATGGGACCACGCAGCCGTCATACCGCTCAGGAAGGAGACGCATTCTGTCTCCTACTGATGAAAGTACTTTGGTGCGAAAAGTGCAAATCAATCCCAGAACAACAGCAAAAGGACCTTGTGAAGATGCTGGAGGAAACGGGTACAAAAGTATCTATATCCACAGTAAAACGAGTCCTATATCAACATAATCTGAAAGGCCGCCCAGCAAGGAAGAAGCCACGGCTCCAAAACCGCCATAAAAAAGCTAGACTACAGTTTGCAACTGCACATGGGGACAAAGATCGTACTTTTTGGAGAAATGTCCTCTGGTCTGATGAAACAAAAATAGAACTGTTTGGCCATAATGACCATCGTTATGTTTGGAGGAAAAAGGGGGGACTTGCAAGCCGAAGAACACCATCCCAACCGTGAAGCACAGGGGTGGCAGCATCATGCTGTGGGGGTGCTTTGCTGCAGGAGGGACTGGTGCACTTCACAAAATAGACAGCATCATGAGGAAGGAAAATTATGTGGATATATTGAAGCAACATCTCAAGACATCAGTCAGGAAGTTAAAGCTTGGTCGCAAATGGGTCTTCCAAATGGACAATGAACCCAAGCATACATCAAAAGTTGTGGCAAAATGGCTTAAGGACAACAAAGTCAAGGTATTGGAGTGGCCATCACAAAGCCCTGACCTCAAACCTATAGAATATTTGTGGGCAGAACTGAAAAAGCGTGTGCGAGCAAGGAGGCCTACAAACCTGACTCTGTTACACCAGCTCTGTCAGGAGGAATGGGCCAAAATTCACCCAACTTATTGTGGGAAGCTTGTGGAAGGCTACCTGAAACGTTTGATCCAAGTTAAACAATTTAACAGCAATGCTACCAAATACTAATTGAGTGTATGTAGACTTCTGTCCCACTGGGAATGTGATGAAAGAAATAAAAGCTGAAATAAATAATTATCTCTACTATTATTCTGACATTTCACATTCTTAAGATCCTAACTGACCTAAAACAGGGAATTTTTACTAAGATTAAATGTCAGGAATTGTGAAAAATGTATTTGGCTAAGGTGTATGTAAACTTCTGACTTCAACTGTACATACACACACAATATATATATATATATATATATATATATATATATATATAGGGTATAGTTGCCCTTTAATTCAATTGATCAACTAGCAAGATACTTTTTGTACTGTACAATGTAGGCTATATGTGACGGCAGAGTTTGCTAAACAAATGCCCCGCGACTGATACAAATCCTCATGAGATCATTCTGCCAGGTAGGCCTACCTTGCAGTCAACATTTAATTGGGAAGGTTTTTGGGGAAAGCCTTTAGAAATGGTCATTGAAACAGCGCATGATGAATGAATTGCGCATCGCAAAGATTCAACCAAAACTTCGGAACTTTTTGAATACCTGGTCTGCATACCCATTTTTGCAAACCCATTGCTGTTTGAATAAATCTTGGTAATTATTTTTTTTAAGCTAATTGTGAACCAAAAACTAATGTGACCAGCTTAAAAAATAAATTTAAAAATCACTGGCACCCTAGCAACCAATAAAAAATTGGTGTCACGCTGCCAAGTCAGAGCCTGGCAAATGTGAATGTTTTGGTCACAGTTTTGAGCCCTGCAGCTATGTGGCTAGCCCCAGAGGACTAGTTATATTGACACCAGCTGTAAGCTATAGATCCCCAGCAGTGACACCGGGTAAACAGCCAGGCCCAGGGCTCTGGGGTGAGAAGACACAGGTCTAATTACAGTCTTAGGAGGACAGGCAGTCAATAACAACAATACAGCCATTACATTACAACCATGCCCTGAAGACACTCACCATCTCCCCCTTACAAATTAGATGCCCCATGCCTTGTCTTGGACCACACTTGCTACTTCCCATGAATACGAGGTAAAAGATAAGAAGAGAAGGAGGAGACCTTGATTAGAACAGAGCCACTTAGTGATGGCGGTCTCTCCCTGAAAGAGCTCTTCCACCTTGCACAAAGGAATGATACCATCTACCATTAGAAGGAAACACCAACCCTCTGTCATAACACACACACACACGTGCAGCGGCACGCACGCACGGAAATAAGCATAAACAAAAGCAAACAAGAAAATGCTCATCTAGGTGCCGCTCCTAGTGGCCGGTGATTGTAATGCAGGGAAACTGAAATACGGCTGTGACTGTCTTGGAATGTGAGGTTACGTAATTGGCCAGGCCAATGTACACGATCACCGACATAACCGTTAAATTCTGTTTGTACACTTGTTTTCATGGATATGCTTCTTAATAAAACCTATTTGAAACAAACAATTACACTTTGTTATTATCATGCCATTTCATTCGTATTCAGGTTATTACTTACAGGCCTAAATATTAATAAATTAACAAATAAAAAAATGCCAGGTTGGAGAGGATCTGTTGCATTTTCGTATTGACACAACATTAACGGAGTCAAAATAAAGATATATGCCTACCTTGTCCTTGTCTGTTGGCTTTTCTGCATATTTTTTATACAGATCCTATTTCGACGCACAAAACCATTCAAACTAAGTCCGATGGGTTTTCTCCCACTTTTCCCGTAACATTCGCATAATATCACAAGCCCTGCTGCTGCAGTCATTCGATGGCATTGGCATATGTTCTTCAAAGAGAGGACATCATAAAGAGATAAATAATGTAGCCTAAGCTACTGAAAATAGGCCTTTTACAAGATTAAATCATGACATGTGTATTTGATTCTTATTAAAGAGATGGAGTCCAGACAGGCAAGGAAACTTTCTGAATGGACATGGAGAGAATCAGCGAACTCACACACGCACACCTCCGTAAAAGCATCCGTCAATCAAAGCCACCAGTAGGCTTGGGCGCTATACCGGATTTACCGTATACCGGGGTATTTGGAAATAGCCACAGGATGGTTTTTCAATACCGTTGAAACTATACATTTAAATATTTGTAGCTACTGTGTGAAAAACAAAGAATTCTGCATGGTTATAAGATAATGAATTGACAAGGAAAGACTGAAAGGGATAGCTATGAAGATGAAATTGACAATCATTAAAATAGAAACAAATACAAGCAACATGTCCATAGCCTATTTATCAGCGACGCTGATTAATCGAGGGGGAAGTGTTGGAAAGATTGTTGAAATACTGAGAGGAACTATTATGATTTGAATGGATGTAAAAATAAAAAAAGATTTCGTTGACTTACTGTGTGAGGTGAAGAAAGAATTACTGAGAAGCCGAGCTGGGCACTTTACTACATTTGACATTTGCGAGAAGCAGGCCAGCTACTTCTATGCATCCTCAGGTGCGTGCGCGTGCTCTGTCAACATTAACAGGACAGAGAAACCAGACACATGCTCATTGCTCACATGGAGCGTGTAAATTATGGTATTAAATAAACCAAAACTTGTTTCTCACAAGTGTAGCAGGTTATGAACTCTGCAAACAACGTTTCCACTACGAGAATGAGAACGGTAAATTACTGTAATTAATACATGCATTAATAGAAATTAATGTAACGAAATGACAGGGATTAACGGTAAATTGCCTGTTTTACCAACGGTAGGCTACCACATGGGCATTCATAACAGTGCATTGCGAGCCGACACTGGTAGCCTAGGCTAGTATTCTACTTTGCGGGGATAGGAGGGCGGAAACATTTTTTTCTCACACCTAGGATGGCATATATCGGCCAGGACCGGGCCTGATCAGTGTTGATTAGTCTATAAATTAAGGAAAGATTCCGTATCAAATTATACCATGCCAGGTTGGAGAAGATTGGCGCATTGTCCATTTGACACAACATTAGTGCATTAGGCTATAGGCCTCAGAGCCAGAACAACCTTGTCAACTGCTGTTGAATAATTAATTAAAGTCAGAAATATCCAACCTTTTTTTTAAAGACAGATGTATTAATTTACTAGCAAGCAATGAAAGCGTGCATTGTATAAAATAAAGTCCACACATCAAAGATTTATTTTCTGAAGTGCCATGGCCGATAGCGCTCTACACCTCCTCGCATCTAGCCGGATTAGCTGCTCCAGCATCAATGGACAGTTGGAAAGAGGAGATGTAGAATGTTTAATAGACAGACAAAGTTAGCAAAACACTTGCTTATAATCATTAGTGGGCAAATCATCAAATCAAATCAAATTTTATTGGTCACATGCGCCGAATACAACAGGTGCAGACATTACAGTGAAATGCTTACTTACAGCCCTTAACCAACAGTGCATTTATTTTAAACAAAAAAAGTAAAAATAAAACAACAACAAAAAAAGTGTTGAGAAAAAAAAGAGCAGAAGTAAAATAAAGTGACAGTAGGGAGGCTATATATACAGGGGGGTACCGTTGCAGAGTCAATGTGCGGGGGCACCGGCTAGTTGAGGTAGTTGAGGTAATATGTACATGTGGGTAGAGTTAAAGTGACTATGCATAAATACTTAACAGAGTAGCAGCAGCGTAAAAAGGATGGGGTGGGGGGGCAGTGCAAATAGTCCGGGTAGCCATGATTAGCTGTTCAGGAGTCTTATGGCTTGGGGGTAGAAGCTGTTGAGAAGTATTTTGGACCTAGACTTGGCACTCCGGTACCGCTTGCCATGCAGTAGCAGAGAGAACAGTCTATGACTAGGGTGGCTGGAGTCTTTGACAATTTTGAGGGCCTTCCTCTGACACCGCCTGGTATAGAGGTCCTGGATGGCAGGAAGCTTTGCCCCAGTGATGTACTGGGCCGTACGCACTACCCTCTGTAGTGCCTTGCGTTCGGAGGCCAAGCAGTTGCCATACCAGGCGGTGATGCAACCAGTCAGGATGCTCTCGATGGTGCAGCTGTAGAATTTTTTGAGGATCTGAGGACCCATGCCAAATCTTTTTAGTCTCCTGAGGGGGAATAGGCTTTGTCGTGCCCTCTTCACGACTGTCTTGGTGTGTTTGGACCATGATAGTTCGTTGGTGATGTGGACACCAAGGAACTTGAAGCTCTCAACCTGTTCCACTACAGCCCCGTCGATGAGAATGGGGGCGTACATGATCTTCTCTGATCAGTGATCAGTCTCCACACTCTGACAGTAGACAGTCAGCAATCATTTCCTGCTCGAAGCTGGACTGTCTATGCTTCTTGATGCTGGATCAAATCAAATTTTATTCGTCACGTTTCATAAACAACAGGTGTAGACTAACAGTGAAATGCTTACGGGCCCTTCCCAACAATGCAGCGAGAGAGAGAAAATAGAGAAATAAGTAATAACACGTAATAATAAATACACAATGAGTAACAATAACTTGGCTATACGTTTACACAGCGTACCAGCACCGAGTCGATGTGCAGGGGTACGAAGTAATTAAGGTAGATACAGTATGTACATATACAGTGCCTTCAGAAAGTATTCATACCCCTTGACTTTTTACACATTTTGTTGTGTTACAGCCTGAATTGAAAATGTATTAAATTGTGTGTTTTTTATTTTATTTTTACAGGCCTACACACAATACCCCCATAATGTCAAAGTGGAATTATGTTTTTCGAAATTTTAACAAACTAATACAACATGAAACGCTGAAATGTATTGAGTCAATAAGTATTCAACCCCTTTGTTATGGCAAGCCTAAAATAAGTTCAGGAGTAAACATGTGCTTATCAAGTCACATAATAAGTTGCATGTGTGCAATAGTGTTTAACATAATTTTTTTAATGACTACCTCATCTCTGTACCCCACACATACAAATTATATGTAAGGTCCCTCAGTCGAGCAGTGATTCAACCACAAAGACCAGGGAGGTTTTCCAATGCCTCGCAAAGAAGGGCACCTATTGGTAGATTGGTAAAAAACAAAAGTGACATTGAATATCCCTTTGAGCATGGTGAAGTTATTAATTCCACTTTAGATGGTGTATCAATACACCCAGTCACTACAAAGATACAGGCGTCCTTCTGCTCAGGGATTTCACCATGAGGCCATCGGTGACTTTAAAACAGAGTTTAATGGCTGTGGTAGGTGAAAACTGAGGATGGATCAACAACATTGTAGTGACTCCACAATACTAACCTAATTGACAGAGTGAATAGAAGGAAGCCTGTACAGAATACAAATATTCCAAAACATGCATCCTGTTTGCAACAAGGCACTAAAGTAATACTGCAAAAACTGTGGCAAAGCAATAGATTTTTTGTCCTGAATACAAAGTGTTATGTTTGGGGCAAATCCAATACAAACACGTTGCTGAGTACCACTCTCCATATTTTCAAGCATAGTGGTGGCTGCATCATGTTCTGGGTATGTTGTGATCGTTAAGGACTGGGGAGTTTTTCAGGACATTTTTTTTTGAAAATAATGTGTACATTTTGCACAATCCAGGTGTGGAAAGCTCTTAGAGACGTACCCAGAAAGACTTACAGCTGTAATCGCTGCCAAAAGTGACTCAGGAGTGTGAATACTTATGTAAATGAGATCTGTGTATTTAATTTTCAATATATTTGCAACATTTTCTAAAAACAGGTTTTCACTTTCCATTAAGGGGTATTGTGTGTAGATTGAATTCAGGCTGTAACACAATAAAATGTGGAATAAGGGGTATGAATACTTTCTGAAGGCACTGTAACTAGGAATAAAGTCACTAGGCAACAGATAATAAACAGTAGCTGCAGCGTATGCGATGAGTAATACAGAGCGATAGTCATAGTCATTTAGACAGGTTACCTTGGCGTTCTCGGGCACAGGGACTATTGTGTTGAACTTGAAACATGTAGGTATTACAGACTGGATCAGGGAGAGGTTGAAATTGTCACTGAAGACACTTGAACAGTGTTTTCCACCAGCGCCGGCTGTCAGCTATACAGCCGATTTACAGTGTCATTTTCAGCCGGGTACTTTTTCCATTTGAATTAACTAGGCTACTTTTCAATTCACTAGTCAGAAAAAAGTCTGCAGAGCCATCTCCCGCTAGAATGAACAATATGCATCTTCTAGCGATCTATTGATAAGACAGGCGCCTGTCAGTCACAAAGTGAGCGATGACAGGGAAAGACTGCTGGTTTGACAGTCTGCTGTTGGTCCCACCTCTCGATACCTGGGTGTGTGTGTTGTGTGCACAGTGCACTGTGGTTGCAGTCAGATTTCTACACGGAGGGACAGAGCATGAATTTGCACGTCCCATATCATGTAATAATGATTAATCGAAATTCACTTAGCCTATTGTTTTCAGGCATATTCATTTATTTTATTTCGCGTGCAGGGTCAGACATTAACGATGGCCTGCCGGGGCCAGTATATCTCGTCAACGGCCAGTAACTTTTCATTTTAGGATTTGTTTTATTTGTATTAACTTTATTTTCATGTAGATAAACTTGACCTAATAGTGGGAGCCTCTGTCTGTCGCTCCAACTCTCCCCTCATGCCTTAGTCAAGTGTCTTCATTCATTATTAACGCATGCTGAGTTTTTCAATAAATTAGTCAGAAAAACACAAGTGGTTGGAAGGCTGACATTTAAAATACAGACCTCTCATCAATGTTGTATAGGTTAGGAGACATATTCCTCTGTCACAGGAAGCACCTGGATAGTTGTGTTTTATGAATAGCGTACAGTACAATGTATGTGGTGGGAAAGTATTTGCTAGTAGCTACAGTATAAATGGTGTATATTTGTATTTTGGGCAACAATAACAATTAATGTCAAGCACGACCAGCTGGATAAATCTGCAATTGAAAAACTATCCAAACACGGAGTAGTCAAAACATTGAGCTTAACCAAACACTGCCTCAGAAGAACCTTACTGTACCGTGCAGTATAGCTTCAACATCCTCCTTCCCCTGCCCAAAGTGACCATTATAAAACACAGCCACATTCTGTTCAGTTCTAGGACTATAACCCTGTTGATACTCCAAGAAAACATCAGTGCATGCACATTTAAAAATCAACCACACAGCCTCTTATCAAGTCTCCACTCTGAGCACCAGAACTCTGCTAGAACTAGAGTGGAAAACAATGGCATCGCCCATCAAGCCATTGGCCGGTTTCAAGGTAATATGGAAGCAGCATAATGCAAGCCTTCGCAAAAATCCCAGGCCAATCTTAATGTGTGGTAAAAGCACTTGACCAGAGACCAAAACATTAAAAGGGTTGTGCGTGCGTGAATGTGTGTGTGTGTGCGCCTGCTTGCTTGCATGCATGTGTCCATGTTTAATCTGCAACTAACCTCTATCACCTCAGTCAAGTCACACAGATCCTTACAAAGACCAGAGCTTACGAATCAGGCCATGATTACAGGCTCAATAGAACTGAATAAACAGACAGAAGACAAAAACTGCAGGCAAACTGGGCCTGTCCTTGTCTGTGAGGTGAATGTTTACATGTGGCCCACAGCACAATGGAGGAGACTGAACAGGCTTCATCTCTTCTGTTCTGAGCAGAGGAGTGAAGTGTTTGCTCTGCGCTGAGCTGATGTCACAAGTGGAGGAGGGGCCAGAGGGATACTGCTCTCTTACCTCCTAGGACCTAGGCTGTTACCTAGGACTACACAACACATCCCAGAAACATTACAGACTTGAACCGTGTTCAAGACAATACAAATCAAACAACTCTGTTGGGGAAAAGTCTGGGAACCAGTGATCATATCATTAGCCAAGACAAGGATCAGTCAGGGACCTGAGGTGTGTGAGAAACACCACACTGGGAGATCCCATGGTAAGGTCAGCAGTGACTCACTGTAGCACTGCTGCAGCTACTGCTAGCCAGAAACGCGTTCATGGGGCTTATGGGATAGGCGTGAAGGCAAACAGTGGTGGGATTTGCCTAGGTGGAGGGCGTGGGGATTTGGACTTAGCCAACACTGATCTGAGCAGCTCACCTGCAGCACATGAGCTGGAGCTAGGCAGGAAGCAGGGACACAGAGCTCCATGAGATTACGCAATACAAAATCAACCAATCACTGCCCTGACACATTTGACTGTTTGACCTACAAGATAAATGGGTGCAAGTGACTAGCTGCTATGAAGGCTTTTTCAGGTTTATACACATAGGCAGGCACGTGCACAGATAGTTAAATACATAGGTAGAGCCCTATCTGCTAAGTAGTTAGTTAAATAGTTAACCAAATAGCTCCCTGGACTATCTGCATTGACTCTTTTTGCCAAAAAATGTTTTACACATCGCATACGCTGCAGCTACTGCTTATTATCTGTTGCCTAGTGACTTTATTCCTAGTTACAGTACCTTCAGAAAGTATTCATACCCCTTAATTATTCCACATTTTATTGTGTTACAGCCTGAATTCAATCGACACACAATACCCCATAATGGCAAAGTGAAAACATGTTTTTAGAAAATGTTGCAAATGTATTGACAATTAAATACACAGATCTCATTTACACCCCTGAGTCACCTTTGGCAGCGATTACAGCTGTGAGTATTTCTGGGTACGTCTCTAAGAGCTTTCCTCACCTGGATTGTGCAAAATGTACACATTACTTTCAAGAATCTTCAAGCTCTGTCAAATTGGTTGTTAATGATTGCTAGACAACCATTTTCAGGTCTTGCCATAGATTTTCAAGTAGATTTAAGTCAAAACTGTAACTTGGCCACTCAGGAACATTCACTGTCTTCTTTGTAAGCAACTCCAGTCTAGATTTGGCCTTGTGTTTTAGGTTATTGTCCTGCTGAAAGGTGAATTCATCTCCCAGTGTCTGGTGGAAAGCAGACTGAGCCAGGTTTTCATCTATGATTTTGCCTGTGCTTAGCTCCATTACGTTTCTTTTTTATCCTGAAAAACTCCCCAGTCCTTAACGATCACAAGCATACCCATAACATGATGCAGCTACCACTATGCTTGAAAATATGGAGAGTGGTACTCAGCAATGTGTTGTATTGGATTAGTTTTTTGGAACACTAGTCACTTTAATAATGTTTATATATCTTGCATTACTCGTCTCATATGTATATACTGTATTCTATACTATCGTAATAATGTTTACATATCTTGCATTACCCATCTCATATGTATATACTGTATTCTATACCATCTATTGCATCTTAGCCTATGCCGCTCTGTCAACTTGAGGAGAGTAATAGGAGAACAGTTGGGTCAGGTAAAGTTTTTTTTCCTCTGGTTATCTAGATATCTGGCGCCCTCGTGAGTCATTTGTCTTATTTCATAAAACCGTAAGCTTTAAGCATCAGACAAGCTCAATGCGTATAGTTGATTTTATTAAAACACATAGGGTGTGTCTATATATGGAAAAATACACTTTTAAAATGTCGACCAATCGATTGGTCGAAAGAACAGACAACTTTTGGTCGACCAAGTTTTTTTTTTTTTAGTTGGGACAGCCCTAGACTGGGGACTACCGGTAAGCTTCATAATGTAAAATAATGTGACAGGTGAAATGAAGAACGCAACCTGCTTAATCTCCTAAGATCGCACAAGTTCACTGCGATCAAATAAATGTTTCAGTTTCAACGGCATTGACAGTTTTGAAATTATCCCATGGCCATTTCCAAATACCTCGGTATACCTCTATTTTTCGGCTGGCAATTGTCAAATGCACGCTTGTTGGCAATTTCTACTTGTTAAAGCCGGTGCTCTGCTATTTTCCAACCCTTGCACCAAGATTGGTAATTTACCTGTTTTATGTGCTTGTTTGCGCTGAGGTGGGAGGGAGGGATGGTAATATCTGAGGTGTGTCCTTAAAAACATGAACCAGCCAAATCAGTCTGACAGTACTTTTGACAGTACTTAAATCTGAAGGAAGTATGGTTTGCAGTGACAACTGCATCAAAATGATATTGGGAAGTTCAGAAGATCATCAGGCAATAAGGTTAACGCTACCCACATGTACATATTACCTCAACTAGCCGGTGCCCCCGCACATTGACTCTGCACCGGTACCCCCTTGTATATAGCCTCCCTACTGTTATTTTATTTTACTTCTGCTCTTATTTTCTCAACACTTTTTTGTTGTTGTTGTTGTTTTATTTAACTTTTTTATTAAAAAATAAACGCATTGTTGGTTAAGGGCTGTAAGTAAGCATTTCACGGTAATGTCTACACCTGTTGTATTCGGCGCATGTGGCAAATACAATTTGATTTGATTTGATTTGTATGATATTCTGTGTAGAAAAAAAACAATTTAGTGCCTGGTCTTGTCCACTCTGTTCGAATGAGTCCTGCGCGGCTTGTGGACATTTTAGAGGGAAACAGAAGACACATACAGTGGTTTGGCATTTTTCCTATTTTGTTGCCTTACAACCTGGGGGTTGTATCATTTGATTTACACAACATGCCTACTACTTTGAAGATGCAAAATATTTTTTGGGGGTGAAACAAACAAGAAATAAGACCAAAAAAAACAGAAAACTTGAGCGTGCATAACTATTCAAACCGTTCAAAAGAGCCACATTTGTAGGTAGAAAACAGAAACCGCTCTGTTTCTTACAACCTCAAAAAGCTTCGGAGCAGGTTTTCATTGGCCAGTGAGTGGTCAAACACTCGTCACACCTATAACTTATTTGTTGCGTTTATTACGCTAACGCCAGGTGTTGCGCCCATAATTCCCACTGTCAAAATAGCAAAAATATTTATGACACACCCACAAGGTCCTAGTTTGGGACAACATACAAAGACATAACACCAAAATAAAGAGTAAGGACTTACCCGGAGATCCATGGAGCTTGGCTTTCTTTACTGAAAAAGAAAGAGACATAAAACAACCATTAGAAACATCAAAGATCTGTGGTTTAAAAAAAAGAAACAGACAGCAAGTCAGTATCCCGGCTCATGATTTACTTCAGGGATATCTCACAACTTTATCAGAATCAAATTGCTGTAGACTACATTGTGTACAATGACTGTGATCCTGGGGTCACTTGTCTCCTCAATGGCATCCCCTGCAGTCAGATCTATCATGCTGAGTGTAACACAGCAGTGCATGCCCACTGGTGAATCAGGGACCAGGAATCAGTCACACAGACACCAATCAGCCATGTGTGGTCACCAACCACAATCACAGAAAAAAAAGAGCACGTGACATGTGTAGGTGAGGCCTGAAACATTCATTAATATGTAGACCTACAGATTGAGAAAACACCAGCCTCTCACATTTTAGTTAAGCACTAAATACTCACAAAAAAATGATTCCACCAGTGTTAATCATTATCCGATTTCCAAGAAATCTAAACCCTAAAGATGTGGGATACTTTCATAAAAACGGATTGGTTATTCTGATGGAGAACGGCATGGCTGAAAACATCAATGTGTTAAAACTAAAGAAACAATGACGTTTCAATACACCATTGAACAACATAAAAAGGAGTTAAAATAACATGTTACATGGTTCAGGTTTTTCATGTAAATATTCATATGTTTCTAATAAATTGACCACTACTCTGTGAGGCCACACTTTCATACTGAACTCAGTGCTGTAATCTTTCACAGTCAAATCCCTTAATACACAATCCACTCCCGTACCGACCTAGCCCACCCAGATAGGCTATGTTCTCTGGCACTGGATCCATAATCCCAACCTTTGCCTGGACAAAACCCTGACAGACTGGAATATGGAGAGCCCTAAGTCCTATTCGCACAGGACAAGTATTACTATAGAACGTTGGTTATATAAATATTACCACAGCATGTCCGTTTTTCCAGTAGACAATTCAGACGGAATTAGTTTTACCAAATTGCACATGCAAAAAAAAAATCTCATTCAAAATGGACCATTATGACAGAAGCCCGGAGGCTCTTCTAGGCGTGAAGATATTTCAAATGTCTAGGCATAGCCTAATATTGGCCTAATGACCTTCAGTTCGCAGAAAGTCAAAAATAATAATGCATATCAATAAGCACCATGAACTGTAATCTATGACGACATTGAATTAACTGATGTATTTGCCGATTTATCAATTTATTGGCATAATATCGTCCACTTCATCTTTTAAAAAATAAATAGGCACTTGGAAAGATGATGTGACAAAACAGATCATTCATCTGTAGGCGACGTGCATTGCATTTTATTTTAAGCATCAATTTGTTCCCATGTTCTTTACTCAAACTGTGTGCAGCACCTGTTAAACTCTAACATCCCTCAAAACACAGGGATGATGATTCGCACGGGATAAGTATTATCAGAGGACCTGGGAGTTTGCTGAAAAACTAGGTTTTCAGGGCTGAGATAATAACCTTCATGCCAAGTAAAAATTGACATGGCAGATTCGGACGGGACTAAATTTACAGATGTGGAGATTTGTGCTCGTGCACATAATTACATTACCTGAGCTCCCCCAGTAAAACTTAACCCGTCCAAATAGGGCTATAGAGCATATCTATACACAACAACAATAACCTATACCTACCATTCCAGTGTAAAGGTGTGTGAAACACAAGTCACAATGGTGAAAAGGTAGTCATTGGCTGAATGGCGGATTAATCTACGCAAACATACAGTACCAGTCAAAAGTTTGGACACACTTACTCATTCCAGGGTTTTTCTTTATTTGTACTATTTTCTACATTGTAGAATAATAGTGAAGACATCAAAACTATGAAATAACACATATGGAATCATGTAGTAAAAATAATTTATATTTGAGATTCTCCTTGACAGCTTTGCACACTCTTGGCATTCTCTCAACCAGCTTGATGAGGTACTCACCTGGAATGTGTTTCAATTAACAGGTGTGCCTTGTTAAATGTTAATTTGTGGAATTTATTTCCTTCTTAATGCGTTTGAGCCAATCAGTTGTGTAGGGGGGTATACAGAAGATAGCCCTATTTGGTAAAAGACCAAGTCCATATTATGGCAAGAACAGCTCAAATAAGCAAAGAAAAATGTCAGTCCATCATTACTTTAAGACATGAAGGTCAGTCAATGCGGAAAGTTAAGAACTTTGAAAGTTTCTTAAAGTGCAGTCGCAAAAACCATCAAGCGCTATGATGGAACTGGCTCTCACGAGGACCGCCACAGGAAAGGAAGACCCAGAGTTACCTCTGCTGTAGAGGATAAGTTCATTAGAGTTAACTGCACCTCAGATTGCAGCCCAAATAAATGCTTCACAGAGTTCAAGTAACAGACACATCTCAACATCAACTGTTCAGAGGAGACTGCGTGAATCAGGCCTTTATGGTCGAATTGCTGCAAAGAAACCACTACTAAAGGACACCAATAAGAAGAATAGACTTGCTTGGGCCAAGAAACACAAGCAATGGACATTAGACCGGTGGAAATCTGTCCTTTGGTCTGATGATTCCAAATTTGAAATTTTTGGTTCCAACCACTGTGTCTTTGTGAGACGCAGAGTAGGTGAACGGATGATCTCTGCATGTGTGGTTCTCACCGTGAAGCATGGAGGAGGAGGTGTGATGGTGTTTTGCTGGTGACACTGTCAATGATTTATTTAGAATTCAAGGCACACTTAACCAGTATAGCTACCACAGCATTCTGCAGCGACACGCCATCCCATCTGGTTTGGCCTTAGTGGGACTATCATCTGCTTTTCAACAAGACAATCACCCAACACACCTCCAGGCTGTGTAAGGGGGGGGGGGGGGGGGGGGGGGGGGGGGGGGGCATGGGCAAGTTGCAGCGGAGGGTGCAGAGCTGGTGGCCGGGGTAGTGTTAGCCAGGTGCAAAGCATGGCCAGCTGTAGCAAAATGCTTGAAATTCTCGATTATTATAGATTTATCGGTGGTGACAGTGTTTCCTAGCCTCAGTGCAGTGGGCAGTTGGGAGGAGGTGCTCTTATTCTCCATTTTAGACCTTCCCTGTATCTTTACAATAAGGGTTATGGATTTGAAAGACGGTTTAGAGGGGATTAATTGTGATGGCTGCTTCAGCCTTATGTACCGGCGAATAAACGACTGGGCTGGGATGGCAGATGGGCAGGATCGGGTGGCAGTGAGTGACAGGAGCTGACATTACATGATTTTAATATCAGCACATACAGCTCTTCCCCCTCTCTCTCTGTACACAGCTAGAATAACATGCAGCCCAAGTGAGTGTGGCTCTATTAATTTGCCCATCTTAGTTTGCCACATTGTTGGTGGGTTAAGAGGCTAAGAGACGACCCCAAGGAGGGAAATGGAGGAGGTAGAGAAAAGAGAGAACGCTTTCTAAACCCCAAGTCAAAATGCACCTGCCATTCTCTACACACACACACTCCCGTCCTCTCCCTCACACTGAGAGATTCTTAATTGGGCAAAGGCCTGTCAACTCCGACTCCACCTTCCTCCGTGACCCGGAAACCGATAAGTGGTGCCATATGTAGGAGAGCGTCAATTCGTTAATAGGTGAACGGAGGAGTTTGCTCCTCTCCTCGATTGCCTCCTCCAGGGGAGGATGTTCAGGTGTGTCCTACCGTGGAAGAGTTTTGTAATCCGCCACACTTCCTTTGAAACTGCTGTTGTTTTCTCAGATGAGAATATCAGGCACACATTTAAAATTGATACGCTACTCATCATTTTATAAATAAAAATGTCTAGCACAACTTGATACTTTATTTTTATCACTTTATTTTGGTATTCTACCTCTGTAAATGTCATTTGCCTGATGACGCAATAATTTATTTCCATGTTCCCACTTGGAGGAACCAAGGAAATCCAATTGCAATTCTCCCACTTGCTCTGTGGAAAGAGGAAAGGGAGCAGTGGAAAAGCAAAGGGTCAGGAGCATGACATCAGTGTTTCCATAGAGGCTCTTCTAGGCCACCAGGCTGTGACTCTGACCTGTGAGCTGGCACGACGGCAGGCATGATGTCCCAATCAAGCTGACGTCATTGTAAGCGGACGCAAACAGAGCAGAGGGCCATAAAGCGAGGGGCCATTATGATGGAAACTGATTCTTATCTCTCTTCTGCTCAGCCGTCCATCTTTGTGGACGGAGGAAGCCATCAGTGTTTGGCCAGGGGCAGTTGCTCAGTTACCCTATCAACCTACTGTTTTCTAATCTGCTCTACTGTTTGCTCACCTGATATCTGACCATATCTTTGTTTCTTTACCAAATTATAGAAACAACAAAAGAACACTAACTGTACCCAAAGCAGTAAAAGGAAACAAGCCAAGTTTTTATAATTTAAGATAGGGGTATATATTAGTTTTAGTAGACTGAAAACACACAGCAGCAGAGTAATGAAATGATGGGACAGAAAAAACACAGAAGGTCCAGTAACAATCCTACATACCAACTATATCATTGATCATATCCACTCAAATTTTAAGATATGTTTTGGAGCTGCCAGCAGCCCAGCACAAGGTGCATTTGAATATTGAGTTAAGGGATTTCCACCAGTGAATCCACTGGACGGCTGCCTGGCTTACGACTGTTACTCAGCTCGGAGGATTAGTACTGGTAACCCTTCAATTGGGGTCACAGGAGGCAAGTCACGTGACCACATATGGCGGATGGGACGGACACACTGCTGACTCTGGCCATGCATGCCTGGAGTGTTGTGGTTAGGGAGTGTTGTTAGGCGGGCCCAGGGAGACAGGAAGAGAAGAGCAGGGTTCAGAGGGTTCTATTGTTCTGTATTTACACACTTCACTGGAGCTGATCAGGTGGTGCCTATGGGCGAGAAAGCAGGCCAGAGAGCAGAGAGAGACAGAGACAGAGAGAGGGAGGGAGAGAGAGCAACAGATGGCCAGGGGATTACTCTCGCAATCTCTCAGCTCTCTCCCTCCCTCCACCTCTTTATACTCAATCTCTGTCCGTCCTCTCTGACCAATTATCTTTTCTCCCTTTCAACATGACATCTTTCCTATGTCGTCATGATTTATAGGCCTAGTCCATACATCTCGGGCTATCCTTCTGTCCCTCTATCTATATATCAGATTATTGACGCAGCTGAATCTGTGACAAAGTCAACATGGCCCATTTCCTCATGCACATAGCGTGCTTTCATTTCATCAAGACGGTCATGAACACTGTGTTTTTTATAGCACTAAGAGACACACATCAGTGTTTTTTCAGAGGCACAGAATAAATCCCACTCCATGTCAATGGCACACTTAGCATTTGAAAAGGCTTGGTGGTACTCCTAAAACACTCAGTCTGCAATAATAATCACCTACCAAACCAGGATGCCTATTCAGCATCCACGCACTACAATCCCTAGGTTTGCAGGAGCATATTATCATGAGAGTTCCATGTGTACTGTCCACCCAGCCCAGCCCTGATCCACACACAGCAGGGGTCTCAGTGACTGTCCACCTGTCACACTTGAAGTGGAGAACATGTATCTGTTGTGTAAAGACATCACCATGGAGATGGGCTTTTCTAGGGGCAATAAATAAACAAAAAACCATTGCACGGCTGTACGGGGGAAGGGGTGAGTCACAGCAGCCAATCACATACAGGACGACCATCCGGTCTAGGATTCAATGCACTATTAGGTTTGGGTTGGTAGCCTAAACTACGGTTGCTCCAGTTTCCATTTTCCCAATACTAATCAATAAATGGATGTTGTACATTTTCTAGGAAGAACATGTTCGAGGAAACCACAGCATATTGAACAAATTACTGTAAATTAGAGTGTTCGTCTCTGGATGTGTGGTGTCCACCTGTCCAGCCTCCTCATTACCCATACACTGCCACAAGCCCTCATCTCTTCTGGCCTGTGACAGACCCAGGTAGAGGCTGTCAAACAAGATTCTACTGGATGGGGAGAATAAAGCTTAGCCCATGGAGAGATGCCAAGAGAAGACAGCTATCATTTCTACTGTTTTATTACCTCACCATCTGGTATCATGCACCTGCTGTAAGTCTGGACGTGACTACAAAAGCCACTGACTCAATTAGGTGAACTGAAAACTTAGAAGCCTCACTTGTTAGGTGTGATGAGCCTGACTACTGTGAAATTGTAGATGGTTAGAGAGTATTTACCTAAGGGCTACCTGTGATCACAGACAGACCTAGATGACAAGGCACACAAGCTCCATCAAAAAGTACCTCTGCCAACTGCTGTGCCTACTGGCCACAATCACACATCTGTGCCATTACTTACCTGCCAAAATATAATGTTTGAAGAGATATGAAAATAATGCTTCAAAGCATGGTTGACACTGGCATGTCTGCCATGTACACTTACATGAGATGTCAGACATAAAATGTTGTTTGAACATTATTAGTCTTAATGGAGATAGGCCTGAAAGACTTTACAGTCAACACCTGCCTGCTTTTTATCCCATTTCCCTCAGTGCCTAAAAGAGAGAAATTGCCCGTACCAGCCACGGAGCCATGGGTATTGATCCTGAGCCACAGGTATTGACGACAGAGGGGGAGCTAATAAAACGAATCAGATACTAGTAATTACTTTTCTGTTTCATTAATAGATACATTTGAGTCATATTTTGCTTATTTTTAGTACTTTTCAGAACTGAAAAAAAAACAACAACAAAAAACAGAGAAAAGCTTTTCTAACAGTATAAATAATTGACAAGTTCAGAGAACTCATTCAAGCAAAATTGTATTTTTTGCCTTTATTCCTTGATGGTATTTTGTGCATCATTTCAGTGACTAATTACATCATCAATTGAACAAGGAGTCACTGCCCAAGAATAAATTGGACCAGTATCAAGTACCCCCAGAAAGAGAATCGAACAACATGGGCAGCCAGCTTAACCCCGACAAAAACGGCAGTCAAGCATTAATGAATAATGACTGTATACTACACATGTATAAGAGCAAAAATGTGGTTTTGGCTAAGTTGACACTTATTTGACTTTAGACAACCTTATTTGCAAAATGTTACCTGATCGGTAGTAGGACTATACAGTCTTCTTAAGACACTTTAGATGTTAAGCAGAGACACTACCACACAAGTTGGACTATAGGCTACTCTGTGAAGTAAATTAGATGTTTAGAGGAAATGGAGATGGTGATCTTAGACATCACAAACTAAAGATAAAAGGCTGTCCAGTGTCTCAAATCACACACACACGTCATCAGACAAGAACACTATTGCAAAACCAGATTGTGTGCCATAAGTGCACACAATCAGACAATAATATAATTTAGGTGGCATTGGTTTACTTGATATAAAAGTCAACAAAATTCTAAATATGCTTTTGATATCAAATTACAACTATTACACCTGCAAACAATATTTAGCAAGTAAAACTGCTTTTTACTAATGTTGTAATTTGGAAACGGACATGTCAAAGTAACAAACGTTAAGTCAGCTGACAAGAGCAGAAACACTGGAAAACAGCTGGTGGTAGTGGTGACGGGTCCCATCTCAAGATAACATAATAGATAGTCTCCAAATCCAAATAATCTAACAAAATTGCCAAAATAAACTATTTTAATATAATATCTTAACTTTAGCGGTTTATCTTTTCCATCTGTATAAAGGGAGACAAAAACGGAAACTGCTTGGTTTCAAAAAGTAAAAAAATTAACAATCACTGCCGCAAAAGTTTCATTCATCCAGTTTGGTCTATCCTGCTTTCAAACCGGTTACTGCTGGGTTTTACAATCTACTTCACTTGAAACAATTGTTTTGCTTTCGCTTTATGAAGTTAAAAATCTATGAAAATGTATGTTAAAAAGGGGAATAACTCACCTCTTACACAAAGTAGAGACATGGCAAGAGCTTTTCTCTGACAATCCCTCTAGTTTTAAATTTATCAAACGTCTCAGCAAAGATGCGCTCCGCCCGGTAACATTGCAAACAATGTCTCCAATCACTTTTTTAAAAGTTGTCACAGTTGCAGGTGGGCTTGAGATGCTGTAAAGGGCATCATAAAGGTTCGGCAGAGAGCTATAGCCCCCTGCCACGGGCACGCCATGATAAAATTCATTAGACTAACCTAAAGGCACCGAGATAAGAGGGCGGTGCCGAAATACTCTCTAATGACATCTAGTCTATCCATTGAGTGAGCATAATCTCTGAAAAGGGTGGACCATACAGAAGGTTCTGACCAATCAATGAAGAGAGAGTAAAAACCACCGATTGAGGGAACAGGTGGTGACGCAGCCTTGTCGCTCCCAGTTAGTGGCCTGTTTTGTAGTTTTCACCTGTATAAAAAATATAGAATAAAAAAATAGTAACTCTTTGGTTTATATATAGGCCTATATCAAATTTGCACACAACATAAGGCTACATATTTATCTTCCCTTACGGATTAGGCTAGTGCTTAATCTATTTGTGGCTTTGTCAGCTGGTCTTTCGTTATCAGCATTTATAATCAGTTAGAATTTGTATATATAGTTTACAACATGTTGCTATGACATACAAAGCTTTTACACGTAGGCCTACATTTGAGAATATATTAATAGCCTATCACAGGAAAAAATAATGAAATTGCTAATTAAATCAATACATACAGTGTATAATATTAATATTTCATACAATATAGTATTGTACTGGTAGTTGAAAAAAGTAAGCTTGTGCATTTTTTCAGACATGTTTTTTTAAATATAGAAACTCTATATAAATAACCACAAACTACTAAGGATTGGAGTAATTTTCTTAATTATTAAAACGATCATCACAAAACTGCTTTGGAAGCAATGGTGTCACACGAGTAAATCCTACAATATCACAAACAATGTTGCCATCAACAATACATTTTGATAGCCCTTTATTGTCCATTCACATGGAAATGATAAACTATTGTATTTTCTGCAGACAGTGTGTTTCCTGTTTAAAATAAGATACACTATCTACATCTCTAGGTGGCCAATACCTTTTCTTTGTTGAGTATGAGTGATGTCATTATGCCTATATAACCATCAGGATCACCTAGAATTTGACCAATATAGTTGGTTCACAGATGGTTTTGTTATTTTAACCTCCGTGTCATGAACACATCTGGTGGGGATAGTGAAAATCAACATGCGCACGCGCAGAGGCGGTTTGGTCAGCATGTAAAGCTTTGATTCGGTAGTTCATTGTATAATTGGTGATATTGATAAGATTCTCAATTATACAAATTCCGTCCTCTCCTCGACTCCTCTGTGACCCGGAAACGGATAAGTGGTCGAAGAGTACTATTTGTGGCTAGCGTGGAAGTGTTGTAAAATCTGCTTCTTCCCCTTTGAATCAGCTGTTGTTTTCTCAGAGGAGAAAACGATACTCTACTTATCCTTTGATCTATAAAATGTATAGCAAAAGAAGCTTAATAAAATAAATTGCACTTTACACATATATTTTGGGATTGCTCCTGCCTGATGACGTGCTAGTGGCGTAGTGTCATTTCATAAAGGTCATTTGTTCCCGCGTTTCCTCGCCTCCGCGATTACCTTTGACCTTTTTTGAAAGCAGTCGAAATTAGTACGGAGGACGACGCGAGGAGTTGAGCAAACCCATTTGATTCTGCCCCCAGTCACCGTGGCACCAGAAATGGTTTAGAAAGGCTGTAAGGCGGCTTTGTAGACAAACTATCACTAAATAACTCAACAGCCCCTCCCTGAGGCATTTCCTATGTGTAACATGCATACTGTGATGGAAATCATTACATTTACATTTTAGTCATTTAGCAGACGCTCTTATCCAGAGCGACTTACAGTTAGCACATACATTATTTTCTCGAACCCACAACCCTGGCGTTGCAAACGCCATGCTCTACCAACTGAGCTACATCCCTGCCGACCATTCCCTCCCCTACCCTGGACGACGCTGGGCCAATTGTGCGCCGCCCCATGGGTCTCCCGTGATAAAGGTGAAAAATCCTCAGAAAATTACACTTTAGGAGAAATTTCACAGAGATAATTTTCATTTTCAGAGAGTATTACTTTTGTATGTATATTTACAACAATGAACAATATGGAGAAAAAATTATGAAATCACTGCTGTGTCCACACAAATCATTCAAACCTATCATTTTCGTAACCAAGATGTATTGTGATGAGGTGTTACAATCTTGCCTAAAGTCAGTCACAATTCCTTTAGTAGTGACAGCATCATCATGGATGACCATTATTGGTATAGTGGTCATTTAATGTATTGTATTGATACATTTGCTATGTTATGCCAAACCTTCCTCCAAAACAGAGGCCCCTTCCCATTTGGTATGGGTGTGAAATAAAACATTCCACTTCAATAATGTATTTCGATCCAAGGACATTTTCTTACAAGTACTTTTGAAAAGTTACACAGGCAGCAATTCTGATCCATTTTTTTTTACAAATTGGTCTTTTGACCAATCTGATCAGCTCTGAAGAAGATCAGATGTGATTGGTCGAGACCAATCAATGGAAAAAATATCAGAATGGTCTGCCCGTCTAAACACAGCCACATTTAAAGTATTACAGTGGAGATTGCATCCTAACCTTATTCATATATCTGACCTTATTCCCTCCTCTGCTTGCTTTGAACCTGGAAGGCTCTTAATGTCAGGTCACAAGCTCTAACTTACATGAAGTAAAACATTCATGACACTATGAAATGAAAACATATGAAGGACAAATAGTTGGACATATAAAAGACAACAGTACATCACTTAAACAGATCATATCCTATCACTCTGGAACATGAGGAGATAATTCAGAACACTCTAAACCAGGTTACTAGTTTACCATAAGTTACTATTATACTCATCAACGCAGTCATTTTTGCTATTTCATGCAAAAGAAAAGTATCAATATGACAGCTTGTGGATTTGTAATTGGAACATATGTATGTAACGTATGCAATAACACTCAATCAAAATGAAAATGTGTAAGTGACATGAATCCTCCCAAATGGGTTGATGTTTCCAGGCCTCTAAGCATTCCCAAAGTCTTTACGTTCTTATCCTGTTCTTCTGTTTCAATGTCCTTCAATCTGCAGCAGATAGTGTGTCCCTTGCGCCAGACAGTGATGGTGCTGACCAGGCAACAATGCCTTGGCACCTCGTAGTTGTCTTGCACTGCTTCTGGTTCGGTGTCTGACTCTGCTCTGAGTGGTCTTGACATCCTTCATTACTGGGTTGGTGGCGCAGGCTCCTCACTCTTCTCCATCGCCCACTCTGGGGCCACACTTTCTATATTTTTGGAGCTCTGCTTGGCCAGGCTGCCATAAATAGTCATAGCCTAAAGGGAAGGGAAAGATAGAGACTGTTCTGAGAGAGGAGACGGAGAGACGGGTGTGCTGAAAGGGAGGGACAGCGAAGATGGGCTGAGCAATCACACATAATTAAATAGCTAAAGAAACAGAGACAGACCTGTGTGACCATGCCACTGATGTCACCAGAGTTGGAGGGCAACAGGATGGTGTTGGACTCTTTGGCCAGCTTGGAGAAAGCGGAGACGTATTGCTCAGCCACACTGAGGGAGGCTGCCGCGTTTCCATTCTGTCCGAAACACAATCACAGTTGGGTCAATGTGCCATCTAGATACGTACATGCACACGATGAAGCCATCACAACTATTTTACCTGTTCAGCTAGAGCATCTGACAACAGCCGGATAGCCTTAGCTTTGGCCTCTGCTTTGGCTAAGACAGCATTGGCCTCACCTAGGTGAAGATCAAGATAACAAGTAATCAGAAAGGGTCACAAAGACTAGCGTCCTGTCCAGGGGGTGTATTAATTCAGTGCATTCGGAAGGTATTCAGACCCCTTGACTATTTCCACATTTTATTACGTTACAGCCTTTTTTTTTAAATCTAAAATTGATTAAATTGTTTTTTTCTCTCCTCAATCTACACACAATATTCCATAATGAGAAAGCAAAAACAGGTTTTTAGAAATGTATTAAAAATAAAAAAAGGGACATCTCAAATTTACATAAGTATTCAGACCCTTTACTCAGTACTTTGTTGAAGCACCTTTGGCAGCGATTTCAGCCTTGAGTCTTCTTGGGTATGACGCTACAAGCTTGGCACACCTATATTTGGAGAGTTTCTCCCATTCTTCTCTGCAGATCCTCTCAAGCTCTGTCAGGTTGGATGGGGAACGTCGCTGCCAAGGCCCTTCTCCCCCGATTGCTCAGTTTGGCCGGGCGGCCAGCGCTAGGAAGCGTCTTGGTGGTTCCAAACTTCTTCCATTTAAGAATGATGGAGGCCACTGTGTTCTTGCGGACCTTCAATGCTGCAGAATGTTTTTGGGACCCTTCCCCAGATCTGTGCCTCGACACAATCCTGTCTCGGAGCTATACGGACAATTCCTTCGACCTCATGGCTTGGTTTTTGCTCTGACATGCACTGTCAACTGTGGGACCTTATATAGACAGGTGTGTGCCTTTCCAAATCATGTCCCATCAACTGAATTTACCACAGGTGGACTCCAATCAAGTTTTAGAAACATCTCAAGGATGATCAATGGAAACAGGATGCACCTGAGCTCAATTTCGAGTCTCATAGCAAAGGGTCTGAATACTTATGTAAATAAGGTTCTGTTTTTTATTTGTAATACATTTCCAAACCTGTTGTCGCTTTGTCATTATGAGGTATTGTGTGTAGATTGAGGAGGAAAAAAATATATTGAATCAATTTTAGAATAAGGCTGTAATGTAACAACATTTGGAAAAAGGGAAGGGGTCTGAATACCTTCCGAATGCTCTGTACATCAAGCTGCCTCACACTACCCAAGGTAGTGGGTTCGATCCCCGGGACCACCCATACACAAAAAAATGTATGCACGCATGACTGTAAGTCGCTTTGGATAAAAGCGTCTGCTAAATGGCATATTATTATTTATTATTACTACAGAAACATGTAGGTAATTTAGAAGACAATCTTATCTCGATCAACTTACAGTCAACTAAGGTAGATAAAGCAAAGAGAAGACGTTCTGACTCAGACAAGACTTACTTGTCCAAGGCTTACTTAGTTTGCAATGCTCAAACTTTCACACCATCATTAGTAGTTAACAAAGGCCTTAAGTCATCTAGATATGTGTATTAACCTACCAGCCGCTTTGTTGATCTGTTCTGTTTTCTGTCCTTCCGAGGCCAGGATCTGAGCTTGCTTGCGACCCTCAGCAACGTTGATGGCTGCTTCCTTGTGACCTTCTGACTCCAGCACAGTGGCTCTCTTCTTACGCTCTGCCTCCACCTACACAATGAAAGGCAGTCAGAGTGTACACATACAAAGCTGATAGGTTAAGTCTTAATAATGTGCAATTTATCACTAATCTATAGATAAGATCATGTTCAGCAATAGTTTGAGGTTCGAGACCTGTCTCCCAGTTTGTTGGCAGCAGGGCCAGCCCCTCTCACCTGCATCTGCATGGACTCTTTGACACGAGGTGGAACATGTATATCCTTGATTTCATAACGAAGGCAACGGATTCCCCAATCATCTGACGCCTGGTTGATGGAGTGGACTATGTTGGTATTAAGGGTCTCTCTTTCCTGGAGAAATAGAGAAATATAAAACAAGGAAATTAGGTTAAAAAAAATAAAAATTATCACAAACACAATTTGGAAAAAAGAACAGAGACTCACCCTGAATACTTTGTCCAGGGTCAGTTTTCCCAGCTCTGAGCGCATGGTGGTCTGGGCAAGTTGGGTGACAGCATACTCTGGGTCCTCAACTCCATAGCTGGCCTGGAAGGAAGTACATCTTGTAATCAATATCTAAAAACAAAGCAAAAATGTTCCATGAACAACAACCTCAAGAAATCATGGTTTTCACAAACTTACCTTAAAAGGATCCAATATCCTAAGATAGAGGACTCCATCTATCTGTAGTGTCACATTATCTGTGGATGTAATCAGACATCAGTTAATTCAGAGACAATAATATTATTATAATAATAATAATAATAATGAGGTCATACAATAATAATGACTGACTGACTGTGAGAATAATGATGACTGACTTACAGTGAAGATAAGTGACAAACAGTGACACAGTTGTCACTCACCTAAAGAAACCGCAGACTGCTCTGGGACATCAATAACTATCTCTTTAAGACTTTGCACATAGCGTATTTTGTCCAGGATTGGGATTAGGAAATTCAAGCCCTACAGAATATGCAGAAAAGGGAAAGACATTGGTAAATTGATCATTTATATGCATTCAGGATTTATACTGACATAGTGTGAGTGTAATTAAGGATGCAGATCACTAGCTAATTGGAAATCAATGGTTAAATTACCGGCTCTAATATGCGATGGAAGCGGCCCATCCTTTCCACAACCCAGGATTCTTGTTGTGGCACAAACAGAACCACAGTGTTCATGGGCAGACTGGACGCCCATCGCTGCTGGGCTTGTGTCGCCCACAACGCTGGCACTGTGGGCACTGTTCTCTGGGAATGCTGGAGGGAAACAACAAATCACCATCAGAGCGTACATTACACATTGTTGCATCAGAAGGTTACTCCATGAGTTGCAACTTCAGAATCACCTTTATTCGCCAAGTACATTTACACACTCAGAATTGTACTTGGTGAGATGGTGCTGCCATGATAGACAACATTTAGAGAGAACACTGACAGAAGAGTTTTCACAGCATTTAGATCAAATTTTCACATTTCAAATACATTGTATACAAAGATTCCAAAAAGCAGCCAATTATTTCAGGTCCTGTTCCATCGTTGGGCCGCGGGTGTGAAAGATTCAGCAGGCTACTGGCTGAACACACCTGGCTAAAAGATTACTGTAGCTCTGTTGGAATCACTTTTATAGATAACTGACACCTTCTGGAAACAGAAGATGCTCTACAGGAATAACAGAGTCCATCCAAATCACCTTGGCTCCTGGACTCTGTCCACGAATTTCAAGGCTGCGTTGAGACAATGACTTATCAATGACCCAAGACCAGCTCAGTTAATCCCTACCATTGTGCCGCTGCAAATGTACATTATCCCAGGGGCGTTGGCAGACAAAGGAACTTAATGCATGTCTTTCTAACTGCCCTGAATGCCTCAGTTGATCCTACAGCTGATGTATGCAGTAATCATGTGCCTATGAACCAGAGTTATACTGTTAGCACTGAGCCGGTGTGCCCTAGTAGGAAGTCCACTAAGTGCAGGGTGAGCTGCACAATCAGCTCAAACATAAATGACATAAGCATGTCTACTTCTGATAAGCTTCACAGTAAAGCAATAAAAATAATCAAGCATCCCAGAAAAGTGCTAAAAATAACCCACATTAACATATTGTTATGATGAATGTCTAGGGTATAATAATAATAATAATATGCCATTTAGCAGACGCTTTTATCCAAAGCGACTTACAGTCATGCGTGCATACATTTTTGTGTATGGGTGGTCCCGGGGATCGAACCCACTACCTTGGCGTTACAAGCGCCGTGCTCTACCAGCTGAGCTACAGAGGACCACGGTATCAAGTGATCTCTGAAACTCACTTAGATAATACCTTTGCAGATACAGTGGTAGCAATACATGGTTTTAACATCTACAGAAAATACAGAAATGCCAATAGGGGCGGTGTTGCGGTCTATATTCAGAACCACATTCCTGTAAAGCTTAGAGAGGATCTCATGTTAAATACTGTTGAAGTAATATGGCTACCGGTTCATCTGCCTCACCTTAAGCCCATTCTTGTGGGAAGCTGCTATAGAACACCAAGTGCTAACAGTCAGTATATGGATAATGTGTGTGAAATGCTTGATCATGTATGTGATATCAACAGAGAGGTATATTTTCTGGGTGACTTCAATAGACTGGCTTTCATCAAGCTGCACACTCAAGAAAAAGCTTCAAACTGTAACCAGTGCCTGCAACCTGGTTCAGGTTATCAGTCAACCGACAAGGGTAGTTACAAACAACACATGTATAGCTCACATCTTTACTAATGCTGCAGAAATGTGCATGAAAGCAGTATTCAAATCCATTGAATGTAGTGATCACAATATAGTAGCCATATCTAGGAATACCAAAGTTCCAAAGGCTGGGCCTAATATAGTGTATATGAGGTCATACAATACGTTTTGTAGTGATTCCTATGTTGATGACATAAATCATGTTTGCTGGTCTGTGGTGTGTAATAAAGAGCAACCAGACACGGCACTTGACACCTTTATGAAATTACTTATTCCAGTTACTAATAAGCATGCACCCATTAAGAAAATGACTAAAAACGATTAAATCCCATTTGATTGATGAAGAATGGTTGAGAGGGATGAGGCAAAAGGAATGGCAAATAATCTGGCTGAACAACCAATTGGCAAACATATTGCAAATTGAGAAATCATGTGACTAAACGGAATAAAAAGAAGACACTATACTATCAAATAATGATAAATAATATAAAGAATGATAGTAAAAAGCTTTGGTAGCATCTTAAATGAAATTTTGGCCAAAAAGGTAAACTCCGCTCCATTATTCATTGAATCAGATGGCTCATTCATCAAAACCCACTGATATAGCCAACTACTTTCATGATTTTTTCATTGGCAAAATTAGCAAACTTGGGCATGACATGCCAGCAACAAAACACTGACACTACACTTCCAAGTATAACTGACCAAATTATGAAAAACAAGCAATTCCGTAAAGTGAGTGTGGAAGAGGTGAAAAAATTATCTTATTATTGTCTATCAACAATGACAAGCCACCGGGGTCTGAAAACTTGGATGGAAAATTACTGAGGATAATACCGGACAATATTGCCACTCCTATTTGCCAATTCTTCAACTAAGCCTACTAGAAACAGGCCTGGAGGGAAGCAAAAGTCATTCTGCTACCCAAGAATTGTAAAGCCCCCTTTACTGGCTCAAATAGCCAACCAATCAGCCTGTTACCAACCCTTAGTAAACTTCAGTGCAGCTTTTGACATTATCGATCATAGTCTGCTGCTGAAAAACCGTATGTGTTATGGCTTTACACCACCTGCTATAGTGTGGATAAAGAGTAACCTGTCTAACAGAACACAGAGGGTGTTATTTAATGGAAGCCTCTCCAATATAATCCAGGAAGAATCAGGAATTCCCCAGGGCAGCTGTCTAGGCCCCTTACCTTTTCAATCTTTACTAATGACATGCCACTGGCATTGAGTAAAGCCAGTGTGTCTATGTGTGCGGATGACTCAAAACTATACACGTCAGCTACTACAGTGACTGAAATTACTGCAACACTTAAGAGCTGCAGCTAGTTTCAGAATGGGTGGCAAGGAATAAATTAGTCCTAAATATTTCAAAAACTAAAAGCATTGTATTTGGGACAAATCATTCACTAAACCCTAAACCTCAACTAAATATTGTAATGAATAATGTGGAAATTGAGCAAGTTGAGGTGACTAAACTGCTTGGAATACCCCTGGATTGTATACTGTCAGGGTAAAAAAAAAATTTTCAACAACAGTAGCTAAGATGGGGAGAAGTCTGTCCATAATAAAGCACTGCCCTGCCTTCTTAACACTATCAACAAGGCAGGTCGTACAGGCCCTAGTTTGTTGCACCTGGACTGTTCAGTCGTGTGGTCAGGTGCCACAAAGAGGGACTCAGGAAAATTAAATTGGCTCAGAACAGAGCAGCACGGCTGGCCCTTAAATGTACATGGAGAGCTAACATTAATAATATGCATGTCAATCTCTCATGGCTCAAAGTGGAGGAGAGATTGACTTCATCACTACTTGTTTTTGTAAGAAGTGTTGACAAGCTGAATGCACTGAGCTGTCTGTTTAAACTACTTGCACACAGCTCAGACATGCATACCCCACAAGACATGCCACCAGAGGTCTCTTCACAATCCAAGTCCCGAACAGATAGTTTAGGCTTACATCAGGCCTATATGAATCCTAACTTTTGAAGCACATCGCATGAGTAGCAGACCCTTTTCCTTTCTTCCTGAGCCAATAAAAATGTGCCTAAACCTACTGTCAAGTTACCAGGTTGTTAGCTAGCTAGGTAACATGACTGAACAACATTGTCTGATATCAAACCAATAATTAGCAACCCAGGATTAGTTTAAGACGGCCCACGACATGGTTTGTGAAATTATATCAAATGTGTGCGAATCCCGATAAAGAAAAAAGGCATCTCTGGTAATATGGATAATTCATTAAACCGTTTAGGCTAGAAACAAGTAGTTCTTTGCTGTAACGCTGCAAGCATGCCTGTCGCAGAGCAGTGCTCCATTTTCCCTCTCTGACACTCAGAGGCTGCATGACAGTGAGCTTGCAAAGGCTACTCAGACTGGTCTATGCTCCTGGTTATAACAGGCGAGGAAATTAAACAACGTATCAACATTGCTCATGTTGCGAGCTGCTCCAATGTAACAAATGTACAGATCTAACAACAGAAGACTGATCAGGGTCTGCATCCCGGGCTAAATTATATATTTTTTTTAACTGACGGAGGAATAGATGCGCGCAAAGAGCGGACGGAGAGAAGCAGGTGAGTGAGGGCTGGTAGGGGATGCGGCTGGCTGATTACAGCTGCCACAAGTGATATGCACATGAAAGTATATATTATTGGATCTGCGCATACAAGAGACTAGTGGCTGTTGCTTAAATTAAACTGCATTTATAAACAAAACTGGACTTTATAAACATTTTATAACAGGCACAAGCAGGTTCTTTAGATCGGTAGGGCTGAAAAAGTCAGTAGTATCTATCATATGAAATGGTATTACGGTACTCTAGAATGTTGGTTCATAAATATGACGTTTTGGTACCGTGATATTACCTTGGTATTGGTATACCGTGCAACACTAAATATAATAGCAACAAAGAGAGCAGATGTAGGTTTATAAACTCTGTGAAAGCACCATTCGGCGCATGTGACAAATAACATTTGATTGTACTGTTGAGGGCATTTTCAACTGGCCAACGACATACACTACATGACCAAAAGTGTGGACACCTGTTCGTCGAACATCTCATTCCAAAATCATAGGCAGTATTATGGAGTTGGTCCCTCCTTTGCTGCTTTAACAGCCTCCACTCTTCTGGGAAGGCTTTCCACCAGATGTTGGAACATTGCTGCAGGGACTTGCTTCCATTCAACCACAAGAGCATTAGTGAGGTTGGGCACTGATGTTGGGCAATTAGGCCTGGCTCACGTCGGCATTCCAATTCATCCCAAAGGTGTTCGATGGGGTTGAAGTCAAGGCTCTGTGCAGGCTAATCAAGTTCTTCCACACCGACCGACAAACCATTTCTTTATGGACCTCGCTTTGTCCACGGGGGCATTGACATGCTGAAACAGGAAAGGTCCTTCCCCAAACTGTTGCCACAAAGTTGGAAGCACAGAATCATCTAGAATATCATTGTATGCTGTAACATTAAGATTTCCTTTCACTAGAACCTAGGAGCCTAGCCCGAACCATGAAAAACAGCCTCAGACCCTTATTCCTCCTCCACCAAACTTTACAGTTGGCACAATGCATTGGGGCAGGTAGCATTCTCCTGGCATGCGCTAAACCCAGATTCGTCCGTCAGACTGCCAGACGGTGAAGCGTGATTCATTACTCCAGAGAAAGCGTTGCCACTGCTCCAGAGTCCAATATTGGCGAGCTTTACACCACTCCAGCCTATGCTTGGCATTGCGCATGGTGATCTTTGGCTTGTGTGCGGCTGCTCGGCCATGGAAACCCATTTCATTAAGCTCCCGACAAACAGTTATTGTGCTGACATTGCTTCCAGAGGCAGTTTGGAACTCGGTAGTGAGTGTTGCAACCGAGGACAGGCGATTTTTACGCGCTTCAGCACTTGGATGTCCAATTCTGTGAGCTTGTGTGGCCTACCACTTCGCGGCTGAGCCATTGTTGCTCCTAGACATTTCCACTTCACATAACAGCACTTACAATTGACCGGGGCAGCTCTAGCAGGGCAGATATTTGACGAACTGAGTTGTTGGAAAGTTGGCATACTATGACAGTGCCACGTTGAAAGTCACTGAACTCTTCAGTAAGGCCATTCTACTGCCAATGTTTGTCTATGGAGATTGCATGGCTGTGCGCTCGATTTTATACACCTGGCAGCAACGGGTGTGGCTGAAATAGCCAAATCCACTAATTTGAAAGGATGTCCACATACGTTTGTATATATAGTGTAACTAGTTATCTAGGTAGCTGACTAACATCTCAGCGAACACATGACATGATAGCAAGGCAAGCTAGCTGGCATACAGTAGCAAGCTAACTCAGTTTGTAGACTAACAGTAACTAACGTTACCTAGCTAGTTTGAAATAGCATGTGTCTTACCTTTAAAAGGGCACCACCGGTCCGGCACAATGTTCTGAGCATTTTCTCAATGTAATTGTTGTCTGATATGTAGCTATCTGGTTTAGGTGAGATTTTTTTTTAAATTAATATTTGTTCATGTGTGACCCTCGGCAGATTCAGGAAACGAAGTTACAACATCGAATTGGTGCACTGGTTAAACACGTCCCCCTGTTGATATTGGAAACGGAACTCTATCATTCCAGATTATGCATAGTTTACTGAAAAAAATATACGTTTACATTATTGTAAATACAAATAAATAAACATTATGAATGTTTAATACTTTGAACACTTTCAGATGTTTTTAATAATTGTTATGTAGGCCTTGACAAGAACCCGAGTCCGAATTTCCAGCACTTTCCATATGTTGCAGTGCGCATGTCAGCATAGACCAGGGAAGACTGTCTGTACTACTGAGTTTTGATGCAGTCTTTACCAGGTAAAGTCAAGTGAGGACGTGTCAGTTATACCGTGAGAGCTATTGTTCCGAATCCATTAGTGTTATAGGTGTCAAGCTTATGGTCATATGGCAGCAGTGTGTAGGAGGGAGATTCCTACATGTGAGAAGTGTGCAGGGGGACATGAGACAAAGGAATGTATAATATTGGTGGAAAAAGTTGTGTGTGTATCAGGGGTGTAAAGTACTTAAGTTAAAATACTTTCAAGTACTATAGTGTTTTGGGTATCTGTACTTTACTTTACTATTTATATTTCTGACAACTTTTACTTTTACTTCACTACATTCCTAAAGAAAGAATGTACATACATTTTTCCTGACACCCAAAAGTATTTGTTACATTTTGAATTCTTAGCAGGACAGGAAAGTGGTCAAATTTACACACTTATCAAGAGAACATCCCTGGTCATCCCTACTGCCTCTGATCTGGCGGACAAACTAAACACACATACTTTGTTTGTAAATTATGTCTGAGTGTGCCTCTGGCTATCCATAAATAAAATAAAAACAAGAAATGGTGCCGTTTGGTTTGCTTAATATAAGGAATTTGAAATTATTATTGATACTTTTGATACTTACATTTTACATTTTAGTCATTTAGCAGACACTCTTATCCAGAGCGACTTACAGTTAGTGAGTGCATACGTGTTTTTTTTTGTTTTTTTTCATACACTAGTCACTTACGTATATTTAAAACCAAATACTTTCAGACTTTTACTCAAGTATTATTTTACTGGTTGACTTCATTTTCTATTAAGGTATCTTTACTTTTACTCAAGTATGACAATTTGGTACTTTTTCCACCACTGGTGTGTAAACTGTAGGGGTGCCCATGGTGCTGGAGATCAGAGGTGTCCGTTGAGAGAAAGGCAGGTTGAGGTTGCCAGGATCAAAGTAGTGCAGAAGGCGTCGTATGCTGAGGCAGTGAAGTGAGTAGTAGAGGAAAATGGGTCCAGGGTGAGGGATCCTAAGAGGATACCTGTGAGTAGGCCGAGGCCAATAGTGATAGGAATAACGTGCTTCAGCAAGGTTGATTTTTTGCTGTTCATAGCCCTGGTTGTCAATTGTACCGCAGGAATGGAACGTAAATCACAGAGGATAGATGTTGTGGTGGCAGCTGCTGAGAAGTACTTGGGTGTCTGAGATTTTACTGCAGAAGAGTTACAAGATGTTTTGAACCAATGGCGATTTTAGCATGTAAATCTTGGTGGGGCAAACAAAAACAAAAAAAGTGGGATGCATGCCAGCAAAGTCACTACACAACATTAAACAATACATTAATTGCACTATAACGGTGACAAACGGTGCCCCCAAACTGTTAGGGCCTACATAAAGCTGTCCCAACAGCAGAGTCCAACAGTAGTCCCAACACCTTACCACTGCTACATCTGGCTATCAGCGGAGCCTTGTCTGGCAGCAAAACAGTTCATTCATCCTCATTTACTGCCTTTAAAAAAAACATAGCTGATATGGTTGACTTGCTTAAACAAATGTGGTTTCTACTGACAGGTGGTGAAGGTAGGAAACAGCATCTCCACTTCGTTGATCCTCAACACTGGGGCCCCACAAGGGTGCGTGCTCAGCCCCCTCCTGTACTCCCTGTTCACCCATGACTGCGTGGCCATGCACGCCTGAGTGGCGCAGTGGTCTAAGGCACTGCATCGCAGTGCTAACTGTGCCACTAGAGATCCTGGTTCGAATCCAGGCTCTGTCGCAGCCGGCCGCGACCGGGAGACTCATGGGCGGCGCACAATTGGCCCAGCGTCGTCCAGGGTAGGGGAGGGAATGGCCGGCAGGGATGTAGCTCAGTTGATAGAGCATGGCGTTTGCAACGCCAGGGTTGTGGGTTCGATTCCCACGGGGGGCCAGTATAAAAAAAAAAAATTATTCACTAACTGTAAGTCGCTCTGGATAAGAGCGTCTGCTAAATGACTAAAATGTAAATGTATATGTAAATGTTGTGTCGAGTAAACGTTGCTAATTATGCTGTGTGACCAAGGAGAACCGCTGACGCTGTATTTTCATCATAAAGGTTTAAACACGCCTCCAACTCAATCATCAAGTTTGCAGACGACACAACAGTAGTTGGCTTGATTAAAAACAATGATGAGACCGCCTACAGGGAGGAGGTGAGGGCTCTGGGAGTGTGGTGCCAGGAAAATAACCTCTCACTCAACGTCAACAAAACAAAGGAGATGATCGTGGACTTCAGGAAACAGCAGAGGGTGCACCCCCCTATCCACATAGATGGGACCGCAGTGGAGAAGGTGGAAATCTTCAAGTTCCTTGGTGTACACATCACCGACAAACTGAAATGGTCCACCCACGCAGACAGTGTGGTGAAGAAGGCGCAACAGAGCCTCTTCAACCTCAGGAGGTTGAAGAAATGTGTCTTGGCACCTAAAGCCCTCACAAACTTTTACAGATGCACAATTGAGAGCATCCTGTCAGGCTGTATCACCACCTGGTACAGCAACTGCACCGCCGGCAACCACATGGCTCTCCAGAGGGTGGTGCGGTCTGCTGAACGCATTATCGGGGGCAAACTACCCACCCTCCAAGACACATACAGCACCCGATGTCATAGGAAGGCCAAAAAGATCATCAAGGACATCAACCACCCGAGCCACTGCCTGTTCACCCCGCTATCATCCAGAAGGCGAGGTCAGTACAGGTGCATCAAAGCTGGGCCCGAGAGAATGAAAAACAGCTTCTATCTCAAGGCCATCAGACTGTTAAATAGCCATCACTAGCACATTAGAGGCTGCTGCTGCCTATTGAAATCACTGGCCACTTTAAGAAATTGAACACTAGTCACTTTAATAATGTTTACAGTCACTTTAATAATGTTTACATACCTTGCACTACTCATCTCATATGTATATACTGCATTCTATTCTATAATATTCTACTGTATCTTAGTCCATGCCACTCTGTCATTGTCATTGCTTGTCCATATATGTATATTTTCCATTCCTTACTAGTTTTGTGTGTATTAGGTATATGTTGTGAAATGGTTAGGTATTACTTGTTAGATATTACTGCACTGTCGGAGCTAGAAGCACATGCATTTCGCTACACCCGCTATAACATCTGCTAAACACGTGTATGTGACAAATAAAATGTGATTTAATTTGATTTGATACAAACTATGGCATAAGGGGACGACAAGCGGATAAGAGGCAATATGTAATTTCGATTAAGACATTAATGAGCCATCTAGGACGGACGTCGTCAATATAACATTTTGTTCAGCACTTTTGAAATGTACAGCAACAGAATTCAGAACATTGGCCATTCTTACAGTATTCTCCCTGTACACCAAGTCAGAACCATAGGATAAATAAAGGGGGCATATAAGCAGACAATGAAAGCTCTTACAATATTCAATAATTACATTTCTCTATAACAGGTTATAGGCTACATGTGCACCACCAAGTCAGAACAGTAGGCAAAATTAAGAGGGGAAAATAAACCAAATTATTAGGTTGAGTCCTTCGTGAGCAAATTTTGTCATCAAACTTTGTCATCAAAGTCTGGCATTCTCTGGATTTATGGTGCTTTCAAGACAACTGGGAACAAGGTCGAATCATGATGACGTCAGTGAGCTTCAGGTCATAGCTCTAGAAAGAGGCCCAAGTTCCCGACTTACAATTCCGAGTTGGATGACCGTTCAAAACTTATTTTCCCAGTCGGAGCTCGTTTTTCCCCCGAGTTCCCAGTTCTCTTGAACTCACTGAAGTCAGATTTCCCAGTTCCGAGTTAACAGTTGTTTGAGCGCGGCAGAAATCATGCTGAATTGACAGCATGGCCAATGTTGAATGTTTATCATTTAAGCTTGGAAAAGAGACCCTTAAACCCAGACTTGGGACCACACACCCACTCCACTGAATAGCAGGCTAGTGATTGCTTTGCAATGCTTGCAGTTAGCCACTGATTCCTTCCAAACCACTCATTGTTGAATTTGCTTGTTGTGTATTGTTGTGTATTGTTTATGTCCAATGGCCGATGAGCACCAATACGTTTTATCTATAATTTCTCTTCATTATTTCTCTTCATATGACAATGATTAAAAAGGACTTGCCAGTAGATTGTCGACTTGATTCATGATGATGACTGCTAGCTAAGATTTTGAAAGTATGATGTTGACGTGATCAGTCCAATCAAAGCTAACGTAGATATAACGTGATTTGACGTCATTTTAGGGAGCTTGAATTTTCGAGCTCTACCCTAAGATTTGGCGGTGACTGTAGTGTCCCCATGAGTGACAGAACACTGGGCCAATCACGGCACAACTAGAGAACATTACCAACTGCTACACTCTGCCCCACCTACCCTGAATGATGGGTCACCACTGTTTTTAACGATAGTGTCCTGTCCTCCCAGGCTGCTGGCCTGGAGTAGGATCAGATTGGGCCAAAGTAGTGGAATAGTGGTGAGATTTTAATGGGTGCAGGGCTAGTTGGTAGGGCAATTTTTTAACAAAGTTTAATAAATTCGTACTACAGAATATTAGGCAGATACACAGCCAATACAGTAGGTTGCAGCATGCACCTATTATATTTGTTTGCGGACCGCAATAATACCAAAGAAGAAGAAGTATAGGCTGGAAGTGGGGTTACAGCGAGAGGTGACCGTGTAGGGACATGCGCTTCCGCTTTGCAAGGCGCTGGCAGTTGAATGAATAGCTGAGCTGTAGTCCCAATGAAGGTAAGAGGGAGTATTATCGCACTGTGTGTACCTGAGGCACCTTTCTCGCTGCTGGCTGTTGTGTATACACTCGTTGTCGACTGGCCCTGCCTGAGAGAGGACAAAACGGAGCGCTACAAGGTCAGTAACGTTAGCTAGTAACGGTACAGGTTGGTAGCTAGGCTAGCTAGCACTAGCAATTGATCAGCGGTATGGCTGTTGCATTTAAAACAGATAATGTAAATAGCTACGTGGTAACAAGTTAGCTAATCTAGCTCGCTAACTTGAATTCTAACGAAGCCAGCCTTAAGTGAAAAACACATCAGATAATTTCACTTTTTGGCCCATCGTTATGGATGCTATGGCACTTATTGTGTACCTGTAGCTAGCGAACGTTAGCCAGTTTGCTGTTAGTGGTAGCCTACGGTTACATAGAGGTTGAATCTGTACATATGTTGCAAGATTCCGTACTATTTTAAAATCACATTAGAAATGCTGCCACTATAGCAATTACTGTGATTATCGTTTGTCTATTGACATTTTTATGGCATGAACAAGATTACAGCTACAACCAGCAAGTTGTTTCTACACTCATGCATTTGGCCCATATACAGTCTATGATAAGTCCCTAGGATGAAGAGACTCCCCATCCTAGTTCTGCTCCTGTGGCTGTGTGCCATGTTCTACGTGGGGATCTTCCTGTTTGTTGGCGGCTTCCTGCTGGTGAGGCTGGAGGTTAACCGGACCAGCACCTGTGGGGATGTTTTGCTGCCAGGGGGCCAGCAGGGGGACTTCTGCCAAGGACAGCCACGCTTCCGCAGGGCTGTGGTTCTCATTATAGACGCCCTGAAGATCGACTTTGCCCGCTTTGACCCTGCGAAAAAAGAGCCCCGCCCTTTCGAGAACAAGCTGCCTGTGCTGGAGGAAGTGACCTCATCAAAGCCCACCCATGCCCGTCTGTTCCCGTTCCGTGCTGACCCCCCCACCACCACCATGCAGAGGATCAAGGGCTTCACCACGGGCTCCCTGCCCACCTTCATTGATGTGGGCAATAACTTTGCCTCCAGCGCTATCCTGGAGGACAACCTAGTTCACCAGCTAGCAGAAGTGGGTGAGTGACAGTCTATAAAGTCTGGTTCAATTTGCTATCCTGTAAGTAAAAAAATTCAAGCTTATACTCAAAGGCACAGATGGGACGTGATGAAAATTTGAACTCAGCTTTGCTTGATTATTCCCTTTCTCCTTTCTATAGGCAAGAGAGTGGTCTTCATGGGTGATGACACATGGGAAAGTCTCTTCCCAAAAAAGTTCCACCGCTCCCTGCCCTTCCCCTCTTTCAATGTCAAGGATCTGCACACAGTGGACAATGGAATTCTGCAGCACCTGTACAACATCAGTAAGCATTGGCAGACAGCCAGACACATTTGCATGTGTGCTGTACAGTATTGGACTTCTCCTTCACATCTCCCCATCCATCTCTCTTCTCTTCCTCAGTGGTAAGTGATGACTGGGATGTGCTGGTAGCTCACTTCCTGGGGGTGGATCACTGTGGCCACAGGTTTGGTCCTGACCACCCGGCCATGGCTGACAAGCTCACTCAGATGGATGGGGTCATCAGGTCAGTGGGAATTATTAGGTCTCCTGGCATATTCCACAGTAGTACTAGGCTATATCATAATCTCTCACATACAATAGTACAGAATTTAATATCAATGCCATTTTAAAGAACTATCTTTAGGATTGCATTTGTACATTGCCCTCTAAAATACTCTGTGCGGTATGTCAGATGACATACCATGGCACTACCAGTCTGACCATTGTTTTGTCCCCCAGATCTGTGCTTGATCGGCTGCAGAATGACACCCTGTTAGTGGTGATGGGAGATCACGGTATGACAGATACCGGTGACCACGGGGGAGAGAGCCAGAAGGAGACCGATGCTGCCATCTTCCTCTACAGCCCCTCTCCCCTCTTTCCAGCATCCCCTTCCCAGGTGAGTATAGCAGCTGCACATTCCCACCATTCCTATGATATCCTCAACAATCATGAAATGATTGTGAGTGTTGCATTGATCTGTCTGGCATTGATCATTCCACATTGAATTACCTTTGTTTTGTCTCCCTGTAGAGTGATCCTGAGGTGGTGCCCCAGACAGACCTGGTGCCTACCCTGGCCCTGCTCCTGGGCATCCCCATCCCCTACAGCAGTGTGGGACAGGTCCTGCTGCCTCTGTTCCCTGCAAACAGGCAGTCAGGAGGTGCACCAGCAGGTCTCAGCCAGGCGGAGGCACTGTGGATCAATGCCAAACAGGTAATCCCGTAGATCTGTTATCATGTCAGATGCACACTTGATGTACAGTGAGGGGAAAAAAGTATTTGATCCCCTGCTGATTTTGTACGTTTGTCCACTGACAAAGACATGATCAGTCTATAATTTTAATGGTAGGTTTATTTGAACAGTGAGAGACAGAATAACAACAAAAGAATCCAGAAAAAAGCATGTTAAAAATGTTATAAATTGATTTGCATTTTAATGAGGGAAATAAGTATTTGACTCCTCTGCAAAACATGACTTAGTACTTGGTGGCAAAACCCTTGTTGGCAATCACAGAGGTCAGACGTTTCTTGTAGTTGGCCACCAGGTTTGCACACATCTCAGGAGGGATTTTGTTCCACTCCTCTTTGCAGATCTTCTCCAAGTCATTAAGGTTTCGAGGCTGACGTTTGGCAACTCGAACCTTCAGCTCCCTCCACAGATTTTCTATGGGATTAAGGTCTGGAGACTGGCTAGGCCACTCCAGGACCTTAATGTGCTCATGAGCCACTCCTTTGTTGCCATGGCTGTGTGTTTTGGGTCATTGTCATGCTGGAATACCCATCCACGACCCATTTTCAATGCCCTGGCTGAGGGAAGGAGGTTCTCACCCAAGATTTGACGGTACATGGCCCCGTCCATCGTCCCTTTGATGCAGTGAAGTTGTCCTGTCCCCTTAGCAGAAAAACACCCCCAAAGCATAATGTTTCCTCCTCCAAACACGGCGAGTTGAGTTGATGCCAAAGAGTTCGATTTTGGTCTCATCTCACCACAACACTTTCACCCAGTTCTCCTCTGAATCATTCAGAAACTTCAGACGGCCCTGTATATGTGCTTTCTTGAGCAGGGGGACCTTGCGGGCGCTGCAGGATTTCAGTCCTTCACGGCGTAGTGTGTTACCAATTGTTTTCTTGGTGACTATGGTCCCAGCTGACTTGAGATCATTGACAAGATCCTCCCGTGTAGTTCTGGGCTGATTCCTCACCGTTCTCATGATCATTGCAACTCCACGAGGTGAGATCTTGCATGGAGCCCCAGGCCGAGGGAGATTGACAGTTCTTTTGTGTTTCTTCCATTTGTGAATAATCGCACCAACTGTTGTCACCTTCTCACCAAGCTGCTTGGCGATGGTCTTGTAGCCCATTCCAGCCTTGTGTAGGTCTACAATCTTGTCCCTGACATCCTTGGAGAGCTCTTTGGTCTTGGCCATGGTGGAGAGTTTGGAATCTGATTGATTGCTTCTGTGGACAGGTGTCTTTTATACAGGTAACAAGCTGAGATTAGGAGCACTCCCTTTAAGAGTGTGCTCCTAATCTCAGCTCGTTACCTGTATAAAAGACACCTGGGAGCCAGAAATCTTTCTGATTGAGAGGGGGTCAAATACTAATTTCCCTCATTAAAATGCAAATCAATTTATAACATTTTTGACATGCGTTTTTCTGGATTTTGTTGTTGTTATTCTGTCTCTCACTGTTCAAATAAACCTACCATTAAAATTATAGACTGATCATGTCTTTGTCAGTGGATAAACGTACAAAATCAGCAGGGGATCAAATACTTTTTCCCCCTCACTGTATGTTGAACATTACAATTGATTGCACATATCTGTGCATATTTTAACCATGAATACTAGATTATATTATTTTGTATTATTGATAGTGTTGCACGGTATACCGAAACTTCTGTACTTTTTTGATACTAGAACATGGAAAACAATTCGGTACTAGAATTTTTGTTACTTTCAGTACTTCTATCAAATGTGTCTCACGTCATGTACTGATATTAGAGAGGATCAACTCTGTCTATCAGCGCAGCTGATGTCCTCTTATAGCGCGAGCTCACCGTGCCTGCTCCACTTACTCATTGCTAGCTTTAGCCTTTCCTGAGGAACCGCTTCACTCACTGGGAGTCTGGGCTGCATCATGTTAGCGTCCCACTCATGCTGTACAGAAGTTAACACACTTGAATAACACGGCATGTAGAAATGTTGCAACTGTTAATTACTGTTCAGAAAACAATTTCCACTACAGGCTAGAACACTTTACAATGCAATAAGATACAGGTAGCTTCCAGCTTTGAAGGCTAACTTTCCTTGCTAGCTTACAGGCGAAGCTAACATCAATTCATGACCCCTAGTACTTTGTTTGTGATAATATGCAAATCATAATACAAAATATGTTGATTTTAAAGCTAATTGTCGACAAAAACCATAGTCATTGCCACATTTTTTTATTCATTCACTTCGTCTCCCTCGCCTCAGCCACGTCTCTCCTGTCTCTCTCACTGTGTGTGAATTAAGTAATTAGGTCTTAGAGACATTGCGCACTTCTATGCAAATGTTGTTGATCAGTTCAATACAATAAGTACCAAATGGAAAGGAAACAGATTGTTTTATGTCTATAGCCCCTTGAAATCAGCCAAAACAAGCTCAATAACTCAATGCACGCACTCCTATTGAATATGCATTCACCTGTAATGTGGATATGCCTAGGCTATATCTTGATTTACCCAGTTTATCAATAGAGATTTACCATTCAAATAAATGATTACTATTATTATGTTATGTAGTTATACTGAATATAAATATATAAACGCAACATGCAACAATTTCAGTCAATTGAAATAAATAAAAAAGTGGTTGTCCATGTGGGGGCCTGGGAGGGCATAGGCCCATCCACATGGGAGCCAGGCCCACCCACTGGGGAACCAGGCCCAGCCAATCAGAATGAGTTTTTCCCCACAAAAGAGCTTTATTACAGACAGAAATACTCCTCAGTTTCAGACGATCCCGCAGGTGAAGAAGCCGGATGTGGAGGCCCTAGGCTGGCGTGGTTACATGTGTAATGAGCATGCTGTTTAATCAGCTTCTTGATATGCCACACCTGTGGATGGATTATCTTGGTAAAGGAGAAATGCTCACTAACAGGGATGTAAACAAATTTGTGCACAAATTAATTTCTGGGATCTTTTATTTAAGCTCATGTAACATGGGACCAACACTTTACATGTTGCGTTTATATATCTGTTCACTATACACTACCAGTCAAAAGTTTGGACACACCTACTCATTCAAGGGTTTTTCTTTATTTTTACAATTTTTTACATTGTAGAATAATAGTGAAGACATCAAAACTATGAATTAACACATTTACATTTACATCATTTAGCAGACGCTCTTATCCAGAGCGACTTACAAATTGGGCATTCAATTTATGATAGCCAGTGGGACAACCACTTTTTATTTATTTTATTTTTATATATACAGTGGGGGAAAAAAGTATTTAGTCAGCCACCAATTGTGCAAGTTCTCCCACTTAAAAAGATGAGAGAGGCCTGTAATTTTCATCATAGGTACACGTCTACTATGACAGACAAAATGAGAATTTTTTCCCCAGAAAGTCACATTGTAGGATTTTTTATGAATTTATTTGCAAAATATGGTGGAAAATAAGTATTTGGTCAATAACAAAAGTTTCTCAATACTTTGTTATATACCCTTTGTTGGCAATGACACAGGTCAAACGTTTTCTGTAAGTCTTCACAAGGTTTTCACACACTGTTGCTGGTATTTTGGCCCATTCCTCCATGCAGATCTCCTCTAGAGCAGTGATGTTTTGGGGCTGTCGCTGGGCAACACAGACTTTCAACTCCCTCCAAAGATTTTCTATGGGGTTGAGATCTGGAGACTGGCTAGGCCACTCCAGGACCTTGAAATGCTTCTTACGAAGCCACTCCTTCATTGCCCGGGCGGTGTGTTTGGGATCATTGTCATGCTGAAAGACCCAGCCACGTTTCATCTTCAATGCCCTTGCTGATGGAAGGAGGTTTTCACTCAAAATCTCACGATACATGGCCCCATTCATTCTTTCCTTTACACGGATCAGTCGTCCTGGTCCCTTTGCAGAAAAACAGCCCCAAAGCATGATGTTTCCACCCCCATGCTTCACAGTAGGTATGGTGTTCTTTGGATGCAACTCAGCATTCTTTGTCCTCCAAACACGACGAGTTGACTTTTTACCAAAAAGTTATATTTTGGTTTCATCTGACCATATGACATTCTCCCAATCCTCTTCTGGATCATCCAAATGCACTCTAGCAAACTTCAGACGGGCCTGGACATGTACTGGCTTAAGCAGGGTTTGAGTCCCTGGCGGCGTATTGTGTTACTGATGGTAGGCTTTGTTACTTTGGTCCCAGCTCTCTGCAGGTCATTCACTAGGTCCCCCCGTGTGGTTCTGGGATTTTTGCTCACCGTTCTTGTGATCATTTTGACCCCACGGGGTGAGAACTTGCGTGGAGCCCCAAATCGAGGGAGATTATCAGTGGTCTTGTATGTCTTCCATTTCCTAATAATTGCTCCCACAGTTGATTTCTTCAAACCAAGCTGCTTACCTATTGCAGATTCAGTCTTCCCAGCCTGGTGCAGGTCTACAATTGTGTTTCTGGTGTCCTTTGACAGCTCTTTGGTCTTGGCCATAGTGGAGTTTGGAGTGTGACTGTTTGAGGTTGTGGACAGTTGTCTTTTTTACTGATAACAAGTTCAAACAGGTGCCATTAATACAGGTAATGGGTGGAGGACAGAGGAGCCTCTTAAAGAAAAAGTTACAGGTCTGTGAGAGCCAGAAATCTTGCTTGTTTGTAGGTGACCAAATACTTATTTTCCACCATAATTTGCAAATAAATTCATTAAAAATCCTACAATGTGATTTTCTGGAGAAAAAAAATCTCAATTTGTCTGTCATAGTTGACGTGTACATATGATGAAAATTACAGGCCTCTCATCTTTTTAAGTGGGAGAACTTGCACAATTGGTGGCTGACTAAATACTTTTTTTCCCCACTGTATATTTTTTTGTGTGGGGGAGGTAGAAGGATTACTTTATACTATTCCAAGTATTCCTTAAAGAGGTAGGGTTTCAAGTGTCTCCGGAAGGTGGTCAGTGACTCCGCTGTCGTGGGGGAGCTTGTTCCACCATTGGGGTGCCAGAGCAACGAATAGCTTTGACTGGGCTGAGCGGGAACTGTGCTTCCGTGGAGGTAGGGGAACTAGCAGGCCAGAGGTGGATGAACGTAGTGCCCTCGTTTGGATGTAGGGTCTGATCAGAGCCTGAAGGTAAGGAGGTGCCGTTCCCCTCACAGCTCCGTAGGCAAGCACCATGGTCTTGTAGTAGATGCGAGTCTCAACTGGAAGCCAGTGGAGTGTGCGGAGGAGCGGGGTGACATGAGAGAACTTGGGAAGGTTGAACACCAGACGGGCTGCAGCGTTCTGGATAAGTTGTAGGGGTTTAATGGCACAGGCATGGAGCCCAGCCAACAGCGAGTTGCAGTAATCCAGACGGGAGATGACAAGTGCCTGGATTAGGACCTGCGCCGCTTTCTGTGTAAGGTAGGGTCATACTCTGCGAATGTTGTAGAGCATGAACCTGCAGGATCGGGTCACCGCTTTGATGTTAGCGGAGAATGACAGGGTGTTGTCCAGGGTCACGCCAAGGTTCTTTGCACTCTGGGAGGAGGACACAATGGAGTTGTCAACCGTGATGGCGAGATGATGGAGCGGGCAGTCCTTCCCCGGGAGGAAGAGCAGCTCCGTCTTGCCGAGGTTCAGCTTGAGGTGGTGATCCGACATCCACACTTATATGTCTGCCAGACATGCAGAGATGCGATTCGCCACCTGGTTATCAGAAGGGGGAAAGGAGAAAATGAATTGTGTGTCGTCTGCGTAGCGATGATAGGAGAGACCATGTGAGGATATGACAGAGCCAAGTGACACATATGGAATCATGTAGTAACCAAAAAAGTGTTAAACAAATCAAAGTATAATTTATATTTGAGATTCTTCAAATAGCCACCCTTTACCTTGATGACAGCTTTGCACACTCTTGGCATTCTCTCAACCAGCTTCATGAGGTACTCACCTGGAATGCATTTCAATTAACAGGTGTGCCTTGTTAAAAGACATTTGTGGAATTTCTTTCCTTCTTAATGTGTTTGAGCCAATCAGTTGTGATTTATTTAGAATTCAATGCACACTTAACCAGCATGGCTACCACAGCATTCTGCAGCGATACGCCATCCCATCTGGTTTGGGCTTAGTGGGACTATCATTTGTTTTTCAACAGGACAATGACTCAACACACCTCCAGGCTGTGTAAGGGCTATTTGACCAAGAAGGAGAGTGATGGAGTGCTGCATCAGATTACCTGGCCTCCACAATCCTCCGACCTCAACCCAATTGAGATGGTTTGGGATGAGTTGGACGGCAGAGTGAAGGAAAAGCAGCCAACAAGTGCTCAGCATATGTGGGAACTCCTTCAAGACGGTTGGAAAAGCATTCCAGGTGAAGCTGGTTGAGAGAATGCCAAGAGTGTGCAAAGCTGTCATCAAGGCAAAGGGTGGCTACTTTGAAGAATCTCAAATATAAAATATATTTTGATTTGTTTAACACTTTTTTGGTTACTACATGATTCCATATGTGTTATTTCATAGTTCTGATGTCTTCACTATTATTCTACAATGTAAAAATAAAGAAAAACCCTTGAATGAGTAGGTGTGTCCAAAGTTTTGACTGGTACTGTATATTGGTAAAAACAAAGTCAAATTGATTGTAAAATTGATTCATTAATGCATACATGGCTATCTCTGAAAAATTACATATAATATTGAACTCAAAAGATATTTCTGGATCAAGTCCCATTTTGTGACTTTGGCTAATACGCCTTGTTTTGACGTGGTATTGTTTTGGTATCGAGCATGGTGATGGTATCGAGTATCGTGATACTAAACCTGGTATCGGTATCGAAGGCAAAATTCTGGTATCGTGACCACACAAATTATTAATTTGACCCTTTTGTCTTTTTTGAAGGTCAACCGTTTCCTGGAGACCTATTCCAGCATGGCCAAAGACATCCCTCCAGAGAGGCTGTCTCAGCTGCAGGCAGACTTCTCCCACCTCTCCTCCAAGTATCTCAGCACCGTCAAAGAGGGCCGCTCTCCCACCCCAGAACTAGTGGCCTCCCTGCAAGGGTACCTGACCTCTGTCCGGGACACCTGCCGCGCAACCTGGGCCCGCTTCAACCCAGCCAAGATGGCTGCCGGCATAGCTATCCTGGCATGTGCCTGCGTGCTGTGTTACGTCCTCTCTGAGATGTCCTCTGTGCTGGTGAGGGAGAGTGGTCTGCTGAGGGTCCCTCTGGTGGCAGCCACTGTGGTGGGGGTGTGTGTAGCTGCAAGTCAGCTGTTCACCCAGGGCTATGCTGAGGGGTCCTGGTGCCTGGCGGCTGCAGCCCTCTCCTCTGAGGTACTGGTCCTCTGGAGAGCCCGACGGGCCAGGAAGACTGCAGCGGCTGAGGTTGGAGAGGTGGCCCCAAGGCGTGGCTGGCTGACCCCGCCTCGCTTCTTATTAACCCCTCCCCTCCTGGTGCTCCTCCTGCGCTGTGCCTCCCTGCTGTCTGACAGCTATGTAATAGCAGAGGGCCGTGTGGTCACCTTTATGCTCTTCTCCCTGAGCCTCTATGTCCCCTTCCATCTCAACTGGGACGGCCTCCTGCTACCCCCTGTCCATGATCCCCTGAAACCCGCCGGGCTGCTGCCCTCCCCGGTCCTGTCCCCCTTAGCCATGAGGAGGGAGAGCAGCACCTTCCTGGCCTGCTTGGGGGTGCTAGTGGGCTCTCTCTACCTCTCCCTCTTCTTCCACGGCTGTCGTGAGGAGCAGGGCTCCTGCCAGCCCTCCCCGTTCCTCTCCCCTCTGTCACGGGTGCAGGACAGCCGTCTGAAGAACCTGCACTATATCCTGTCTCTGGCCTCTATGGGCGCCTGGACCTACCTGCTGCGGCGCTGGCTGCGGCACTATGGCAACCTGAACAGCCCTGGTGGCACGGTGTTCACGGCCCGCTGGATCCTGCCTCTGCTGTCTGTCTGTTTGGGGCTCCACTGGGCTGTGTCTGCCACCCCGGAGGACAGCTTTAGGAACCTGGCTGAGCTGATCAGCCTAGGCCAGCGGGCCCTCCCCAGGGTTGCCTTCTCTCTGCTGGGCCTAGGGCTGGCCCTGCTATGGCTGGACCCGCTCACCGTATTTATCAAGACCAGGGCTGCAGCCCCTGTCCGAAGCCCTGTATCGCTCCCCCCACCCCGCTACCGGGCCAGCACTGGCATCAGCACCCAGGCAGAGCTGCACCACCTTATCCCCCAGCTCTACCAGCGCATGCGCCGCTCCCTGGAGGATGGAGAACCAGCCAGGGTTCCTGAGGGGGGTGACCGGCCTGCCGTGGAGGCCTACGGGCTGGGTACAGTCTACTCGGCCCCCGTGGTCCTGCTGTGCGGCCTGCTGGGGATGGGCCTGCTGCTGCTGCATCCAGAGGGCATGTCCCTGGCCTTCCTGCTGCTGCTCCTGGAGATGGGAGCCCTGCTGCAGATGCACGCCTCCTCCACTACCCTCAACGCCCTGCAGGGGACACACTCTGGTAAGCTGCTCACAGTGTGTGATCAATGGTCTGACAATTTGGTCCTCTTTTTGTCTTTTATAACATGCCTATAATTTTTACTTTTGCATATGTTGCATGTTTGTCTCAAACTAACTTCTAGAGATATTGATTATGGCTTTATTTAGTTTGCCCTGACTTATTTGTACCCTGCCCTGAACTTTAGTCACTGGCCGGCTACCACCTGGTTACTTTACCATGCACATTAGAGGCTGCTGCCCTATGTACATAGTCATTGAACACGAGTTACTTTAATAATGTTTACATACTCTTTTACCCACTTCATATGTATATACTGTATTGTAGTCCTATCCTATTTAACTATTGCTGTACATATACTATTCTTCAGATATACTACATATTCTATCCATATACTGTCCATAATGTCTATACACCCCATCATATATATATATATATATATACACACACACACACACACACACACACACACACACACACACACACACACACACACACACACACAGTACCAGTTAAAAGTTTGGACACACCTACTCATTCCAGGGTTTTTCATTATTTTTACTGTTTTCTACATTGTAGAATAATAGGGAAGACATCAAAACTATGAAATAACACATATGGAATCATGTAGTAACCAAAAAAGTGTTTAAAAAAGTCAAAATATATGTTAGATTCTTCAAAGTAGCCACCCTTTGCCTTGATGACAACTTTGCACCTCATCACAAACATTTACATTACATTTACATTTACGTCATTTAGCAGACGCTCTTATCCAGACCATCTCAATTGGTTAGAGGTAGGGTGATTGTGGAGGCCAGGTCATTTGATGCAGCACTCCATCACTCTCCTTCTTGGTAAAATAGCCCTTACACAGCCTGGCGGTGTGTTGGGTCATTGTCCTGTTGAAAAACAAATGATAGTCCCACTAAGCCCAAACCAGATGGGATGGCGTATCACTGCAGAATGCTGTGGTAGCCATGCTGGTTAAGTGTGCCTTGAATTCTAAATAAATCACAGACAGTGTCACCAGCAAAGCACCATTACACCACCTCCTCCATGCTTCACGTGGGAACTACAAATGCGGAGATCATCCGTTCACTTACTCTGCGTCTCACAAAGACACGGTGGTTGGAACCAAAAATCTCCAGTTTGGACTCCAGACCAAAGGACAGATTTGCATCGGTCTAATGTCCATTGCTCGTGTTTCTTGGCCCAAGCAAGTCTCTTATTCTTATTGGTGTCCTTTAGTAGTGGTTTCTTTGCAGCAATCGACCATGAAGGCCGGATTCACGCAGTCTCCTCTGAACAGTTGATGTTGAGATGTGTCTGTTACTTTTATTGCATTTATATGGGCTGCAATTTCTGAGGCTGGTAACTCTAATGAACTTATCCTCTGCAGCAGAGGTAACTCTGGGTCTTCTTTTCATGTGTCAGTCCTCATGAGAGCGACTTTCATCATAGCGCTTGATGGTTTTTGCGACTGGACTTGAAGAAACCTTCAAAGTTCTTAACTTTCCGCATTGACTGACCTTCATGTCTTAAAATAGATGATGGACAGTCGTTTCTCTTTGCTTATTTGAGCTGTTCTTGCCATAATATGGACTTGGTCTTTTACCAAACAGGGCTTCTGTATACCACCCCTATCTTGTCACAACACAACTGATTGGCTCAAACGCATTAAGAAGGCAAGAAATTCCACAAATTAACTTTTAAGAAGGCACACCTGTTAATTGAAATGCATTCCATGTGACTACCTCATGAAGCTGGTTGAGAGAATGCCAAGAGTGTGCAAAGCTGTCATCAAGGCTAAGTGTGGCTACTTTGAAGAATCTCAAATATATTTGGATTTGTTTAACACTTTTTTTCATGATTCCATATGTGTTATTTCATAGTTTTGATGTCTTCACTACTATTCTACAATGTAGAAACTATGACAGAGTTTTAGAGTTCCTCTGTGGAGATGGGAGAACCTTCCAGAAGGACAACCATCTCTGCAGCACTCCACCAATCAGGCCTTTATGGTGTAGTGGCCAGACAGAAGCCACTCCTCAATAAAAGGCACGTGACAGCCCGCTTGGAGTTTGCCAAAAGGCACCTGAAGACTCTCAGACCATGAGAAACAAGATTCTCTGATCTAATGAAACCAAGATTGAACTCTTTGGCCTGAATGCCAAGCGTCACGTCAGGGGGAAACCTGGCACCATCCCTACGGTGAAGCATGGTGGTGGCAGCATCATGCTGTGGGGATGTTTTTCAGCAGCAGGGACTGGGAGACTAGTCAGAATCGAGGCAAAGATGAACAGAGCAAAGTACATAGATCCTTGATGGAAACCTGCTCCAGAGCGCTCAGGACCTCGGACTGGGGCGAAGGTTCACCTTCAAACAGGACAACGACCCTAAGCACACAGCCAAGACAACGCAGGAGTGGCTTCGGAACAAGTCTCAATGTCCTTAAGTGGCCCAGCCAGAGCCCGGACTTGAACCCAATCAAACATCTCTGGAAAGAGCTGAAAAAGCTGTGCAGTGACACTCCCCATCCAACCTGACAGAGCTTGAGAGGATCTGCAGAGAGGAATGGGAGAAACTCCCCAAATACAGGTGTGCCAAGCTTGTAGCATCATACCCAAGAAGACTCGATGCTGTAATCCCTGCCTAAGGTGCTTCAACAAAGTACTGAGGAAAGGGTCTGAATACTTATGTAAATGTAATATTTCATTTTTATATTGTTAATATATTAGAAAGCAATTCAAAAAACCTGTTTTTGCTTTGTCATTATGGGGTATTGTGTGTAGATTGAGGTAAAACAAAACAATTTAATCAATTTTTGAATAAGGCTGTAACGAAACAAAATGTGGAAAAATTCAAGGGGTCTGAATACTTTACGAATGCACTGTACATACAGTTGAAGTCGAAGTTTACATACATCTTAGCCAAATACATTTAAACTCAGTTTTTTACAATTCCTGACATTTAATCCTAGTAAAAGTTCCCTGTCTTAGGTCAGTTAGGATCACCACTTTTATTTTAAGAATGTGAAATGTCAGAATAATAGTAGAGAGAATGATTGATTTATTTCAGCTTTTATTTCTTTCATCACATTCCCAGTGGGTCAGAAGTTTACATACACTCAATTAGTATTTGGTTGCATTGCCTTTAAATTGTTTAACTTGTGTCAAACATTTCTGGTAACCTTCCACAAGCTTCCCACAATAAGTTGGGTGAATTTTGGCCCATTCCTTCTGACAGAGCTGGTGTAACTGAGTCAGGTTTATAGGCCTCCTTGCTCGCACACACATTTTCAGTTCTGCCCACACATTTTTTATAGGTTTGAGGTCAGGGCTTTGTGATGGCCACTCCAATACCTTGACTTTGTTGTCCTTAAGCCATTTTGCCACAACTTTGGAAGTATGCTTGGGGTCATTGTCCATTTGGAAGACCCATTTGCAACCAAGCTTTAACTTCCTGACTGATGTCTTGAGATGTTGCTTCAATATATCCACACAATTTTCCTTCCTCATGATGCCATCTATTTTGTGAAGTGCACCAGTCCCTCCTGCAGCAAACACCTCAACAGCATGATGCTGCCACCCCTGTGCTTCACGGTTGGGATGGTGTTCTTCGGCTTGCAATTGTCCCCCTTTTTCCTCCAAACATAACGATGGTCATTATGTCCAACAGTTCTATTTTTGTTTCATCAGACCAGAGGACATTTCTCCAAAAGTATGATCTTTGTCCCCATGTGCAGTTGCAAACCGTAGTCTGGCTTTTCTTTGGCGTTTTTGGAGCAGTGGCTTTTTCCTTGTTGAGCGGCCTTTCAGGTTATGTCGATATAGGACTCGTTTTACTGTGGATATATATACTTTTGTACGTGTTTCCTACAGCATCTTCACAAGGTCCTTTGCTGCTGTTCTGGGATTGATTTGCACTTTTCGCAAAGTACGTTCATCTCTAGGAGACAGAATGCATCACCTTCCTGAGCGGTATGATGGCTGCGTGGTCCCATGGTGTTTATACTTGCGTACTATTGTTTGTACAGATGAACATGGTACCTTCAGGCATTTGGAAATTGCTCCCAAGGATGAACCAGACTTGTGGAGGTCAACAATTTTTTTGGCTGATTTCTTTTGATTTTCCTATGATGTCAAGCAAAGAGGCACTGAGTTTGAAGTTAGGCCTTGAAATACATCCACAGGTTCACCTCCAATTGACTCAAAAGATATCAATTAGCCTATCAGAAGCTTCTAAAGCCATGACATCATTTTCTGGAATTTTCCAAGCTGTTTAAATGCACCGTCAACTTAATGTATGTAAACTTCTGACCCACTGGAATTTCTATACAGTGAATTATAAGTGAAGTAATCTGTCTGTAAACAATTGTTTGAAAAATTACTTGTGTCATGCACAAAGTAGATGTCCTAACCGACTTGCCAAAACTATAGTTTGTTAACAAGACATTTGTGGAGTGGTTGAAAAATGAGTTTTAATGACTCCAACCTAAGTGTATGTAAACTTCCGACTTCAACTGTACATAAATACTACAGACTCCAACATTGCTCGTCCTAATATTTCTATATTTCTTAATTCCATTCTTTTAGATTTGTGTGTATTGTTAGATATTACTGCACTGTTGGAGCTAAGAACACAAGCATTTCGCTACACCCGCAATAACATCTTCTAAATATGTGTATGCTACCAATAAGAATTTGATTTGACTTGTCTCCCTCTCACTCTGCCAGGTGGCTTTTCTGTGCCCTGGACCCCAGTAGTGCTGTGGTCCCTGGCTGCCACTCAGTTCTTCCATGCCACAGGCCATCTGCCCACATTTCCATCCATCCAGTGGGCTGCTGCCTTCGTGGGCTTCCCTGGTGGGCACACGGGCACCATACTTCCCGCTTCACTGGTCACCCTCAACACCTTCTCATCACACATCCTCTTCGCAGGTACTCACCCGTTCACACACAGGGCTATGTTGTACAGTAAGAATACTAATGTGTATCTAGGTTGATTGACATTGTGGTTAATATGGCTATAATCATATCACTCCTGACATTATTTCAGTCTATGCGTAATACCGTACCACATTTCAATGCTGACAACCACTTAAGTTAATTGATGGCTACACAGTGTACCTGAATATTGATCATGAATATGATGCTCAGTTTATGCTGATGTGTCTTTTATGTTTGTGAATGCAGTGGCTTGTCCGCTGCTTCTCTTCTGGCCGCTGGTCTGTGAGGTGCGCGCTGGACGAGGAGGAAGAGGAGGGGGTGGGGAGGAAGGAGAGGACAATGCTATCATGGAAATGAGACTAAGGGAGAGTCCCCAGCAGTTCAGCTCTGCCCTTCTACAGCTCGCAACACGCTACCTCTTCATTAACGGGGCACAGGTAAACACTATTCATTATTCAAATAATATCATGCATATTTTCTTTTTCTTTAAATAAAGAAATATTGCTCTTGACCAATCAGAATGACGCAAAATGCCACAACAGTATGCAGTTGTTTTCAGGGTGCTATTCCGGTAGTTTCTGGCTAACAGTAGCCTAGGCTAACAGCAACAGTGAAAGAGAAGTCTGACGTTTGCCATTATAGAACTGATTCTGTTTCCCAAAAAGTTTTCTGGTGAGATTTTTGCATTGATCTGTGTCAGGTCTCTGTTGGTGCACGCCTGTAGGCTAATCGTTATTTGAAGTGGGGAAAATAGCATATCGTTGTCAGGGCTGACTGGAGGGCTAAATGCGCTATAATAGTAAAATGCCTTTTCATGTAAAACACAACCCATAACCCATAGTCCATGAGAAAGAAAATGAGCTTGATATTTAAACAATCACTTTGTGTGTCCTCAGAACTGTAGGCTACATTTACAACGGTAAACAATGTACTGTCATCCATGTGACGTCTGAAGCAGCAGTAGCTCAATGCGCCGTACAAAAACACTACATTTTCAAGTGTGTTATTTTATTAAATAAAGAATTTCAAATGTCATGATATAAGCTTGTGTAAAACAAGGTAACTTGGACAATTTAATTTAGACAAAGTTTCGTCATTGTTAAAATAGACCTACATTTATCAAAATGAATACTCTTACAAGTGTTTGAATAATAACGTCCATTCGGATATTAGAATTACCGTGCCCATCCCTACACACACACATACACACACCACTGCTCTGCCATTGACTCAGGACCTCCTCTCCCCTCTTTTCAGGTCTTTGCATCAGTCTGTGCAGCTGCTATCCTCAGGAGACATCTAATGGTGTGGAAGGTTTTTGCACCCAAGTAAGTTCCTTTCCAAACTCACAGTAACCACAGCATTGGCTTTTAGTGTCATTCCTTCCTACTCTGTGTGACTGCACTTGTAATTATAGTGTGTGAGTGTGTCTTAAGTTCCTGATCGTCCTCTCAAAATGTGTCATCTGTCTTCTCTAACATGCTATTAAGCATTATGTATTCTCTAACATGCTATTAAGCATTATGTCTTCTCTAACATGCTATTAAGCATTATGTCTTCTCTAACATGCTATTAAGCATGATGTCTTCTCTAATATGTTCCCTATACATTTGCAGGTTGATGTTTGAGGCCTCAGGGTTCCTGGTGAGCAGTGTGTTTGTGCTGGTGGGGGTGACCCTGGTGATAAGAGTGGACGTGGCAGTGGGGCGCTGGTTTAAGAGACTCCTCCCTGACACGTCCGGGTAGAGCTGCTATTGCACTGTTGCAACTGACCAGGGCTCACTCTAAGGCACCCTACGCTGTACATCCCTCTCTGGTTCTGAGGGGGGGTGGGGGGGGCGCAAGGATGGACGGGGACGGGGGGTCCTAGGGTGACCCGAGGGAAGTCGCCATAAGGACAGCCATAAGAAAATATGTTTGGGTGACTTGTCCTCTCAAACTCAACTTCAGTGTAGGCTGTATGATGTCAACAAAGGTGCTCTCTCCTCTTGCTCTGTCAATGCAGATGGACCACAATGGAACTGGATGGTTAGAACTTTTATGTCCATCCTCAAAACGACAAACTCTAAAACCATTGAAGAACATCTGTAAAACTCCACTTTATTCTCCTTGGTCATGTATGGGACAGATCCAAGCCTTCACAGCATTACTCTCCATTGTATTGCCTATCGGGTGGCCAGTTAATGAGGCTGTTTACAAAGTGGATGGGAAAGGGGCCTATGGGACCCACAATGTTCTCTGGCACATGCTCAGTTATGTACGACGGGTCAACAGGAAATGGGTGGATAGTGTGCAAAAAGCAATGAATTAATCCATCACAGCAAAGTGCATTATGTCTGTCATCTCAAATGTCTGCTGAAGGAAATTATCAATTATTCTCTTGTTTTTATCATTTTATATTTAAAAACGGTTCAACAATCTATGGTTTCTTACTGCCATCACTGACGATTATATTACATTATACAACGGGTGGGTCTAATCCTGAATGCTGATTGGTTAAAACCGCATTCCTGCCGGTGTCTATTGCACAAGTTACCACCAGCTATGACGTTAAAATGCCCATTTACACTGTTCCGTCTGACTGCGCAATGTCTCATTAACCCAGTCAGCACTTTATAAACATGATCTCCACTACAAAAAGCATCTAGACATTATCTCACATTTCTTTTAGACTAACATTTAGTTTTCAACAGCGGAGATTTGTATAAACCTTGCTGTCTGTCTCTGACATTTGCAACATTATTTCAATATTCAAATTCGATCTCCAGCTGTCCAATAGTATTGACTGTATCGGGAGTCGCGTCCATTGATACAGAACAAAAAGAACGAACGACTGGGTCGCGTCTCTAGCAAACCTAGATTTGTGTCAGGACTATATCTTGTGGAAGGAAGAAATAGTACAAATAAATTAATAAAAAATTACATTTTTTAATGAAAATGTCAATCATTATTTGAATATGTTGGTAACCCGTTGTAGAAAAGTGATAATGCCCTCGAAGCCAGTGTTTGTTGGATATATTGGCACAGTTTGTCGGCCCGAGACATGCCAATATATCCAACAAACACCGGCTTCTCGGGCATTATCACTTAAATATTTTACAGCATCAGCAATAACTGTCTTAATTCATCTCTAATAAATAGTATGATTTATAACAATGTTTTCTAATCACAAATGTTTTTCTAATCAGAAATATACAGGTTAGTAGTCTTATGTGAGCAAGTAATGCACCTTTTCCCTTGGACAGGTGCCTAGCTTTAATGAATGCCTTGTGTGATGTGACTTGTTGGATGGAGAAAAAAAAAAAAGATGAAGCATTGACTGTTTTTATTTATTTCTCTGTGGTAGGTACAGTGTGCTGTAGGTCACTGGACAAAGACATGTTACATTTCTCAGCTCTAGTCTGCAATGCATGAAACTGGAGGGATGTAATTTGAGCTCAGGTTGAATTAGCCCCAATGCAATAGAGCTACATTGCTCAAGCTGTCTAAGTGAATGATTGATGTCTACTTCACTTGGCAGAAGGTAGTGGGTACTATATTTATGCCAATCTGAGTCATGCCTTGTTATAAGTATTGATGAGTTGATAGGTTCAGTTGGCATAGATTTTGTTTGTTAGAAATATTTTTGTTTAATATTACTTTTGTTTAATATAACCAATGAACTAAATTGAACTTATTGTGAAACTCAAATTAAAAGGTTTGTACATTTATGAAAGTGTTGCAGTTGGTTGGTCACGCTTTAAGTGAAGTTTAGCTTATAATGGCTTCATAAAGCCTTCATAAGCACTACATAAATGTGTTACAAAGCATCTATAACAGTATGTCATGCATTATAAAGGGTTCATAAATGTGGCATAACTGTGATAAAATCACCGATGTCGAATGTGACAACTCAGTATGTCGAATATGATATAAACATGTGAAGGGGTGACATGTTTTAAAGTAAGGTCACATTACACCTAATCTCATTCCCAGACACAAATGCGCAGAAGGTCTGGTGGACCAACGCATCAAACTTGACCTTCATTAGTTAGGGTTAGGTTTCAAATCAAATATATTCTGGAAATGGCCAGGGTTTAGCCTTAATTATGACGTTTTGACTGTGTTAAATAGTGATGATGACATAATTTACTCAAGTCACTCCTATAGAATTCTATGGTCACTCCCACTAAGGCCAACTCTGAATGGTTGATATCCCAACCTTAAATGTGCTGTGTGTGCAATAGCCTGGGGATGACATTACACCAAGGAACACTTACCCCCAACCTAAAGAAATTGAATATGGCTTTCTTCTGGAACCAAGTTACATGTTCCACAGTACACAAAAACAAGCCATACTGTAGGGTGGTAGGCCCAGTCAGGTATTTGACACATTCACCCACTCCCCACTGAAAGATCAGACAGAAAATGTTGGCGCCATTGTAACAGGTTGAAATCAAGCCCTAGTCTCCAGCATGGGAACAGAAGTTGAATACCTGGTGCGGTAGTCTCAGGTTGGAATACTCCAAATCATCTTGGTTCTGACGCACACAAACGCATTGAAATACCTCTCACACCCTACAGTAACCTGTGGATCACCAGAGAACCTTCATAAATTAGCAGAACGTTAATAAGCTATTTATTCCTGTCCTGTAATAATTAATTTGAAGTGATCACCTTTGGTCATTCATAACACAGCCATAAAGACTATATCGCATGATACTGTACTTAATTTAAAGACCCCTTTGGTAATTTAGAACACATACATTAATGCCTTGTATCATATGATGCTGTATTTACTATTTGATCATAACACATACACTAACACAGTTTTAGAACACCTACTCATTCAATGCTTTTTATTTTTACTATTCTCTACATTGTAGAATAATAGTGAAGACATCAAAACTATGACATAACACTTATGGAATCATGTAGTAACCAAAAAAGTGTTAAACAAATCAAAATATATTTTATATTTGAGATTCTTCAAATAGCCACCCTTTTGCCTTTGACAGCTTTGCACACTTTTGGCATTCTCTCAACCAGCTTCACCTGGAATGCTTTTCCAACAGTCTTGAAGGAGTTCCCACATATGCTGAGTACTTGTTGGCTGCTTTTCCTTCACTCTGCGGTTCGACTCATCCCAAACCATCTCAATTTGGTTGAGGTTGGGGGATTGTGGAAGCTAGGTCATCTGATGCAGCACTTCATCACTCTCCTTCTTGGTAAAATAGCCCTTACACAGCCTGGAGGTTTGTTGGGTCATTGTCCTGTTAAAAAACAAATGATAGTCCCACTAAGCCCAAACCAGATGGGATGGTGTAATGCTACAGAATGCTGTGGTAGCCATGCTGGTTAAGTGTGCCTTGAATTCTAAATAAATCACAGACAGTGTCACCAGCAAAGCACCCCCACACCATCACACCTCCTCCATGCTTTACGGTGGGAAATACACATGCAGAGATCATCCGTTCACCCACACTGCGTCTCAGAAAGACACGGCGGTTGGAACCAAAAATCTCCAATTTGAACTCCAGACCAAAGGACAAATTTCCACCGGTCTAATGTCCATTGCCCGTGTTTCTTGACCCAAGCAAGTCTCTTCTTCTTATTGGTGTCCTTTAGTAGTGGTTTCTTTGCAGCAATTCGACCATGAAGGCCTGATTAACGTAGTCTCCTCTGAACAGTTGATGTTGAGATGTGTCTGTTACTTGAACTCTGTGAAGCATTTATTTGGGCTGCAATTTCTGAGGCTGGTAACTGTAATGAACTTATCCTCTGCAGCAGAGGTAACTCTGGGTCTTCCATTCTTGTGGCGGTCCTCATGAGAGCCTGTTTCATCATAGCGCTGATTGTTACAGAGTGATCTTGGGGCTTTCCACAACTTCCTGGCTCTCCTTTATCACCCAGTAGAATATGAACCTCATAATCATATACAAATATACAGTGCCACTACCACAGCTTTTCCTTGAACACAAGGTTAATTATTAAAAATTACATGACTAACACTGTCCGAGTATAAAGGAATAGTTATGGCCATATACAGTACCAGCCAAAAGTTTGGACACACCTACTCATTCAAGGGTTTTTCTTTATTTTTACTATTTTCTACATTGTAGAATAATAGTGAAGACAACAAAACTATGAAATAACACATATGGAGTCATGAAGTAACCAAAAAAGTGTTAAACAAATCAAAGTATATTTTATTGTTAAACAGTCTCATACTGCTTATTTTAGAAGCTAGGATTGTTTTCGTATGACATTGCTTTCTTGTGAAATGAGGTGTACATAGCGTGCCATTGTTGGTCTTATGTTATCTGCCAGGGATACTGGCGAGATTACTTCCCAAAAACCGAGTATTCTTGGAACTGTTACAAGCAATTTCTGCTTGGCTTCTGGCCAAAAACAAGACATACCATTATACATACAACCCTCTTAGTACTGGCCAATTGTTTATTGACTGGACAACTACACTATTCTGTAGTGACAGTGGCATCGGCAGGCCTGCTCAAACTTTATGGTTGACATGAGGCGAGCATGGGGCAAATTACTCCCATATGGATGACCATTTGACTGCTGCGAGGGTTGTTAATTGTTAAGGTACTAAACATTCATGGCCTATGAAACATAATATGCCATTTAGCAGACGCTTTTATCCAAAGCGACTTACAGTCATGTGTGCATACATGTTTACGTATGGGTGGTCCCAGGGATGGAACCCACTACCCTGGCGTTACAAGCGCCAAGCGCCATGCTCTACCAATTGAGCTACAGAGGACCACATGAGAACAGTCATTGCCCGAGTGGCGCAGTGGTCTAAGGCACTGCATCTCAGTGATTGAGGCGTCACTACAGACCCCCTGGTTTGATTCCAGGCTGTATCACAGCCGGCTGTGATTGGGAGTCCCATAGGGCGGTGCACAATTGGCCCAGCGTCGTCCGGGTTTGGCCGGTCTAGGCTGTCATTGTAAATAAGAATTTGTTCTTAACTGATTTGCCTAGTTAAATAAAGGTAAAATAAAATAAAAAATCCTCCATTTGGCATCTCTGTAGCTCCAGCCATTGGTAATGGCATGTCTCTGTCGCAGCAGAACAAAGCACTGACTGACAGTCCCCTTACCGCCACTGGAGGGCTGCCATCTACTGTGCCATGCCTTACTTACCATATCCTGAAACCTATCATGCCAGTACAGTATCAGGGGCTCTCTTTCCCGGAATAGGTTTACCTAACAAAGATCCCAGCATAGATTTGGCAGGCGTTGAATAGAGTTATGTGAAACTGGTAAGAGTTGACACAATGTGGTGTTTATGTGACATGACACTTTAAAGAGCCGTTACAGTGATTAGATAATCATTCCTAATAACCTATCTGAACAAATTTTACGAGGTACAAGTTTGAACAGGCAAGTTCATCAGGACTCTGATGGGTTTAGTTGTGTTTGAGATAGCAAAATGGGAAAACGGCTGTGCCAGTCCTGCAGCCTATTTCGTTACATTTTTTACATTTACATTTTAGTCATTTAGCAGACGCTCTTATCCAGAGCGACTTACATATATATATATTTTTTTATACTGGCCCCCTGTGGGAATCGAACCCACAACCCTGGCGTTGCAAACGCCATGCTCTATCAACTGAGCTACATCCCTGCCGGCCATTCCCTCCCCTACCCTGGACGACGCTGGGCCAATTGTGCGCCGCCCATGAGTCTCCCGGTCGCGGCCGGCTGCGACAGAGCCTGGATTCGAACCAGGATCTCTAGTGACACAGTTAGCACTGCGATGCAGTGCCTTAGACCACTGCGCCACTCAGGAGACAGTTACGAGCCACTGGCCCATTTTGTCTGCAGAGATATTCTAAACAACAGAAGAGATTTAATGATAAATACTTAGTATTCAGCAGCCATATTGTGTACCCCTTTGATAAAACACAGTGTAAAAGGAGTTGCTCTAAACACTGGGTTTTTAAGGAGAAGGCTGCCTCTCTCTGGCTTGATTCATCATAGAGTCTGGGTGGCACATAATCGCAAAATGAGCTGGAAGGGAGACACATTTAGCTCGACGCAGGATCAAAGTAAACACTAAGCCTTCGTCTCTCTTCATGCCTCATCAGTCTTCATAAGCGTTTCAGCCTAGACCTGACACAGGGTTAGTAAGACAACCACTGGAAAGTATATTTTATGCTACAGTGCATTTGAGAAGGTTCCACACGATTAATATCTGGGAGACAGACAGGTAGGGGCAGACAGACACATCATAGAGGTAGCCTACCTCAGACGTGTGTGTCCCCTCTGTCACACAGTAATACACATACATAAAAGAAAGAGTACTGACTTACAGTAACAGCCCCCCTCTTCCATACACACAAACATCCACAAACTGACACACACCCACACACAGAATTGTGGCCATTCTCTGTTATCAGTTCTCATAGGTTGCTTATCTCCCCATCAACGGTGAAAATGATTTACAGACAGTATTGCCTGGAGGCGTAATTGCAGTGAAAGTACTCCCAAACTCCAAAGAAAACACTGGCAGAGCCTCTATTTACTTACCTTTAAAAAGGTGAGAGTTAAGGGGCGTACTGAGCTGAAGCATGGTTTACGGGAAATGGGTGCGTGACTTGCGGACAGTGAAAGTGAAAGGAGTTCTACGGTGAGGATATAAAGCTGTGCCTGAACCACAGTAGTCCATTGATCTGCAGATCCTTGTCTAACGCAGAGAACAACTAAGACAGGATGTCTTTACGGGTGGCTGCACTTCTTCTGTTGGCATCAGTCCTCTGGAGCCATGTAGCAGGTGAGATCCTCTCATTTTCTACTGCAGAGTTGCTGTTATTGCTACTTTTACTGCAAGTTATCATCATAGTATGATAGTACTTAAAATGTGTGCACTCACTAACTGTAAGTCGCTCTGGACAAGAGCATCTGCTAAATGACTAAAATGTAAAATGTAATAGTAACTACTCTAATAACGTCTTAGTTGCATGATGCTGTGCCTGGATCACTAGTTGCTTTCATCATCTGTGGAACTGTAAACACACTCTTCATCTTTTCAAAAGAATGTTGAAATGTGATTTTTGTAGAACGGCATACACAGAGGGATTACACAGAGGGGATACACAGAGATACACAGAGGGGATACACAGAGGGGTGTCACGCCCTGGCTCTGGGGACTCATATGTTGAGCCAGGGTGTGGATTTTTCTATGTTATAGTTTTCTATGTTGTGTTCTAGTTCGTGTATATCTATGTTGGCCAGGGTGGTTCCCAATCAGAGGCAGCTGTAGCTTGTTGTCTCTGATTGGGGCCCATACTTAGGCAGCCTGTTTGGCACAGTTTATTGTGGGATCTTGTTCCGGAAGGTTTGTGTTCAACCCAGGACTTCACGTATCGTTTGTTTTGTTGTTTTGGTTCGTGTTGTGTACTGCAATAAAAGAATGTACGCATATCACGCTGTGCCTTGGTCCGCTTCATCTAACGACGATCGTGACAAGGGGATACACAGAGGGGATACACAGAGGGGATACACAGAGATACACAGAGGGGATACACAGAGATACACAGAGGGGATAATCTAACCTGCTGTGTGTTTGTGTGTATGTCCCTGCAGCAAGCACAGATCAGGCGATGGACTGCTGCTTGACAACGACCGATGCCAAGCTTCCCCACAGAGTGGTGAATTCATACAGTATCCAGACAGTCAGTGGAGGATGTCGGATAGCTGCCACTGTGTAAGCAACATTATACCTTCTACACACTGAATTAAACCCATCACCCTAACTACAAGTGAATGTTTTCTGGCTGTGTGTGATTGCATTGATGCAATTGTGTCTGATCTGCCAGTTACTTCTGCCAACAGGTTTGTCACAAAGCAGAATCTTAGATTGTGTGCTCCTCCTGCCACCAAGAACAACTGGGTGGCCAAACTCATCAAGCAACTAAAGAGGAAATCGCAGAAACGAAAGGCCAAGAAGGGAAAAATGGTGAGCTTCTACGTAAAACTATGATGCAATTTAATTAAACAATTCTATTAATGATACAAATAGTCAGTCATGATCCTCATCTACATTCTTCCTTTAACAGTGATGTACCACCCTGTCTCTGTATGAACCTGTTTCTCTATGTGCATTATTTCTCATCAGGCAAGAAGACAATGAAAGGCTGTGGGTGATCCTTAAACACGGAGCTCCAGTATACGTCCTTAGAGAAGATTTAACATTTCAAATATTTTGTGAATTGCACTGTCATGTATTGCAGAGCAACATTTTCTAAATTTTGCTCACAGTTACTAAAAGCTTGATTTTTGTATTGTATAATTCATTTTATGTAAATAAATAAAAGTGTTTATTTTTGTAAGAAATATTGCGTTTCTCATCTAGGTATCAATGATTTATTCATTTCATTCAATCAAATCCTTGGTTTTAATAATGCACTATATTATTGGGAGTAGGTTACATTTCCAAGTTACTCACGTCCATTCATAAAACACCATGAAGAACTCAAACCTGTACAGTCTCTGGTGTCAGTAGGCTAGAGCAGGTTCTAACAACATGAAGGGATAGGTACAGAGAAACAGGTCTATGAGTTACAGTACATATGGTGCAAGAAATATCTTCTCTGCCATGAACAACTCTCTTGACACTTTACAAATACAATATAAACACACTTTAAGACAGATTGACACTTTTCCTTACTCTCATAACCTTTATTTCATAATTCTGTTCTATGCAAGTTCTATGTTTAAATTCTTCAACAACAAAAAAGGTGCAAGCTCTTAGTCTGGCCCAAGGTGTGGCCTAGCATAACTCTCTCCGATGATAACAGTATGTCAGCTAGAAGAATTGAGCATTGGGACATCAGCTTCATGTCTCCCTGTAACTCACCATCGAATGGCTCATGAGAGTGTGACATCTCTATATTCATGGAAGCCCTATGTAGGTGAAGTTTCATCAGGCTACTCCTCTAAATCCCAGCTTCACACCCAGACCTGTCAGACTAATAGACTAATGTGGGAACAGACTGTCTCCCTCAGATTGACAGTTGAAGTTAAAACAACCAGTCTGTTCTGTCAGGGATGTGACAGAGCCTGGGCTGTATTTATACAGACATTGGATGAGGGCAGTTCATTACAGCGGAAGATTGTCTCCATTACCTGATACAGGGTCAATTTGGTAGATTTGAGCAGAATCCTCAGTCATGAAGAGGTGAAAGTCAAAGTGCGTCATCTGCTGGTAATTTATGAAGATGAGCTCAGGCAGAGCATGCTTTGTAAATTAGCTTTATTTCCCCTTTGGCTCCACAGGAAATATGTACCTGCTGTGTGGATGGCTAAAGGGTAATGAAATAGGATTACAAAGTCATTTAGCTGCATAAAAACAATATTTAGTGCTGGGGATACTTTGAAGATGACCTTAGAGATTCACATGAATCTTTTTCGGTGGATTTGATTGATATCAGAAGCTGAAAGAGTAAGAGTAGCACACATGGGTCATTCTACAGATTCGGTGACATTTCAGTATTGTCAGTGTCCCAAGATGTACTAGTGTTACAACTTGTCAGAACATTTATCAAACTACACTTAAATTACAACATTTCAAAGTTTTACATGTTTTTAATATGGAGTAGAGAATATGATTTTAAACAGAGATGAATTTCAATACTTATATGTTTGCTTTTCTTAGGAGTATTAAGAATTTCGCCTGTCCCTATTGACCATCATGCAAATGGCGTGACTCATTTTGAGTACACAGTGTTAAATAATAATGCTTATTTTTTTGTTAAATTAATTGTATATGCCCCCTTATTATGCATAATCCATTTTCTCAGCATAAGACATTTTATTTTCTGAGAAATTCAGGCTTTTACCCCTGTCCTTGTATTTCTTTCAACCCCGTAACGCAACAATACCCCCACTCACAATTAAATAATGGTTTGATCCTGTGGACATCATTTATGAAGAAGTGACATCATACAAGTCTTCAGAGAAGGGGTGGGGGGGGTTTGGGAGATTCATAGTTAAGATTTTACCAAGAATTGTTTTTATAGCTATGAAGTATAACAATGTCTTTTGTTGAATAAGGCCATGTGGCACACTGCTAGCTGCTAGCATCCCGAATTAGCAACAGATTAGCACAAAATCTTCAACCCTGTCACATTCAACCCCATCACATTTTTCAATGTTACGGGGTTGAATGGCTGTTACAGGGTTGAATAGCTGTTAAATCTTAGCAATATTTAATGTATATTGCTTAATACCAATAATATTTTCTTGTTGAATGTTTGTTGTTTACGGTTTTACAGTATCAACTAAAAGTACGAGGAATTTTTGAAAATAATAACTTAAATAAAGTGACAATTAATTTGTTCTCTCTCCTATATACATTAACATATTTACATTACATTTTACTCATTTAGCAGACGCTCTTATCCAGAGCGACTTACAGTTAGTGAATACATATTTTTTTATACTGGCCCCCCGTGAGTCTCCCGGTCGCGGCCGGCTGCGACAGAGCCTGGATTCGAACCAGGATCTCTAGTGGCACAGTTAGCACTGCGATGCAGTGCCTTAGACCACTGCGCCACTCAGGAGACATTTAGGAGTATTATCTGCAAGTTCATGTTCATTTTACTACATAGTGATTAAAAGGATACAATATTTAGTCTTGAAGAGTAAGCAGGTCATTGACTTGACCTTGACCTACAATTTCAGATTCAACAATGGAAAAAACAGCAGCAGAAAGGAAACACACATAGAGAGGAAGGTGAGGGACATCCGCGCGCCGGTGGTCAGGTAATTCTCCTGGAAATGTAAGATCTTTAAGACACGAGGTGGTGGTGGTCATGGACACACAATCAACAGAAAATAAAGTTTTGTTGCTTTAAAGCATAATAATAATAATAATAATAATATGCCATTTAGCAGACGCTTTTATCCAAAGCGACTTACATACCATAATTTGGTAATGCATAAAAAGACTAGAGAATGTAAATGAAGACTAGTCTAAAAAGACATACAGTATACTGCCTTGGCAACTGGTGCGTGAGGGGTTCATGTTCACTAGCCGACTGGTTTGTACTGACATATTTAGGAGTATTATCTGCAAGTTCACGTTCATTTTACTACATAGTGATTAAAAGGATACAGTAATTAGTTTTGGAGAGTAAACTGGTCATTGACTTGACCTTGACCTACAATTTCAGATTCAACAATGGCAAAAACAGCAGCAGAAAGGCAAAGAGAGTACAGGGCAAGAAGAAATGCTGATCCAGAACGAAGGGAAAAGTACCTCAGGGGTGAACGCATGAGATGGACAAAATATGTTTTAGCAGGAAAGAAGAAAGGAATAGGAGATCTAGATAAGAGAGGTCAAAAGATGAGGAGAAAGGGATGGAGAAAAGCGAAGGAGCGGCAAAAGCAAAGGGAAATGGCTGTTAATACTATTGCCACCCCTCCACAAAGACCTGATAGAGACGTGGTGATGTCACATGAGCCCACAAGGTTAGGAAAAAGATTGTGTGTGTGAGAGAGAGAGAGAGAGAGAGAGAGAGAGAGAGAGAATAGGAGTGCAAAGGAGTGCATACAAATATGATTTCTGGTAACCTTGTACACTATTTCTTCAAAACTGCTTAGACATATTCACATTGTAATAGTATCCTTAACATTTATTTATACTGCTTATGAACTTACCTTGTTATGATTTGATACAATAAATAAAATTGAATTGAATTGTCTATTTGTTTGTTTTAGACAATCTGTGAAGGGGAAGAAACAATCAAGAAAGACAAAAGACAAATTGAGAAAGCAGGTAGCTGATTTACAGAAATGTCTTGATGAAGAAAGGAGGGCCAAAGAAAAGTACAAAAAAAGGCTCCAGCGTTTAGAAAAGAAGACTACGTCAAAATCCACAGCTGTACCAAGTGATGTCAGAAGATCTGCACTGCATCACACAGCACTCGTTGCTCAAATAAAGGAGCATTATAAAAATGCAAAAACTGAACGAGAGAAGCAAATTATATCCAGAGTAGTGGCAGGTAACATTATTAAGAAGTATAGACTGCAATCATTTTCAGAGTCTGCTTTGGGTTTTTCAAAGAAACGCTGGAAGCTCACAGGCAGTGTATCTACATTTCAAAGAAAGAAAATCTCAAACTTTGTGGACATCAAGAAGAGGGTGAGGGATTTCTTCACACGTGATGATATCAGTAGAATGACCACTGGCAAAAAGCAAACTAAAACAAATAATAAACAGAAGATGCAGAAGAGGTTCCTCCTTGACACGTTGAAAAATCTGCATAGGAAGTTTCTTGCAGAGAACACAGAAGAAATTTCATACTCCATGTTCAGCCGCCTCCGGCCTTTCTGGGTGGTTTACCCTTCCCTTGCTGATCGGGACACTTGTATGTGTAAGCTTCACGAAAACCTGACCTTTGTCGCAGAGAAGCTCAAACAAATTATGCTTATTGAATCGTCAGTGCTTGAAGATTTAGTTGAAAGTGTGTGTTGTAGTTCCTTGAATAAGCAGTGCATGTACGGTGAATGTGAACAATGCAAGAACCAAACAGTTCCAATGTCAAGCTTGTATGCTGCTGATGAAAATGTTGTCTTTCTCCAGTGGATGGTCAAAGAAAAGCAAAGAAAAAATGAGGAAGGTCAAACAGTAAAAGTCACTGTGAAGGATGAGGTAAACATGACGCAGGAACAACTAGTACAGTTGTTTCATACGCTCCTCTTTAGGTTTCGGAAACATCTTTTCAACATTAAACAGCAGTATGCTTACTGTCGCGAACTCAAGAAAAACATGTCTGCAGATGAGTGCCTTATCCATATTGATTTTTCAGAAAACTTCACCTGCAGATATGGGACAGAGATACAGTCCGTTCACTTTGGTTCATCTCATGAACAGGCCGTCCTCCACACAGGTGTCCTCTACGTTGGACAGAATCAGCAACCAACTTGCTTCACCACCATTTCTCCATCAAGGAA